CAAATCGCACGGACTGGCTCCCGTTTATACATCTTGCATCCTCAAGATCAACCCTGTCTCTCAGGCCTGATTCAAGGCGTCCGCCAATAACATGCCAAAAGTGACTCCAAATCACACGGACTGGCTCCCGCTTATACATCTCGCGTCAGCAAGATCAACCTCATTCTTGTGGTCCGATTCACGCTGTACGGCAACTTACACTTCCATATAATCTAATCTTAGCGTATCAGGTAACAATATACCAAAGCCAACTCCAAATCGCAGACTAGCTTCCATCCACCCATCCACTCAGTCTCAATTCAGCTCATCCCTTAATCCAGCCAACCCACAGTGTCACGAATGTCACGCATCATCCCCAAAAGGCTCCTGTGAAAAAATCTGTATTCCCAACTTTTCATGGGCAAGAACACTCAGGAAAGCATCATGAGTAGACTACATCGAATGGAATCGAAAATCACCAGCCATCCCGTCGTAATGAAAATGGAAAAAAAATGTAGAAAGTAGAAAAGGCCTCGAATGTAGACCAGAAACCAGATCGCCTAGACCCAGCTATTCGTGTAGCAAAAGTGTCGATATCGTATGCCCATCCTCCCATTTGTCTGTCCTTCGCCATCGGTGTCATCGTGTGTGACGGATGGATCGACCGCATTCTGGAGTTGCTTGAAAGCTAAAAAAGCAGCATGACTCGCACGCACACTCACTCAACCAAACTCTCCCCTCGCCAAACATACCCTCGCCGTATGTCAGTATCTCCAATCCCCTATCCCTCTGCTTATCCTGTTCTACAGCAGCACACCCCTACGCCTTCTCCTCCCCGTCCACATCGTCCACGCTCGTCTCCCGATTCAAGCTCGTCTCGCGATGCAGGAAGCTGTTCTCCTTGACCGGGCTGCCCGCGCCGCCATTGGTGCCGGGCACGCCGGGTTGGCCGCCCTGCGTCGAGATGCTGGCGACGTTCTGGTTCTGCGGCGCGATGTGCGGGATCTTCTCGGGCACAGGATGCTCGCGGCCGATGGAGGTGACGCCGATGTCGGAGGCTTTGCCGGCTTTGCTGAGGGCGTAGTCGCCGCTGTCGAAGTATTTGCGCTCCTGGAGAGGAAGAGGGGTTAGTTGGGGGTGTTGATGGCGGATTGGGGGGATGGGAGCAGTGGGGGAGGGTGGGAGAAGGTAGATGAGGGTGGGGCTTCTGGAAAGGAGAAGGGGTGGCATACCTTCAGCTTGTTCTGCAGCAGGTCCTTCTTGTTGGGCAGCTTGCCATAGAGGCGGAAGAGCCGTTGCTCATCCGGAGTCAACGTCTGTACCATTGTGTCAGTTGAATCTTCCTCAGAGACCTCAAACACCGCTTCTTTAAAAGAGAAGTAGCCGGTAAGGGGTGCAGCTATGACGTACGCTAATGTCGACTTTGTTCTGCTGATGAGGATTCATTGTGTGCGCGATCTCTGCGTTTCAGAGTCTGTGCGAAGGTATGCGGAATGTGGCAGATAGACAGTGTCGTAGGCAGGGAAGGTTTAAGAGAAGAGCAGCTGGTTGTTGTGTGTTTATTCTTTGTTGTGTTTCCCAGGCAGCTTAGGCCTAGAAATTTCCTCGTGCTGGTGCTGTGCTGGTCACGAACAAGGTCAAGGGTGAATATGTTCTGGTCGCTCCGGCAGCCGAGTCGCTTGAGTCGTGGGCCTGGGGCAGGCAGGAACGTCGTCCGTGGACTGCGTCTGGCGAGCCTTTGTCGATATAGCGGACGCTGATATACCCCTCCACGAAGTTCGGTGACTGGCTGGGATGTGATTTGGAGCGATAAGCAGGATTGTCAATGCTGCAACGCCCACCCGAGGTCCCGACAATGCGGATCGAAGCTGCGAACTGCTGGGCCGCAAATCTGGCCTGTGGTGCAGATCGTACAGCGTGTGACTATGAGCAGAGCAGAAGGGTTGGAGGTTGCGTGGCTGCGGGCGGGGTGGTCTGGAGGTCGTGTCTGAGGGGTGTTGGAGAGGGAGTTGGTGGAGGAGAGCGATGTGGGGTTACTACTGCATATATGTAGGATGCAGCAGCGACAGTGGTCCGACAGTGGCCTTGGGCGGGTCTGCAGGTGTCCGGCGAGCTTGAGACGGAGGCGGATGCGGCGTTTGCACTTTGGGCAGCTTGGGCAGAGTGTGTGAAGAAGATCGGGTTATTTGAGGCACCAGGCGTCGTTCACATCTCCGCTGGACCCTCCATCAGCACCTCCCACGCATTGAACAACGTCACGCGGGTCAGGCATTGGTTTTTCTGGCACCAGATCGTCAGGATCCAGACAACTGCCAGCCCGAGCCTATTCTGTTCCTGACAATTAGTGGTCATCGATCGGTCTGTTCTCTGTCCACGCATCGTGGGAGTTGCTTCACGATGTTCTAGATACTGCTGCCAAAACCCAACGGCGGAGGCAGCGGATCCTGAGCTGAAGTCCACTCTCATCTCCAGGAGCAGATTCCCGACGCCCAGACTGACCACTGCATCTCCCGCAGCATTGGCCTCTCAATCGTCGCACGTAGTGGACGCCTTTCCCTAGGCCCATGCCGAGACCCTGCTGCTCGGACCAGCATCATCACCAAAACGGCATACGAAAAACGCCGTGGGCATTTCGATTGGACAATCGAGACGCCGCGTGCAGCTGACTGCCCGCACCAAGAGAACAGGCACATCGGCACATTATCCCCGCCGCTTTTACGCAGCACCTCCACCACTCAAAGATCGTCAATTGTTCCCCATGGCCGCAGCTGAGGGCGTGAAGACGTTTGTCGTCGAACACTTGGACCCCGAGCTTGAGGCCTGGTCGTCCCTCGAATATGCAGCAATCGCGACAGAATCTTCCAAATCTGGCGTGGAATTCCTACTCTCCTCCGTCCCTGAGAGTTTGAAGCTGCCGGAAAATTTGCACAATGTTCAGGGTTTAAAAATTGAGCACAGAAGCATCGAGACAATATACGCAGACCGCAAGGGCAAGGTGTGCTTGCTGGACCCCTCAGCGACCAAGGAGTTGAGCCCAGAGGATGGAGACACTTTTCAGATTTTCTTGTTTGGAGGCATTCTAGGTATCTGAGCAAACACACTTTACCTCAAACATCATCGGAGCACGAACTGACACCGTTAAAGGAGATGATCCGCCTAGAGGCAAGTTCGAGTCAGGCCCAGCCGCGAGGACGTCTGCTGACTAGATTGAATCGCAGATCGTACATCGGAACTACGGAAGAAGGGGTATGAGGGTCGACGATTAGGCCCTGTTCAGATGACCACCGACACTGCGGTTCGTGTTACTCGGATGATTGTTCAAGACAAAAGTAAGCAGTCATTGCGTCAAGAGGTGATGTGTAGCCAACGTTCTGACGCCAACAGTTCCCCTAGAGAGCATACCGTATGTCGATCATCCTGAACTTAGGATCAATAAGCATGAAAGCACCGAGATGCCTTTCCGCTACGTGAAAAGCCAAGATGGCAAGCCAATCATGCCTGAAGTGAGTATCTAAAGTGCTCTTAGCTTCAATCTCGTTGCAGGACTTTCTCTGACGATTCGAGAAGGGTATGGTAGAACTTATTATGAAAGATTCGGAACGGGGGTTCGGCGATCTTCTCTAGGAGCAGGACGTAGGTTCAAGTGCGATATAGTCTATATATCTCACAATACGTGGTAGTATCATGTCTCCTCGACTAGTCAAGGGATATACAGTACTGTGGACAACGTCTGCGTACACCTTTTCAACACCACTTGTGGTGCTTTCAATGTATTGTTAGAGACCTACAGTAGCAAGCCATAGGCCCGGTCTGTGTACATTCATCTACCACTGTCTAGGAGGCCCGACAAGTCGTGTCAAGACAGCAGGCTTGTACCTCATTCACATAACCTCTTGAGGCACTTCAAGCGGTGTTGTAACTGTGTAAGCAAATTGATGTCCTAGTACCTCGAGCAAGAGCATCGCATGACGAAGGGGATAGCTCATCTTCACATTTAGTCCATATCTAACGAGCTACGAAGCATGGATGGGATTCAGAAAAGAAGCACGACGGAAATGATTCCCGATATTGAATTGTCACAACCTTTCGAATTTCGAGCATCTTCAGAGCACATAACCAAACAAATAGATATCTATCCAGTGTTCCCCTTAAAGAGTCTAAGGATTGAACATCACTAGCTCACCCAACCTGCCAGCGCCCGCTGCCGCCTCAAAGGCCTTCTCCCACTCCTCCAGCTTGAATGTACCGCGCACCTTTACAATACTCCTGACGTCCAGGACCCCAGTATTCAGCAAACTCAGGAACGCCACGTTGTCCGCTCGCGAATACATCCACTTCCCCCTCAACGTAATATCGAACCTCATAACAAACCTATGCGGAATCGGCACATCCTCCAAGAACCCCCCCATCAGACTCACCCTCCCCTCCGGCCTCAAGCTCAAAACCGCCGCCTTGAAATGCGTCGACCCCTTCGCCTCCGGGGGCGAAATATCAAAAAAAGCATCAATCTTCCCAAACCTCTTCAACGCCGCCATCTCCTCCCCGACATCCCCCGTCATCCTCACCGTCTCCACCCTCCCGCCCAACTCCCTCTTCAACCCCTCCAACGCCTCCCCATTCCGCCCCATCGCAATCACCCGCGCCCCCATCGCCAATGCCACCACCACAGCCGCCGACCCAAAGCCCCCCGTCGCCGGCGCTACGATAACCGTCTCGCCCGCCTGCACCCCAATGCTCCTTAGCCCCCCATACGGCACTAGCGCCTGCAGCATCCATCCCAGCTGCTCCGTGCCATACCCTAGCCCGCCCTCCGCCGGGCTTCCACACAACCGCGCCTCATCCAGCACATGCACGTTCTCGAGCGGCACCTTCGCGTACTCCGCAAACGTCGCATCGCGCCACTCACCCCGCATCAGCTTCCGGCTCCCCTCCGTCATGCCCTCCGCGATTCCCATTAGGATAATTGCGCCCGGGTCGTCGCGCCCGCGCACGACGGCGTCGACGTAGACTAGGTCGTGCGGCTTGAGCACGACGGCGTCCGGCCCCAAGGCGACGACGCGGCCGATGGCGGCCGTGCCGGTGACGAGCGGGGTGGCGTAGGCGTAGGCACGCGCGCCATTGTAGACGTCGGGGAGGTATGCCATTATGGGCGCGTGCAGGATTTTGATGATGGCGGAGCCGGGGGTGGGCTGGGGGGTTGGGAGGGTTTTGGGGGTGAGGGGGGCGGCGTAGGTTTCTTGGACGAGGGCGGTGTGGGTTGGAGGGAGGGGGGTGGTGGAGGTGGACATTTGGTGGAGGAGTGGTTGTTGAGAAGCGGGTGAGATGAGTTGTGAGGACTGTTGATGAGAAGATGGATTTTAAGACTTTGCGATTGAAGTGATTTGTATCTGGGAATAGGCCTTACCATACTCTTTTATATCGTAGTATAGAAGGCTTCCCTACGTCAACGTCTTACTGCCGAAATAGGCCTAAAGACTCTCCGTTCAAGTCCCTAAAAGCAGGCATAGGCCTCACGAAGGAAACGTCTTCTACCGAAATAGCCGTAACGACCTCCGCTGAGCCCAAAACGGACATAAGAGTAATCAACGCACCGTCGTCGGCCGAACAGTATCTCCATTTACATGAGTTTTAAATCCTTCTTGGGCCTTTAGTGTCCTGCAGTAGCGTCGTCCATCTCGCGTAAGAATCGGCATTTAGCGGAGTTAAGGAGTGGTGATATGGGTCATTTGTCAGGGTATAGATGCTTAGAGGGATGATAGTTAGTTGTATGTACGGCGTATAGGCCGGGTATTATGAGAGGGACGAAGCTATACCAATCGGTGAGCCACAAACTGAGGATCACGTGACGCGATATTTCTGTTGTAATGTCGCCCTCTAGGAACCAGTAGCACGAAACAAGCATGCAGAGATGTGTGATCGGGAGAGAAACGAGACAGAATGTAGATAAAAAGAGACCCTCATAGTGCAGGAACTATGGCGAGACGGGTTCTGGGAAAGGTACCTGTATATCAAAAGCCAAGATCACGGCGAGACAGGTCTCGATTGACGGCTAGGTATAAGCTTAAATTTAACGAGATGAACCCTGATACCAGATTTACAGGGAGGAGTCTCTACCAAAGACACCTAGGACGGGGAAAATGTCCAGATGTCGAAAGCTAAGATCTCAGTGAGAAATGAAGTATCTCTCAAGCTCTTTACGACGGTCGAAGATGAGCTTGGATCTGATGAAAGCGCAGCACTCATACTAGATGCGCAATAAGAATGAAAAAAGAATTTTCCTCCAAGTACCTGGGCCGTAGAAAGTGAGGTGTGGACCTATCACGAGTTAGATATTCGGATGGCTCTGGAGCCGCCGCTGGGACCCGCCACAAGGGTTCCCGGAGCCTCTTTTCAGATCCCCAGGGCCAATGCCAGATGCTGGCGCAGGCTGAAGCAGGCGCTGCGTCGCTTCGGCGGCCTGAGGCTGGAGTAGCAGCGGGTTTCGTAGAGGAGTGCAGCTGAAACAGGCATGGAGTGCGGTATGGAGCAGAAAGCCAAGGCCGCGCAATCCCCAATCCCCGGCCCCTGGCTGGCCCTTGTCGGTTGGTGGAATTCTTAGCGGGCTGTAAAGACAACAGGACAAAGCGTCGAGGAATATGGGAGAGCGAGGCTGCCACGCAACTGCCTTTATTCATGCTCAATAGGACTCTATAATACTTTTCTGTACCGGGCCTACTCCTGCTGGTCCGTCTAATACCTACAACCTCCCCGTGCTTCTATACGCCGCAATCCCGCTGGTCATTCAATCTAGTCAGCCGAAACCCCAGGACTCGTGGCCTTTCAACCGCATTGAGGGCACAATTATAGCCTCAAAACCTCGACGCCGCACCCACGCTACCCACCGAGAGCGGACGGCACATTTCCTCGAACAACTGCTCCGACGTGTATCTCACCTGGCTCGTTCGCACGCCACGGCATCTTCCATGAGATAGCGAGGGCTCTCCGGACTTCGACCGGCGTCACGTCGCCTGCGACCCTTCCTCTCCCTTCTAGAATGCGCCTCTTCACACACTCACCCTCGCGATGGCGGAGTGGTGCTCCGTTGGGAGCGCTGGCCTGCGGTCTGTTATATTCCGCAGCCCTGTTTCCTGGTGTCCTTGCGGAGAAGACGGCCGCAGATTACTACGTTCACGAGTTACCTGGAGCCCCGGAGCCGTTGTTGAAGATGCATGCAGGGTGCGTTGTATTCTATCTATCAAATTACAGGGCCCGCTAACTCATGAACAGTCACATCGAAGTCACGCCCGAGCATCACGGAAACATCTTTTTCTGGCACTATCAGAACCGGCACATCGCGAACAAGCAAAGAACAGTAATATGGTTGAATGGAGGTCCAGGCTGCAGCTCGATGGATGGTGCCATGATGGAGATCGGCCCATACCGAGTACGAGAAGGTGGAAAGCTGGAATACAATGATGGATCGTGGGACGAGTTTGCCAATATTCTTTTCGTGGATAACCCTGTCGGAACAGGCTTCAGCTACGTGGACTCGAATAGCTATCTTCACGAGCTCGACGAGATGAAGGACCAATTCATGATTTTCTTGGAGAAATGGTTTGCTCTCTTTCCAGAGTACGAGCACGATGATGTAGGTGATTCTAAAATCAAGCGGAGTATAAATATTGACTTGGAGTAGATTTACATCGCCGGAGAATCGTATGCTGGCCAACACATTCCATATATCGCCAAAGGGATCATCGAACGCAACAAGAACGCCAATAAGAGACCCTGGAAGCTCGCCGGTCTGCTGATTGGAAACGGCTGGATCTCGCCCTTGGATCACTACTTCTCCTACCTCCCCTTTGCGTACGAGGAAGGATTGATAAAGGGAGGAACCGAGTCAGCCAAACGTGTGGAATCGCAAGTGGCCATCTGCACGAAGCTTCTCAACGAAGGCGCCAAGGACCACGTCGACACGTCCGAGTGCGAAAAGATCATGATGGACATCCTTGACGAGACCAAAAACAAAAAAGCAGACCCCCAGCACCGATGCTTGAACATGTACGACATTCGCCTCCGTGACGACGACTCTTGCGGCATGAACTGGCCCCCAGACCTCGCCACCGTAACGCCCTACCTCCGCCGCAAAGATGTCATCGCCGCGCTACACATCAACCCCGACAAGAAGACCGGCTGGCAAGAATGCAGCGGCTCCGTCTCAGCCAACTTCCGCGCCCGCAACTCCGTCCCTAGCATTGCATTCCTCCCCGACATCCTCGCCCAAGTCCCCGTCGTCCTCTTCTCCGGCGCCAAAGACCTCATCTGCAACCACCTGGGCACCGAATCCCTCATCGGCAACCTCGAATTCAACGGCGGCAAGGGCTTTGAGCTCTCCCCCGGCGTCTGGGCCCCCAAGCGCGACTGGACCTTCGAAGGCGAGCCCGCGGGCATCTACCAGGAAGCCCGCAACCTCACCTACGTCCTCTTCTACAACTCGTCCCACATGGTGCCCTTCGACTACCCGCGGCGCACCCGCGACATGCTCGACCGCTTCATGGGCGTCGACATCGGCTCCATCGGCGGTTCGCCCGCCGACTCGCGCATCGACGGCGAGAAGGGCCCGCTCATCTCCGTCGGCGGCCACCCCAACTCTACTACCGCGGCGGAGGCGGAGAAGGAGAAGCTCAAGCAGGCGACGTGGAAGGCGTACTACAAGTCTGGCGAAGTTGCGCTCGTTATCGTCATCATCGCTGCTGGGCTGTGGGGCTGGTACGTGTGGCGCGACCGACGGCGGCGCGCGGCGCTGGGGTACAAGGGCCTTGGGACTGGCGGGTCGGGCGAAGGGCGGGAGAGTCTTATGGCTGGGATGGGCCTGGAGAGTTTTAGGCGGAGAGATAGGGGGGATCGGGATGTTGAGGCGGCGGATTTTGACGAGAGGGAGTTGGATGAGGTGCCGAGCCCGCTACCGAGAGCAACGCCTAACGGGAGTGGGGTTGCGAATGGGGGGGCGGAGGGGAAGGAGAGGAGGCGGTATAGCCAGGATGAGGAGCTGGTGGATGATGGGACGTTCAGTATCGCTGGGGAGAGCAGTGATGGGGACGCACCTGGGAGGAGTCGGGAGAAGGTGTAACACTTTCGTTGTTTGAGTGCGAAGCGAAGCGTGTGTTGGGCGAGCTTTTCTGGGATTGTGGGTTGCATTGGTGGCGTTTGGGTTGAATATATAGGGAGGGGATTCCCATACTAGGTATTATTAAATTAAATGCTATTGGTACTTACTGAGGCTCCGTGTTTGTGGGTATTCTGGTCATGAGAGTGGTGATATCTTGCAAAGACCTGAGTCTCCCCAGGGATCACGCTAGCATCCAGACACAGGTTCAAACTGGTATAGTGCCTCGCCATAAACTTGTACACTCGTTTACCGCTATGTGAGGAGCTTCATAGTATTTTCAGCATTCCGAAGGAGGAAGAAGTTCAGCATTTTGGACACCTACTAAGCCTGTCTGAGAACAGACTTTCGTTTTATAGGAGCATTTCCTATGGAGCTGTGAAACGTGACACCACATAGCGACTTGAGTGCATACACTAGAAATCCAGAAATGGAACAGATACCATTCTACATCCCATACGGAGCAGGCGCACAAGTCATATATAGACAATCGATAGCGGTGAAGTGAAGAGAAGCTGACTAACCAGTGCCGTTTCCTAACGTTGCGTGTCCTGCTGTCCGTGTTTTGCCTTTCTTCTCTTCCGATAAACACTGTATCCATCACCAACATGAACTACGCCGAGGTCAAAAAGATCTTCAAAGACCACGGGGAGGGAGTTCCAGACGACATCGAGGAGATGGGTGCGCAATTCAAAGATGCGCACATATTCAGGCTGCCCCCGCGTATGTTCCATCTTCAGAGCAACATTCCAATCCAATTCCGGCATCTAGCTTACGGTAACTAGATCTAGACGGAGAGAAGCGCGAGGCGATCAAAGCTAGCTTTGCCGCCGCGATGAAAGAGAAAGCGGACGTGACGAAGGGCGAGGCAGGATCGGGCAAGCCTCCCAAAGCCGATACGGATCCGGCCGCGGGTGCAGACACCAACATACTCACCGAGGAGCTGGAGGAGAGACATACCGGAGATGGGAAGGACTCAGCTGCCGGCTCGGTGAGGAGTCAAGCAGTGTTAGGTAGCGCTGCCCGACCAAGCGTCCCGGCAAAAGTGTCGCCGGTGTGCCCGTTCTTCCAGCTCGACATCTGTGCCCTAGGCGATAAGTGCGAGTACAGACACGTTAGGGAGGAGGAAACATGCAACTAGGCAGTCTGTGAGTCGGACGACCGGCTGGGGAACGATGATTTGCCGCTGGGGAAGGAAAACTTGCTGTTATGAGTGAGGAGAGGGACGACGGATTGGCTACATGGGGAAGGATGAACTCTTGAGTAGAGAGAGAGATCAAAGTCAAATCTTCCCTACATGAGTCATTCTTGGGCTTATTATGGAGCCTGTTTCTGAGAAGATGCTCCAAACTACAGCATGCGTGCAAAGACAGCAAGCGCTGACCGCTATTGAGAACAACCCTTTCCCATTTGCATGAGATTCCAGTTTGTTCTCCCGACGATTGCTACCCCCGCTCCTTAGGCAGTGTGAAGCAAGCATCAACAGGCCCATATCCTAGTGGGCGCTGCTCGAAATGGGACGGCGTCTCGTTCTTCCTGCCCCGGCCACCCCCCAAATCCGGCAACTCTTGGCAGCTATGAGGGCGTCGATAAGTGTTGAGCACCGTAGACCCCCCTCTAACATTATGAAGCTGGGGAGTAACACCTATAGAACTTCCTCAAAAATACTACTTGACCTGGCGAACAACGTCCCGGTGTCGGATCCATGATAGGACGTGTGGTTGTTGAGCTATTCAAGAAAAGGCTGAAATACGGCGGGAGGCCCGAAATTTCGGTTTCTGAGGATTGTGCGAATCTGGAAAGTCTTGGCAGCCGGGCAAAAAGTGTCGAGCACCACGACACCCCCCTCTAACTCAACGAGATCGAGGTTTCACTCCTCCAAAACTTACTCAAAAATAGTAACCGACCGGCTGAATCACCTCCAGGTTTCAATTCCGTGATGCGAGGCGTGGTTGTCGAGTTATTTGCTGCGAAGGGACGGGAGCCCCGAAAACACAGATTTTGCCGCCAAGCCAACACACTTGGGCAGAGTACGCAGGTCCTGTACGGCGAACGATTGAGCCACGATAAACTGCTCGCTGGAGTGGTGCTGACTAACCGGAGTCGCGTCCGCCTATAAGTAGACCGCGTGTGCAGTCTTTCCACAACAACACCCCCCTTCGTCGACCTCGCTCAACCACCACGTCGACATCCTCATCACCCTCCGTCCGTGGAGCATCTCGTTCTCTTCGTCGACCTTCTCCTACGTCGGCTCTTGCCTCGTGCCATCTCGGCCACTCATACATAACCTTCCTCGGACTCGTCCCCGCCCTCCACCCACGATAGGATCTGGTCGTCTCCCGAAGCCGATGAAGCCACTGTTGTAGGTCGGGGACAAAGGCCTAAGGAACTTCCAGAGAGGGGAGGTGAAGCAGCGGCGCCTGGGGCAACCCTAGCGTTCGGGCGCTGGCGGCTAGAAGTCGGGGCGTTTGGCACGGAGCAAGAAGTGTATTGAGACCTCTGTCGTAGGTGGTAACCTGTCAAGCAGTCTGCTCTGCAGCTGCGAGACTCGCCCGACACTGGGGGACGAGCGAAGCGATTGCGAGCTCCAACCTGGAGGAAGAAGCCAACAGATAGCAGTCGCCAGACTTGCAACAGGCCCTAGGGTCCTTGGCATGTTTTACGCAGAGGTATCCTTTATGCTGCCCACCAAGAAGAAGACGCTAGTCAGTCCAGTTAGCACGCTTCTCCCGACCTCGGAAGGAAGGGAGGAAACAGGGGAATGGTTGGAGATGAAAGAGAGAGGGATGGAGCGGGCCTGTGCGTGGACGTTTTTCCCACTGGGTTTTTTTTCTGAAGCGCAGTTCTGTATACGTGGTAGATTGTGGAGGAGTTGGAGAGGATTTGAGGGGTTTTTGGTAGCAGAGATTCAAAATCAAACCTGATGTACATACAACTTCTTCCGCCATGATCACTCACCAATGCCCTGTTTGTGACCAAAATGCGACTATTCGAGCACCAAGAGAATGAAGACACAAAAGAGCATACCTATTGTAACCTACAAATGTTTGAATACATATTCACTGCCCATACAAAGCGACATCTGATGGCAGATGATGGAATCCAAGCAAGAAGTACTCCAAGACGGGCGATATTCATCGTCGCTGACGCTACCTATACCTTCATAACAAGCACGCCGTCCCCATTCCTCATCCATTCCATCCATCTCAATACCCACGAAGACCCATACGACAAGGCCTCGCAGTACAGCTCCAGACTCACCAACCCACACGCCTCAACCTACGGCGTCTTACCTCCAACGCGTGCGCGTTTCCTCCACGTACCTTTCACGACCCCAGCCTTACCAAGGCCATCCTCCCAAGCGACGCTTCATCAGGGCATGAGTATTCACCGTATTAGCTTGAATCGTGCGTATCAAAGAGGAGGATAGCAGTCGAAGTTCGCGTCGCGTCAAAGAAATCATGTAATCGCAACATGCCACATAGCGGCCCGATCACGTGCGCAGCCTCGTATCTGTATTAATCACCGCATTACACACGCAGAGATACCCGCCCCCGTACCGCCTACGCCTTCCTTTTCCTCTTATTCGGCATCCTTGATAGGGAGGGAAGCACCTTAATTAGACTTCACAAGTAGCAAAAAGAGTGTACGAATAGGAACATTTTTCGAAGTATTGCAGCCAGACATCAGCAGTACCGGATATTCACTGATGAGGTGTTCTAACTCGTGAAATTGCGACTCTAAGTCTTGATTTCGCTCAAAAACATCCCAATTCAGCGTTTCGTTCAAAACCTACAACGTGAAGTGTCGAGTTCCTGGTTCAAGTTACGCTCTTTGTAAACCCAAATCTTCAGACAGCAAGCTTAAAGGGCTCTGGAGGCTTCAGCAACTGCCTAGTGATGTCCTAAACTGTGGTTTCCGACCACATCTTTCACCATTTCCCACTTTTTCCAATTGACTCCCGACAAAACCCCCGTTCCTAGACACTCCAACTTTTCTCCTAAAGCAGCCAGCCTCATACCCGCTTCAGCATAGGGTTTTTGGACCTACTGAAGCCATTGCTAGTGGCTAATTCAGTAAAAACTCGTTCTTTTCCAACCCACTCCCTAACAACCTCCGGTTCTGGAGAAAACCAACTTCCCCTATTGCCGCCATGTACCTACACGCTTCAGAATATGCTCGTGGGTCCTAGTAGAGCTATTCCAGGCAGTTGCTTTTGCCATATTCCCACTTTCCCGACTCCACTCAAACCAATACCGTTTCTCGATACAATCAACTTTCCAACCAAGGCCACCCTCGTCTCACGCGCTTCAACATAGGCTCATGGGGCTTAAAAAGAGTATTTCCGCCGTCCAGCTCAACGCAATTACAGCTTTCCCAAACTCACTTAGTGCCCTCAGATTTTGAGAAATATCAACTTTCGAGCCAGGGCCTCAGCCGCCAAACGCATTAAAGGGACGCTCAATAAGACCTCTAGGATGCAGTTCCCAGTGTATCCGGAATCAAAAGCTCAATAGGTCGAGAAAGACTTGCCCAGACCTGAGCCGGCCCCTTTTTGGCTTGGGAAAACACCCGAACGACGAATCTCCCCCGTTCCACACTTTTCGCACACGACCTCAAAGGACCTGATGGAGTCATTCTGGCGCTTAACATTAGCCAGATAAGCTCTGCGTAGGCTTACATCTCACCGGAGGCTCACACGCTGACTTTGAGACCAAGTCCCTCCCGAACAGTGGCAGCCCTTGAGCCGAAACTCCTAGCATCTCATTTCCGGGCCCAAACCAACCAACAGTTCCTACGCGCGGCTCTGAAGGTACCATCTCTGCCTAGGGCTGAATCGAAAATCGACTAGTGACAACGAGGGTATATACCCCTTAACAAAACAGCTTTGCACACGACTCCAGAGGGCCTATCAGAAGCATTCGGGCACGCAACACTGGCCCGCAGCCGCTCTGCGTGGACTCGGAATCTATCTATCAGGGGCCAGCGACCCTCCATTCACCACCGCTTTTCTCCCGAGCGACGGCAGCCCGCGCCCTAAACCTCCCAGCGTAAGCTTTCAAGGGCCCAACCCACTCGATCCCCCGCGCGGCGTTGGAGCCGGGGGGGACGTCTGCACGACCCCTAGATGAAATGTGGGCCAGCGACGACGAGGTCCTGCAACGCCCAAGTAATAGCTTCACGGGACGTCTTTTGCAAGACCTAGTAGAACTGGTCTGGCATGCGGTTAAGACTGAGCGACGCATACCTCGACCAAGATATCATCGCGGGCGCCCCGGTTGACTTCAAGACCAACTCCCTCCCTCCCGCACGACAGCAGCTTCTTAAGCCACAACTCCCAGAACATCATCGTAGAACCCTACGCACTCGACCCACGGCGCGGCTTCGACCAGAGAGGCGCTGTAGGGCGTGGAATCGAAAATGGGCGGGGCGACGGCGAGGTTGTGAGGGGCCCGAATCCCGCTTCGAGGAGGGTGGCTCGTTAGGACGTCTAGCAAGCGGTTGGGTATGCGGCTTTGAGGGGGGAGGCGTTGCAGGAGTTGGGATTGAAAACGGGTGGGCGACGGCGAGGTTGAGGGACCCGCAACTTCCGCGGCGACGAGGGGTTGAGTAGGACATACAGGAAGCGATTGTGCATGCCAGTTTGACTAGAGAGCCATTGCGTGGATGTGGGATTCAAAAGGGGTGGGAGACGACGACGTTAAGACACCCACAAGTCACAGCAAAACCAAATCTGACATGAACACGAGCCGCAGGGGCCCTGCTTCATTATATACAGCCTGCGCTGCGATACCTCAGTCTATCCCGAACCCCCGTCCGTCCCATCGCCGGAGGACGCCCACGCCCAGCCCCATCCCCGCCCCCTGTCTCGAAAAAGCACAATCATCACACGCCGACGCCCTGCCGTATTTTCCCAGATGCAAAGTTAGATACCACCAAGCCGCTGCAGTCCCCCTATGATGAGCAAGAAGAAAGAATCGAAGTTCAACGCCGTGTAATGCCCGCCCCGGATATGCATGTATGCAGACGCTGGAAAAGGAATCGCGAATCGTATCATGGTGGCCGCAGCCCGTCTATCGAGCGTTAAAGTGGCACACTCCTCAAGCCTCTGTCTCGTGTAGTCGTGTGTACACTGTCTGCCACTGTTTGAAGTGCTTCAACGAGGTTCCGCATAGCCCAATTGAAGGACTTCCATCTCATTCAGATTTCTGAATGGCTTTGGAGCACCCCAAGCAGTAGCATACAGACGTACACCCCGTGTAGAGTACCACTTTTTGCCCCGCGTGCAGTGTCGGAGGTTGTAGAAGTCGATGATCATCAGAATAGACCTCCCTCCATCGGAGATTGATCCTCTTCTCGCAAAGCACCGCCGCTCCGCTTTTTCGGCCAGAGCTTCGAGCTAACTCGTTTCCAGCCGTCCTTCGTCGCACCGGCAATGCTAGAATGATCGCCCCGGCCAAGACGTGGACTCGGGGTGGTCCCCTGCGAGTCGTAGTAGCTGTTGCCGTAGCTGAACTCGCTCATCGGCGGCGTCGTCGGCGGCGTCATGGGATCGTCGAGGCCGCTGGGGCTGCTGGCACTGCCGGAGTCGTCGGTGAGGGCGTCGCTGCCGCTGGTGTCCATGGCGGACGATGAGGAGGTGGCGGGTGGGCCCGAGGCGAAACGGCCATGTGCGGCGGCATTCCGCGAGTGCAGGAAGTTGGAGGTGAGTGAGGAGGGCGCGGACGCTCGCTGGGCGGTGGGCGAGGAGTTGCGCGAGTACATGCCCCGTTCGTCGTAGGAGCGGGTGTGCGTCCGCGACAGGCTGACGTCGTCGCCCTCGTACGCAGAGCCGGGGGTTGCCGTTTGCGGACAGAGCGAGTTGAGGAAGGGGGTGAGGACGGATTCCTCCATCAGTTCGTAGATCTTGGCGACGGCGGGATCGAGGGTGGCGGGGTGCGGCGGGATGTACGGGTTCGACTGGGCGAGGAGAGAGTCGCGCACGTCGCTGGGGAGGTTGACTTCCCGCGGGCCGTTCGGGGCGATGTAGGCGTCGAGCAGGCGCTGCCACAGCATCTTGACGTAGGTGCAGTCGTCGCTGAGGGGGGAGATGGGCGAGCCGGGGTTGCGGGCTGCCATCTTCGAGTAGTGTTGCCGGTAGCGGGAGGCGTCCATTGTGAATTCGAGGGTCTCGAGGCAGTGGTTTTGGGAGAGGTAGGCCATGAAGGCGGAGAGTGTCCAGGGGGGCGGCGCGGTGTTGGCGAGAATCTCAGAGAGGGTGGGTCTTCGCGGGCAGTACGGCCCTGCCGCATAGCCGCCACGCGGTATGGAGACGGTCAGGGGCCGCGAGGGCAGGTATTCGGCCATGTTCCCCTCGTCGTCGGCGTCCGAGTCGTAGGCAGACGAGCAGCGAGGGGAGGAGGCCGCGGACGAGGTCGTGATGCGCAGAGTGCCGGCCTTGCGACTGTGCATCACGGTCTTCCACAGCGCGCGGTACGTCCGCTCAGTCGTCCGGGCCTTGTCGTCGCCGCCGGTGCAGGAGCAGAGCGTAGCAGTCCGCACGGGACGGGGTCGTGACGCCAGCTTGACGGGGAGGGTGTTCTCTACGGGAGCATGGGCGGGCGCGTGGAGGGAGATGTTTGGGAGCGGCGGCCAGCAGCGAGGACAGCAGCAGGTTGAGGGCGCGGCTGCGGTGCGAGGCTGGAGTTTGTCTTCTGGAATGGTCACAGCAGAGGAGTGGGCGGCCAATGCAGGCGATCCGAGACGTGTGAGACGGTGTCGGGAGGCAGCGTGCGAGGCGGGAGGCTGCAGTGCGGTCGATTAGTGAGCAGCGGCGACGTCGTGGGCGGAGTCAGTCGTCGAGTGGAGGAGTGGAGGAGTGTCGTCGGCGGGGAGTTGTGAAGGCGTGGTGTCAGAGGAGGGGAGGCATGAGATGGAGTCGGGGACGGGCGCTTTCTAGACGGGTTGAGCAGGACGCTGGGCGGTTGTCGTGGGTGTCTGGGCTGGTCAGCACGGTGACTTTGCACAGACTCGGCGTGTGCGGTGGTGGATCGAGAGGAGGCCTTTGCATGGCACAGAGGACGTCGACGGGGCGGATGCCAATCGCACCGTTAGGGCGGCGCCGCTTTTGCATTGGGGCCCTCAAATTGCGTTTTCGTGTGTCGCCAGACAAGGGCCTGACACACCCGCCATGCCGTTACGTAGCCGCGTCACGACGGTGAGGGCGAGGTGGGCCAGGAGAGCCATGTTTGCAGCGGCATTCCATCATCCGGCGCTGCAGTATTGGTCCAGGGCGCAGCTCTGAAGCGTGCGACACAGCAGCGACGGAGACGGCAAGACACCACAGACAGGCACCGCATCTGCTATCTGCTGCATCCAGCGCACTCAGGCCGGTGGCAAAGCGCTGCGAACACGACAGGGCGCGGTTTCATTCTTTGTCTGTTCTAGCGCGCTTCCGTGGTGCAAGAGCAGCGAGCAGCTCCACCGGCTAAGCAGCCATTGGACGTTCCCCGGGGCGGTGGGTGCCAATCGCACGGGGGCGTCTTCTTCGCTGCTTCGATTGAACCTTCGCCGACAAAGCCAGGCCGCCGATCCCTCTCCGCGGTGCCAGTGCCTCGCGCCGCCGTGTGCCAGCCGTCTGCTCGTCGTCCTGCCCAAACAATCACCTCCCTCGGCTTCCCAGCGTGCCAGTCCTCAGCGTCGCCGCGCCATGTCACGGTAAAGCGGCCAGACCGCGGCCCGCGCTGCTCCAGCAGAGCAGGGCGAAGAGCAAGGCCTGCACCTGCCCTTCCTGTCGCTGCCGAGGGCTCGCCCGGCTGCCAAGCGCGCCGAGGGGCCAGTGCCTGGGCTGGCGTCGTGCTGGAAGGCCGCTAGAACACGACGCTTTCCAGAACATTGCCTGTTTGCCCCTTTTGCAGCACCACGTCCGCCCGCCGCCGATCATCTCACCCCCAGCGTGTGCTGCATGACCGCATCGTCAACCCACATTGGCCAGGCGGTCTGGCGGCGACATGACAGACGATATGAGCATCTGCGCCCCCCGGCATCGACATCAACTCCCGGCGCTGCCCCTGTCGCATCAATTCCGTCTCCTGTCCAAACACCACCTCTCAGCCTTGAACACAGACTCCACCTCTCACGACTCCACTCCCCGACGATAAGCGGCACGCTCCTCACAAAACCAGATCTGCTGCCGGCCCGCGGTGGGAGCCTCAGCTGCGGCGGTGAGTTTCGGGGCGTCGCGAGGCAACCCCATTGCTAATATAATCGATTCCTGCCTGTCATGCGCGCGCCACATCACCTCTTTTTCCGTGGCGGCAGACTCTTCATCTTTTCTTCTCTTTTCCCAGCACGTCGCCTCCACTCGTCCCTCCTCGTGCCACCACGCTGACCCGCAGACGACGCGCTGCTGTGCAAGCGGCTCCCACAGGAATGGTAGCCACCGTGCTGGCCTGGCTGCGGCCTAGTCCGTGACGTGAGCATTGTTGGTGGCTCCAAGACGTAATCGAATCACGGGAATGCTGGAATAGGCTGGCCGGGGATTCCGATGGGAAACAGAGACTGCGATATTACCACATTGCAATTCCAGCAGTCTTGCCATACAGCTCCTGCCGGTCCTAGCATATAGCATTTCCCGAGTCTTACCTCCTGGCCAGCTGGGCCACATGACATTTCCCGAGTCTTACCACTAATATCTACGCCATTCTCACGCGTCTCCCAGGCCGAGTCTCGAGCGCTGCAACCTCCAAATCCCATCCGGCAGCTGCCAGCTTCTCCGTCGTCTCCTTCCACGTCTTGCTGGCTTCCTGAAGCGTCATCCGTAGTTCAGACAAAGAATCCGCCTCCTTAGGCCTCGACGCTACCATCAGCGCCTGCGTCCATGCTTTCAACTGGTCAACTGGCGTGCTGTCCTGTTTCAAGACGATCAACGCCTCAGATCTGGCCACGTCGAACCACAGCATGTACGCCTCGTCTCTGTACAGCTCCGCCAGCGCAGACAGCTTCGAATCCAGCTGCACAGCACCCGTCGTTGCATGGCGAGGCCCCAGGCGCTGCAGCAGGGTCTGCAAATCAACCCCAATCCTCCCATAGCCCAGCACTCTCCCATCCACCCATCTCAACACCCCATCTCTCTCAAAGACCCTCTCTTTCCCCGACACCTCCTTCGGTTTCAGCACCCTGCCCCTGCTCATAAACTCCCCCAGCACGATATTCGCCCGCTGCCGGTTCAGCGTCCGCATACTAACCGCCCGCACCGCCTGATGGTTCATCCCCAAATGCACCGCCAGCAGCAGCACCAGCACAGACCACGTCGCAGCCGCCGAGCGCACCCACGAAACCACCACACTGCCGGCCTGTGGATCTGCAATTCAGCCTAAGCGCATAGCATCGTACTCTCGATCGATCAGCGCACTCACCAGCATGCCAAGCAGCGAGATGACCGTCTCCTGGCTCGAGTCTTTCTGCGTGCAGCGTTAGCGCCAACCTATCGGTGGCCGTAGATTGAACCCGCGATATTAACACCAGATCTAACTACCACTCACAGCATTCAACTCCCCCAAGTTCCCCCGCTGCGCAAAGTGCGCGGATAGGCTGGCCTTGGCGCTGCCGGCCGCGACGCCGCACAGCGAGCGCAGGACGCTGGACCCCGCGAGCACGAGCACGCGGACGGGCTTGGGGAAGGCCGGCGAGAGGCAGTCCAGCACCATGGCGGCGTCGTTGAAGATGTCGGCGGCGAGTCGGTACATCTTGCACTCGGGCTCCAGCGCGGTGCCGAGCCGGTGCGCGAACAGGATCGTGGCGATGCGGCCCATGGACTCTTGCAGCACGTTGAGGAGGAGCGCGGCGGTGGGGGAGGCGGTGCTGTCGCCGACGCCGACGCCTGGGAGGGGGAGGGGGGACGTGAGTTTGGGATAGGTAGCTAGTGGGGAAGGGGGGTTTCGTGTTTAGGGGTATAAATAGGCACACATATAGACTAGCTATAAAATAACGGAGATCTGGCACGCACCTTCCAAAACTGCGCGTGAGGACAGCATCCCCGCGATCGAGCTGGCGAAGGCTTGGAGGGAGTCCTGGAAGCGGTCTTTTTAGCACGTGAGATTGAGGGAGTGGAGGGGAGGGGCTGCGGTACGTAGATCTGGTATCTGTGGCGTTGTTAGCGTTGGATTGACGTCTGTAACCTCCGCGCCATCTAAAAGGTTGAAATGCCCTTCTCCGGGGCCATACGCACTCCAAATAATCCTCCGTCACGCTGCCCGGGTAACCTGCTGGGAGGAATACATCCAGCGCGGCTTTCCAGCTGGCTTTGGGGTGCGGCGGGTGCTGTGGCGTGTTAGCTGGGGGGGTTTTTGTGGATTGGAGGGGATTGGGGGGGGGGCGGACGATGATGTCGATTCTGCTGCCGCGGGATGAGGGGGAGTAGATGTAGGTTGTTAGGAGGGCGCCGGCGTCGTCGTGTTCGGTGATTGAGAGGGCGGGGGACATGGTGGTGGTTGTTTGGGGAGTGGTTGTTCGGGGAATGGTTGGTTGGGGAGTGGCTGGTGGGGGAGGTGAGAGGGGTAGTGGCTTTTGATATCGTCGTTGCTGGTTGCGATCAGAGGTTCAAATTATGGGGTTTGTACTGTTATTTAGGGCTTATTCGGGCCATTTGATGTGGATTTGGGGGGCTGTACGTTATCTATTAGGGTTTCTAGGTGAGTCTGAGTTTGACCGGAACGTTTATATCACTCAATGCAAAGATGGGATGCTGCCATTTGGAAGGCTTTACTCGCTGCATGTTGCTTCATTTCTCAGCAGAATTCAGCAGTTTGGACCTATTCATCAAATTCTTGCATCGAGCTTTTCAGGAACTCATTGACTATCAGGGCAGGTGTTGGGTAATCATCTCAATATGAGAGTTTTAGATATGTAGGAGCACTACGATTGGATGAGAGGCGCTCGAAACGTCTGATTAAGGCTCATATGTATCTAGACCCCCCATGCAAAGCTTCCTATTGCTCACTTGATCCCTCTCAGGTAAGAACGCTGCAAAACAGAAACTAGGCGTAGTAGCTCTTCGAATCCTGCCTTTTTATCGTGGCTGACATCGATCAACGAGCCACAAAGAAATACAATAGAGCAGAAACAAAAGCTTAGAGAAGACTGTCGGCATATTCGCCCTAAGGAAAGAGACTTGGGCAAGAAGGATATCAGACGTGAATGCCAGAAGACGAGTTCAAACCTGTTCTACAACGTTCCTTGGGCTCTGCGTTCATTCGTTGGATACGAAGCCGTTTCAAGTCCTGGCGAGCCACTTAGATCAGAAGAGTACGGTTACATTCTTATCCCAGTGGCTGGTCTGTCATCGAATCTCCGCCTTCGTAGTCTTTGTAACCTTAGCTTCACGCTTCGTTACCTTCTTACAATTCTTCTAGTCTCCATTGTCAACGTACTTATGGTATTCACAAATATCCAGCCTCTTCTAAGCCATGTAATCACTATATGTGTGGCAAGTCGTCGATCACTCGACAACTCGTGAACGATATAATTGCCCACAGAAGCGCTAGATAGCTTGTAGCCGGCAGGAGATGCGAAACGTGGTCGAATAGACGATGAGCGTGAGTAATCGGAAGCCGATGAAGACTCCTGTGTGAAAAGAGGAATAAGGTCGATACCGATGCGGCAAACCGGATGCCAGTTTCTTCTGCATGTGAAGCTCCCCATGCATAGCCGCCATTCGCCTCAGAATCGTGGTATTTTACTGATCCATCGTCGAATCGATGGCTGGGTCCTTGTTGGTGTCGGCGTCGGAACATTTACTGTAGGTGCTTGCACTTCCGTAGCGGTCTCAATCGTCTTGATTCTCGTAGGCATCGTCCTAGCCTCCCTCTCCTCCTTACACTTCTTCCGTTCCTCATCATCAGCATGCTCATGATAATCGCATACATCCCCCGTCTTCCGTTCATTCCCCTCTACAAGATGCGCAATGGTACCAAGCCCCTTGATCATCATCCCAAGGAGAAACGCATAAGGAAGATCAGACCGCAGCTTCCCATCTTTATTCAACTCCTTATCCTCACCATAATCATGCACCGACGCTCGATATCCATTCCGACAATACCTGTCGATAAGAAGCTGGCAGAGCGGAGAGTCCTCAGGCAGGTTGTCGTATGCTAGAATGACGCTTCTGTAGTCGGGCACTACTTCCAGGCGGTCGTAGTAGTAGAAGATGTGGTCTATGGCATCCCTTCGGAGGTTGGGGATCTCGTATTGATCGCCGAGCGCGTAAAGACGTGTGACTAGATCCAGCTTTTTGGCTCTACTGAGCTTGGTTCCTGGATTGATGGTTCGTGTCGGACGGGGATGGAGAGTGCAGTCTGAAAGTGGACAAGGGAGGGTTTGATGGTAGAGCCAGTCTAGGAAGTAGCCGAATAGCGAGTCTTGGACGTCTTCCATGCTGGTTTTTCGCTCTTCTGCTTCTTTGAACGATCCTTTGAACATGGCTCTGAAATAGTCTGAATAGTGGGTGAGGAGATCCATGTGAACAGTGTGAGGCTTCTTTTCTGGACCGACGAAGATGGTGACCATCGTGGGATCCATAGTCCTGGAACCATTAATCAATGAAATTTGTAGATTTTAGGGAGCCTTACAAGAATGACGGATGGTCAGTCTTTAGCTTTTCGTTGCTTGACATCATTACGGCGATGCTAGCTCATCAGCCTGACAAACTCAAGACGTTAAGATAGAATAGCGATAAGTGATGCCAATCTGTGTGAACGACAGCATGCTCGACAATGTTAAAGAAAGGTAATCGAAGCCTGCGAGCCCCACTAGTTTCTGCGACGTCTGCCTGGTTCCAATCAGTCGTAGGGTGGAAACAGGTTCAGCTGAGCAAGGTTCAGAATCATGCATAGCCACAAGTGTGGCGTATCGGCCCCCATCGTCACCCAGGTGCAGAAGTCAAAAGCATAGCGTCTTATCTATACTGTCAAGCATTTTGCATGCTGTTCCATTTTTGATAATCCGTCGAAGCACCCCAAACTCTGACCACCCAACTGGATTTCCTCCTAGATTTCGCCAAATTCTGTGATATCGGCAATCTTATGCTCCGCTTCACAAGCCACACGCTCTTCGTCTGTATGCTCATGATAGTTGCAAAGCTTCATCTCGTTGGCTTCGAAATGGTGTAGTAGATTACCCATCTTCTGCATTACTCCGTAAAGGTACGCATGCGGTAGATATGCGCTCATCCGATCGTCCTGTTCAGTATCCCAGACGATAGGAAAATACCGCCTGGCAAATACATCGATGTAGAACTTGCACAGAAGTGAGTCTGATGGCAGAGTCTCGAATGCTTCGATGACCTCTACATTTGAAGGCAGATGTAGAGGGTTATCATGGTTGCATTCTTGATAGATTGCATTCAGGGCGTCCTTCCGGAGGTCGGGGACTTGGTAGCGATCGCCGAATATGTATAGTTTGACAAGTGGATATCGTGCCTCATCCTCATTGCAAGTGCACGGCTGAAGCGGGTATGCTGAGCTGCGTTCTGTGGTTCCACAATTCTGAGGAAGCTTCTTCGAGTAGAGCCAATCCATAAAGAACCCGAAAGTCCTCTCTTCGACTTCTTCCAAGGTTAACTCTTTCTCCTCTGCCTCTCGGAACGATCCTGTGAATGCGGCCCTGAAGTACTCCGAGTAGTGGACGATGAGATCCATATGAGCATGATAGGCCTTTCCTTGAGGGCCGACAAGGACGGTGACCAAGTCTTGAGACATAGCACTTGAGGAAATTAGCTATCTGCTGCCACTAGGTGCGAGTCAACTTACGAAAAGGACGGTGGACCCTTATTTAGCCTTCCGCGAGCCGCCATCTTCCTTGCTTTTGAATCGTGAAAATTGCCAATGAGCTCGAGGAAGATTGGTAATTAACGAGGTGACGGGCTTGTGTAGGTTGTGATGGCACGGAAGAAGGCCGCGAAGCCGGTCGCACTACTTGCGAGGCTCGCGGCTGCGGAAATTTGTTCTTCGAGAGGATTCCGCGGTTGGAACGAACAAAGCTGATGATGATGTCGGTGATATCATGAAGGTGTTGTAACGAAGGAGAGCCACGAAGTTGGTCAGCCGAGATAAGCGAGTGAAGTGAAGTGAGGTGAAATGGTGGTGGCGTAAAAGACACTTCTGGAAACCTGCCGGCCCTTCACCCATCTCAAGCCGATCCCTAATATCAGAGGGTCTACTGTCCAGCTTGCACACACAAGTCACAGCGGTTCACATCCGATCTCAATTTCTCATGATGTGCCGCCGCACGACAAACAATGGAAAGAAAATTACCAACCCCACGATAGTGCCCCTGTAGAGTTTCCGAACCCGACAGCGGTCGGCGAACGTGTACAGCAGAGGCAGTCGCATTGTAGTCCCGCTGAATTGAACCGAGGAGACTAAGGTCTATCTACAATACCTTGTTCGAAACCTGTGTTCACCAATCTGCCGCGGTCTGGGGAGCCTCAATCTACTTTCACGAATAAGAAGAGGTAATTCAAGAATTTGGACAACTAGTGAACTCGCCAGGATGCCTCAGACGACGGTGCACACAACACTACTCTGAAAATTGGTGCTTAAATAGGGCACGGATCACCACATATCAATAAATTGGAGAGGAGGATTATGCTTTTTTGTACCTACCAAAGTTTGGACTGAAAAGAAAAGCATATGCTGCATTGAAAAAAGCAAGATGTTGAAGGAGCAAAAGAAACATCCCAGAAGAACTCTTCCCTACCATGCAGCCTCCCTATTTCCCCAAAGAGCCCGAGAGATGTTGTTCAATAGAAGAAACCAGCTGGGCGCCCGAATGTCGACGAATTGCTGCTTGTTTTGCCGTGTATGCCGTGAAAGAGATGAAAAGAAGTAAAAAGGCCAAGAGAGGAAACTTTTGCGGTCGAGGGCAAAGAGAATGCATCCGAATTGAGCTGGGATCTCGCGTATGATGCTAGCTTAAGTCGCCCAGCCACACCTCCGTAAGATCTAGAGACTTGTTTTTGAATCCCTGGTGCCTGAAAAGTGATGTTGTTCATTCGTCGATTTGCTATCCTTTGATGTTGGTGATTCCGTGCTTCTCCTCGCATTTCTTTCGGTCCTCATTATCCGGATGCTCATGATAGTCGCAAAGTTTCAAAGCCGGTGATTTGCCTTTCTTAGCAACGTCACGGATATCCGATGCCTTGATAAGAGCCTCGACGAGAAATCCATTGGGTAGGCAGGACGGCTTCTCTCTCATTTCCACGGTAATGGCCTGAAAATAAGAACTGAGTCTTATACTGTATAGGTCGCTGAAGAACCTTCGCAGAGGCGATGTCTCTGGCAGTGACTCATATGCTTGAGTGATGATATGAGGCACCGGTAGGACGTCGTCAACTCTGAGAAAATACTGGAAATTGTGATCGATGACATACTTGCGCAAGTTCGGAATTTGGTACTTGTCGCCTAGTATATAGAGTTCGACGAAGATATAGTATGGGTGGGGGTCATCTTTGGGATCTTTGTGTTCCTGACTCGTGGTGATCTTGGTATAATAAAGCCAGTCCATAAAGTAGTCGAAAGTTGACTCTTCGACGTCTGAAAGATGTATCTTCTTCTCTTCCGCTTCTTTGAAGGATCCGGTGAAAGCAGCGCGAAAGTATTCGGAATAGTGCACCAGCAGATCGAGACGGATGGTGTATGCTTTCTTCTTTGGGCTAACGGTGATAGTAGCCACTTTCTGACCCATCGTCCTGGAGATATTAGCACGTTGATGAACTTGATAAGCATGGAAGAAGCTCTCAGAGGTGATCTTACGAGAACGACGGATGGTCTTCAGGCTTTCTTAGTGCATTCTTGCTTGCCATTGTAACTTTACCTGCGGCGTGAGCATTGACGGAGGCGCTGGAAGATAGCAAGCCAGTAGGTTTGGAAGAACAACGCTGCCTCGAAGCGGCTGAAAGTCGAAGTTGTTGAAGGAAGAAGCCCGCTTGTGAAGGAGGTTCGAGTCGGAAGGTTGGAGTGAGGTGAGGTAGAGTAGCTGAAATAAACGAGCCAGGTGATGGAGATGAAGTCTTCACCTTCGCCTACGATCCAGTTGGAAGGCGATGAAGTGGTTCTAGCTTCGACATGTTGGGGCCCAGGTACGTGAGATCGCGCTCTTGCCTGGATTGCCTCAACACACTATCAGCAACGCGCACCCGGTTGAAACTCATCATGTTGAGCAATCGGTAAGCTCGCCATGCCACTTCAGACCGCGGCTGACAGATGTACGTAGACCTACTATCTGGCGCCTGTCGCTCTATACTTCTTCATATAGAGCAATGGGAAAGGTAGGCACCGTAGCAGCATGCTTCGTCTATATCACGAGTCCACGATGGTGCGCCGACTAAGTTCATATCGTTATTCCATTCTTCTTTATCTAACCATGCCTCTCAGATACTACGCTCGTGTAAAAGAAACCCAAGTAATTACAAACCAGTCCAGACTCCCGCAAGCCCAATATACAAGACAAAGATGATTTACCAAAATAGAGCAAATGGATCCAACTTCGAACAAATATGACAGCATCGATACTTTCAAGAAACTATAAAAACAAGAAGGAAAGAAGTATGCAATGAAAATCGAAGATACCAGATCGTATACTCGTTCAAAAGAGATAATACAAGAACCCATCTTCATCATTAAAAGTCGTAGCTTTGGTCGTTATTATGCTGCGTAGTCGTCATACCCATCTCTCTCGCATGCCATCAATTTTTCAAACGTCTAATCTTAGCAGGATTCCTCATGCGAGAACCCATCTCAGCAACAGCACATCAACAACCACAACGGCGACAACGACTGAAAACAAGACGGTTTGGTGGAACCAACCAAGCCTCTCGTGCCTCGTGCGCATGCTAGCAACAGCCACAATTAGGAGCAGCAAGTTGGCAATCGTTCCGAATAAGATTCCAGCATCCACAACTCCTCTCTCTTTACGTCGGCCTGTAACAATCAGTGTCCCGAGAATGATGTCGATGACTACCGATGCAACAAGGCAAGTGGCGTAGAGGCGGAGCTTGGTCATTTCACGGTCGTGCTGGCGTGCCTCAATCAACTCCATTAGTGTGTGTATCTCGTGAGCTGATTGGCGACGGGCGATTTGGGACTGTTGCCTCCTAGAGGCGGGGCGTGAGCCAAAGAGGCTGCTAAAGAAGCCTTGACCTTCCGTGGAATCCTGCGATACGGCCTGACTTTGTCCTATTCGAGCAGCACGGACAGCCTCATCAGAGCTCGATTCATCGTCATCACCATCGCTGGTCGGTGATATCGGAGAATGTGGTTGGAGTAAAGACGTCTCCTCAGGGCGCTTGCCCAAACGGAAAAGGCGCTGGGTTTTGTGTGCCCATTTCAAAAGAGTATCCTGGCCGGGGAAGTGGACCGTGGAGTTTGGATCAATGTAGATGAAGTATGCTTCATCTTCAGAACCGTCTTCAGGATGATCGTACTCGTTCCAATAGTTTTGTCGATCCTCCGGTTGACCAGATGGTTCTTCAGGTATGATAGTCCCGTAAGATCTTCGCTTCGTCTTGAATGAACTCAAAGTAGGGGTTTCGAGGTATTCTGGGCCGGATGTCGCCGATGATTCTAGATTATGAATCGTACTAGGGCTCGTCTGCCCATCTGTGGCTGATGTTGTCGATCTTGATGTAGGCTGTGAGATGAGAGGAGCAGAGAAGCCCACGGTTGTGGCTGATCTGCGCTGTTTCTTGACGGCATCGGGAAGTTTTCGAATATCAGTTGCCAGAGTAGGGATCCAAAGTGGCGGAGACAAGGCATTCGGTTTAGAGCACGCCCAAACTGCGTGAACCTCAAGTGAAAATCCTCGAACGCGTTCAGTCTACGATTGATTAGCAGGACCCTGAAAGTGGTGGTTCAAAGGCTTACCAGGTGGACACGATCCAAAGCCTTGATAATCTCTGCAGATTGTGTACCTTCCCTTCGAACTTCTAGAACCGCGTGTGGGAAGGAGTGTGAATCTGTACGTGCTTTCTGGAGCCAATCGTTATCTGCCAGCTCGCCCGGAACATACTTCTTCATGCTGATCTCCCTATCAAGAGTAGCCCATAGACCGCCGAATGTGTTATTGCCAAGACCAATAAAGCGAGTCCGCTTTGATGTGATTTCAGCAAGCGGCGCTACGTCTTTGTGGGCATTCAACCATTCCCGAACACTCTCAGTAGCCTTGGCAGCAGCATCCACATCCTGTTCGCCAATTTCAGACGACACGGACGAGTACGAGGGCCGGCGAGAAGTAAAGGGTGTCGCGGTATTCAAGAAAGCGTCCACGTATTTGCGTTTCAGCTTCGCCAATCTCGAGTCAGGCGCGCCTTTCTTCGAATCGAGGCCCACCATGACAATAGCTTCTCCACTAGACGTCCATCGAGCACTGCCAGCGGCTTTTGTCAGATATCTTCCCGTGACTTCTTCACTGTCACCAATTGGACTGGCGTTCTGCTTTTTCGCGAACTCGTCCGGGTGGTCCAGGACGATTATGCCGATGTCATCTTCCTTGCCAAAGTTCCCCGCATTATCGGATCTGAAGGAGGAGTTCCGGCGGAGAGGTGTTGGATTTGCTGAACTTTGGGCTGTGTTCTTAGCTTTCCCGGAGTTGTAGAGCCGCATATACTGCAAAAGAAAGACTTGGACTTCCACTATGTGATCCGGGTGTATCCAGTAGGTTGCCTTGCTTCCTCCAGCACCAATGGGGACCGTTGCTAGGGTTGTGTCGTATCCAACCTCAGAACTCTCCTCGATTGCATTGAAAATTTGGGAAGCGGTTGAAGACGAGACGGATCCTCGGGGACTCACAGAGGCAGATAGGGCGGTGAGGTTATTTGGCGGAACGATGTGGGGTTTTGAGTAAGTCGAAACTTCGAAAGGAGCCCTGACGGAGTGAAGAACATCTGTGTATAGATCGAGAAGGTATCCTAGATCTAGTTGACAGAAACTGTCCGGTTTGTCTGTGACCTCAGCCCTGAATCGCAGCCCAAGCTCTGAGCTTCGTGTCCATTTCTTGTATTTCTTCAACAGCTTCGTGAAGGCGGTTCGTTGGGCAGCTCTAAATCGCGAGAGGGATCGAACTTCCTCGCCAGCTCTGCAAAAGTATCAGCAGACGCATATTTGGAGGAAGGCAGACTTACTTGGAAACATCGGCATCAAACTTGGCATATCGCTCCACAAGTTTGGCAGGCAATCGAGTGTCTTGGGATATTGGGTGACGTGATTGAAGCTCGAGAATGCGTTTGTTGATGTGCTCTGCTGGTTGTCAGCAATTTGATCCCTAAGGATATACAGATGACTGACCTAGCCGCCTTTCGATTTCACCGCTTTTGCTCTTGATGAATAGGTTTATTCGGTCATGCTGCTCTAATAACAGCGAAAACAGCTCGTCCTCGAAAGCTTGGGCGTCCTCATCGCCTTGGCCGGGTATAGCAACCGCCTTCCCACTCCCCGGGGTTGTGTGCTCTTTGATTAGGTGTTTAATATCATCGTAATCGACGTTGTCTGTCAAGAATAGGTCAGCTTAAAGTCCGCGGAGGTGTGGGAGTGTGACATACGATGTCCCCATTGCGGTATTGAACGCTGCCTGAGCGTTTCGCCGTATTTCATATCCCGATAAGCTGAATAGCTTAATCGGCACAGCCGGGTGTTTTCTGATTGCAGAGAGGGTCGTGTTGAGGATTTGCTGCGCTGTCGTCGCGTGTCGTGTGGACAAAGAGCTCGGTGCTCGCGATTGATGAAGGTAGAAGGCTCCACGATAAGCCCGTAACAACTCAATTGGTTGCGTAAGGAGTTGTAGCTATCTTGGTATAATGGAGGTGTGGCACGGTAGTTCAATGCAGCGACAGGGAGCCGTGGAGTGGAGGGTGAAGATGGGCGCAGCTGTGTATGTAGACTGACGCCACGACGGAAGCAGGTTCTAAGGTACCAAGCGTCTTGCCGCCGCTAAAAATTGGCAAATGTCGGATAAATACAGGTCTTCTTCTGACGGATTCAAGGAATGAGACAGCGACTGGCGCCCGTGAATGGTTCTGCTGGATAATGAACAAGTGAATTGGGTGAGGGAGTGAGCATGGGGAGCTGCGGCGATACATGAACACTAAGGCGGCTGCGATCTCCACCATGCAGATGCGCTGGCAGGGATTGTCAACGGAGGCACTTGGAAACGAGGGCCGGCGCATGCAGCCTTCAAACAGCAACTTCACTACTTTTGCACCGTCCTCGCCTTTGCAGCCTATAACGCGAGGCGGCCCCTCTTCCGCCTCCGACGGCAGCAATCACCCCTCCAGCAATATGCAATGGATCCAACATCCTCAACGCGAGTATCTGGAAGCCTGTGGGACTGAATGCGACTTTGAAGCAGCAGCATTTGTTTTCCTCAGTGTGGCAGCCCCAGAACGCCTGGTCGGAGATAGCCCCCTTCGAGGCTCTGCCCAGGTGTTGAAATTCCTGCACACCACGTTGGCCACCCCATGTATCAAAGCGTTCCCATAATCTAGAGCCTGTAAAAACTCTGCCTCATCACTCCGCAGCCGCATCTGCATATTTCCGGGCTGCACTTATGTAACCTTGCTGACGGCTCGCCGGATTGGATTTGATGGACGGTTGCAGATTTGCCGTGGCACGTCTCTGCATGAGCTGAATTGTGGCGATTGACTGCCAGGTACACTCGGGATACTTTCACTGATACGAGCCTATGAATATGAGGCTCTCTCGTTTTCTCAAACCAAGTTGAACAATCCCACGATCTAATACATCGTGAACGCGCACTAGCGGCGAACCTTAACCTTCAATGTCTCGAGCCTTTCTGTGGTGGGATCCTTACAGCTAGTCTTTAAGATCTTCGTGCTACCTACTTGCTACCTAGGTTTGCTGATCCAGACCGCGTGCCATCCTACCCAATCGAAATGAGTATCCAGTGCCGAAGTACACAGTAAGTCTCTGGCAATCACCTCTAAGTATCTCCCCCGCCTGCCCGCTATGACAAAATATAGTGCCGCTCAATCTACTCACGGTTTGGTGTTTTCCCCGCCATCCAAAGGTTATCACTCCATCTTTAGACTCACTCCACTCCACGATATCACGGAAGACCCCTTGTACGTCGAGCTGGGATGTCAGACCGCCGCTTGCAGTCCGCTCAACCAAGCGAGCACGGCGCAGGAGAAGATGGTTGCGATACGCCAATTCAGTCCAGGGTCCTGACATGCCTGCAGAGCTGCAAGTATCTTCACTGGCGCTAACCGTTCAATTACAGACGATCTTAACCCACGTGCTCGAACACTCTCGTCGGATTGGCTGAGCATCCACCTCCCCGGACTATCACAACGAGGCTGGTAGTGTTGTAGCACAGTTCCTATCTTTCATTTCACTGCATCTGTTTTGTGTTCAGCTCGCGTGCTCAATTGCCGATATCGGCACTGGTCGCATTGATGAATACGGCCAATCAATATACTTTCCATCACACCTCGAAGCCGAGTCCTGCATTTCCCTCCTAACCTTCACATGTGATCCACTAACCCCGCCTTTCACCCGCCAAGCTAATGTTTCATTCGTAACACCAAACACATCTGCACCATCACGGCATTTTCTGGCGCCATACCACACCTGTGCTCACGTCACCTCGAGTTACTGTATAACGGTGCAGCTGCAGACCGGCGCTCTGGTCTCTCGGCAGCCCGCTTTATGGCGTGGTTCTCGGGAATATGGCGAGAAATTGCATGATGCATCTGCCATTCTCGTATCCGCACCAATCTGAAGACTGCCACCGGTCAAAACGGAACGAACCGCTGCAGGCTTGACCCATGCTAGTCCTGCATCACGTTGAGTAACCCTCCATCGGGATTTGTGGTGTGCATCTTCACTCAACGGCTGTTCGAGACTCCAATTGGCGTTATGCATCGGAAGACTTCCTCGGAGTGACTGCAGACGGGGAGGCGGAGCTTATCTCCATCCCGATGGGATGCCTTTGCCGATTATGTAGTTCGCATCGCTGATCGGTTTGTCTGACCTATGGTGATGGAAGATGTCCTCCTCCATTATTTAGTAATCTATCAGTAGAAGCCTGACATCTTGACTTGTGTAACATGAATTCCGTCAGTATAATCGCTTCCACAGCAGAGGAAACCACAGAAAAAGTAATATCTGTCCAGCATTGGTCCATGTCGGCACTGAATTCGCGTTGGCATTCGCTTGGTAGGGTGTCCAGGATCCTTAGTTCGATGTGATGGATTGAGTGCTCGCAATTCCTGTAGACTTGACGAAGCGATGGGAAAGAGCGTGATCATTCGAATACCAATGCATTCCTCTAGGATTATCTGTTGGCCGTTTACGAAGGACTTTTGAAAGTGAAAGCGATCTTGATATGAAATAAACAGTAGTTAGGACGAGTAAACGTATGGAATTGAGTAACCCACACTGCCAATACAATTAACAAGATGCCACACAATCATGAATCGGGATGATAATATCGTCGTCTATTAGCACACCGTGTCCCTAACCATGTTTTATCAACGCCAACCAATCCCATATACCTCCTATCCCACGATAACAACCCACCAAACGTAAATGCTCTCAAGTAAGTTTCTGCTTGATAAAGAAGGCCCTCAAGTGAGACAGCTGCCACGCGCATGTAACACCGAGTATAACCAACTGAATAAGCGTCCACCGCACAACTCTAGCATTCGTCGACTCAGACTGGTCTCGGAATTCCGCCTCTCGTTCCTGCAAACGTAACAGCATTAGCTTCTATCCAAACCCAAGCCATTCCACAAAGCATATCGCAAACCTACCCGCTGATGCACCTGCTCCTTCCGAATATCCTGCAGCCTGCCCTTCAAATCCCTGACCTTCTGCGTCAAATCATCAATCTTGCCCTTGTCCGTGCTCTCAATGCGACTCGTCTCGCCAATCACCAGGTCGAGGTAGAACTTGATGCCGCCCGCGGGCTGCCCGCCCGTGAGCCAGCCGCCCTGCGCCACGGCGCCCGTGGGCGTGAAGCATACGCGGTGCTCGCCCGAGTCGGCGGCGGAGAAGGTGAAGCGGCCCTTGGCGGCGCCGCGCTGGGACACGACACGGTGGTCGTTGTCGAAGACTTCTTCGACCGTGATGAAGACGCCCAGGTCGGGGGTGGCGCGGTAGCTACGAGTGCCTTCGTCCCATTGCTCGGCGTTGAAGTGGCCTGAAGGTGTGTTAGCGGGGGGTAAGTCCAAATTTGAGGCATGTATTATGCATTGATGTCTACTGATTCTATAAGGGTATGATTTGGAGGAATACTAACCGACTACGAGAGTGTCCCTGGGCAGTTCCTCAAAAAAGCATTTCTGGACGGGGCCATCGATGAAGAAGTACAGGGCTTGCGACGGTAGCACCAGAAGAGCGGCGATGAAGAGGGAGAACAGCGTCCGTAGACCGGATGTCGATTGTGGAGTCCACGCCATGGTTGCGTCGAGGGCTGCTGTCGAGGGATGTTGAACACGAATATCGTCAAGTCGAGATCTGGCGCGTTCCTTATCGAGCTAGACTAAAGCTAAGTATTTAGCACGTGACTCTCCCACTGTCACTCAACCTTAACCTAACTACATTTCCGTCTTCTACTCACAGATCTTGTTTCTTAGAATCACAGAATATATCATATGAGATGGTCCAATCCTCAGGAGAGGAGTATCAGCTGCTTCAAGCTTCAACTACACCCCTGTTCCTGTCCGGAGCATATTCTAACGTTCCCCGGATCTTCTCGTTCACAACGTCTTCCAAAACGAGTCATGATTATCCAAACTCATATTCGAGGCATACGCTTGGTCGTACAAGCAAGCACTTCTCCATGAATCCTGCAGCGGGGATTAAACCCTGGCTTGGACTTACCTAGATATCCTGATAGCTCTCCTGTCTCAGCCCTTTCTTACCATTCATCGCAAGAACCTATTGTCCCTCTTCTCCTCTATTGCTTATTCCAACTGCTCTGTCCTCGAAACTTTACACTGTACTATCCTGTCAATTGAGCACCCAAACCACATGCCAACGTCCCCAAACCCCATACATCTCGGAGCTCAGAAGAGCTTACCGGGGCTGCCTACCGGAGCTATCGAGAGTGACCGAGAGATTTGCCAAACCTTCTTAACAATATACACCCTCTTCATTTATCTACCCTAAGAACTCTACACCATTCCGGCCCCAACACCCCAAAATCTTCAACTCCCAAACCCACCGAACCACCACCATGAAAACCTTCATAATCGACCACACAACCCTCTCCACCCTCCGCAACAAAACCATCCTCATAACCGGCGGCTCGTCAGGCATCGGCCTCGCCACCGCGGCCCTCCTCTCCCAACTCTCCCCAACCAACAACCTCGCCCTCCTCGACCTGCACCCCCCACCCCCCTCCCTCACCACCACCCACCCCGCCCCGCACCTTCTCTACCACCGCACCGACGTCACCTCCTGGCCCTCCCTCCGCGCTGGCTTCGCCGCCACCTTCGCCGCCTTCTCCCGCATCGACCTCGTCTTCGCCAACGCCGGCGTCGCCGAGTACGCCGACCAATTCTTCTCTGACACGCTCGACAGCGACGGCCAGCTCGCGGAGCCGGACCGGCGCACGCTGCGGATATGTATGGACGGGGCTGCGGATACGGTTAAGCTGGGCATTCACTATCTGAGGAAGAATGGGCGCGAGGGGGGCGCGATCGTGCTGACGAGCAGTCTGGCCGGCTATCTGGCGAGTGCGGGTGCGCCGCTTTATAGTGCGGCGAAGCATGGTACGTCTTCTCTTTCCCCCTGTCCCATTTGCGCTGGAGATGTTGGGAGGGGAGGGTAGGCGCTGATGTGCGCAGGTGTCGTCGGCCTCATGCGCGCGCTCAAGCAGGAAACGGCGAAACTCCGCATCTCGATCGCTGTCGTCGCGCCGGCTATTACGGTGACGCCGATCCTGTCGACGGGGTACCGCGAGGCGGGGAAGGATCCGGCGGAGTATGCGGCTGCGATGGCGGAGAAGGGAGTGCCGATTAACAGGGTTGAGAGTATTGCGCTGGCGGCGTGTTGGCTGTTCAACGAGGGCATGGCGGCGAACGGGGCGGGGATCTTCGTGCAGGCGGATCGGATGGTGGATTTTGAGAGGTCGCTGGCGAAGAATCGTGAGGTGTGGATGGGGAAGGAGATGTTGGATTTGTTTCGGGGTGGGAGGCAGGCGCCGTTGTTTCAGCGGGTTGAGGGGGAGAAGTCGAATCTGTGATGGGGGTATATTAGAGGTTGGTAGTAACTCCCAGAAGGTCTTCGTGCTAATGATCAAAGTGGTTGAAACCTCGATTGGCTGTGCTATTGCTGTAGAGGGCTCCCGCAATTTTACTCGTCAGTATCGCATAACAGAACAGCCCGAGACTTACATACTAGTATTTTGAGATTGGAGATGACAGAGCTGTCAAGTGACCTCATGTGAGTTCAGACGGTTAGTGTCAGTAATGCTGTACAAGCTTCACCTTCACGACCACACTCCAAAAGCCATCTTGAGGGTCAAATATACATTTCCATTCCCTACACCTACCGGCTCAAAGCCTCTTACCCATCCACACCTTTACCAGCTTAGTCAAGCCAGCGCCCTCCTGTCACTCCTTATCGAGACAAGGTAAACACGACGAGATGCCCAAACGCCGATCCCATAATAGACACAAGCCCTCACTGAGGCACAAAGAAGAGAAGTAGCGAGCCAAAAGAAACAATGTAGTGGTCAAGGTAGAAAACCAGGAACAAGAAGACGACAGAAAACTGTCGCATTGCTCCATTGCCCTTCCAAGCGTCCCTCCTCATTAATCGAACTTATCAATAAGCTCCAGAATCCCGGGTGTTTGCGAACGGGATGGAAATAATTCTACCAGGTAAATGCTTTGTGGTGATCGCGGAGTCCGCGTTTCTTCGTTCGGTAATATGCTTGCGAAATACATGCCAGTTCGTGCTTGTTGCGTGGCGATTGCTCTATTACGCATTGCCGGGCTTCTCGTCGGTGTCAATGTGCCAGACGATGTAGTTTGGTAGTCCGTATACCCCGTAGCCTGCGCGGAGTGCCATCTTCGCGAAGCCCTCGGTCTCGGCCTGGTTTTCGAAGGCGTAGCAGGGGAAATTGATGCCGGAGCGGTGGACGTCTGCCTTGACAATGATGTTGACACCGCCAATGCCGTCGAGTTTCATCTTCTCGTCCTTGTCGTCTCGCCAATTGCCCATCTTCGCCATGTATTTGCGGTTCGTCTTGTATTCTTTGTAGCCTGGGAAATGCTATTAGTAGATGTGGGCGCAGATCTAAGATGGGTAAAGTACCTTCGGCGAGAACGGTATCCTTATCAAGTGTTGCAGCTAGCTTGAGGCCTTCGGGAGACTCTACCCACGAATTGTAGTCAACTTCGAGAAGTTAGTTCAAATTCAATACTGTGTGTCGTGCAAAACTTACATCGTCCCTCGATATCAACCTTCTTGCCGTTCTTCTCTTGGTACCTGTGGAACCAAATGTCTACCATTGAATCAGCACTCGTTAGCCTCAGTGGTTTTGCGCAACTTACTCGGCACAAGGACATCTTTATCGTGAGCTACAAAGTCCTCGATGATCTTCTTGGGGCTGTCCACAATGTCGACATCCCGCCAGTAGACCCAGCTATGCTCCGGCTTCAGGGCTGTGTTGAGAAGGTAGTTCCTGGCTCGGCCCATGGCTTTCCTGCGCGGTCCCTGGGCAGCAAATCCGTGTCTGTCTTCCACGTCCTGTCCATGTGTGACGCCAAAGTCCTTCTCGACAATCATGGCGGAGTTGAAGGCGTCGGAGGTCTTCTGCACTCGGTCTAGCTCCATGGCAAGCGCCGCCATGGTATCGTCCGTGGAGTCGCCAACGAGGAAAGCAAGATCGATCAGGTTGTGAGGGTACGAGAGCTGGGTAAGCAGGTCAAAGTGCTTCTGGAGGTAGGGGGAAGCGTCGCGGAGGGGAGTAAGAATGAGGACACGCTCTTGATTAGCGTCGGCTTTGGGGGTCGACTTGATGACGTTGAGGTCGACGTGCGAGATTGAGCTCTCGTTGACCTCAATAGGCCGGTGGTGGTTGAAGATCACAGGTGTCTGCATATGGCCATGCCACTCGGCGTTCTCGTTCGGTGTCATCTGCATCGGCGCCTTCGCCGGACCCCAGCAGTAAAATCTGAAAATACCGCCTGTCAGCAAGCTGTCCATCACGGCTGATGTCTCTGGAGGTGAATGTCCGCAAGAGCAGCTCGCGGGAGGTCGGGGGCATCCATACCTTTGCATCTCCCCAGCGGCTGACCCCATGGACCGCCATAATATCAGAGTTATGCCCGCCAGCCCAACAAACAGCAGAAATCGGGTGTTTCGTAGCAGGTGCCAGACGGCGCGCGAAGGAGGCAGCCTCGCTTTCGCGGCCTTCCACGAGTAGCCTTTGGGGACGAGCATAGTGCAAGAGGAACAGCTCGGCCAGCCGGTGACACGTCCCGGCGCTGAGGGCGTGCGAGAGGGAGAGTGCTCGCTCGAAGGCGCGGGGAGGCGCGGCGGAGGAGGTGGTGGTGCGGCGGGAGTCGAAAAAGAAGAGGCTCTCAGGCGTGCGCGGCGGCGGATCAAGCGGGCCTCAGCTGCGCATTGAAGGCTGCTGACACTTGTCGTGAATGGCTTCGGGCAGTCAATTCGGGCGAGCAGGGCAGGAGAGCAGCCGCGGGAGGGAGGCGTGCGGCGGAGGCAGAGGCGGTCGCGATAACGAGTGTGCTTGGGGAGGTCCGCAGGTCGAGGACAGGAGGTTCACGTCTGCGTCCAGCGGGCGCCGCGGTAGCCAATGGGAGCAGGGCTGCCCAAAAATTACGCCAGCTGCCAGAACCGTTCGCACAGACCCGGCTAATGTAAGTAATGAATCCACTCTGGCGGCGAAAGCCTTGCGGACGATTCGTCTGGAAAGGTGTCGTCAGCCTACTCCAGAGCCCACACTTTCCACGCGCCGCCGGAGAAGCCATGCATGTGAAGGCGTGCTTGTTGGGCGAGCCTCTGTTGAGGGCCGTTTCCAAGACAGCCCGGTCATTCTACCGATGCATTAACATGCTAGCCGCCGTGGACCCTTGCTAAGGAGGCGAACAGATCTGTCCAGCTCCCCCAGATTCAAGTGGCAACACGAACAACCGTTTGAGGTGGCTCAGAGAGCTATCAGGTCTACCACAAATGTCGCTTTTCAATCCTTGAGAACGTACCAGAGGACCCCAAGTAATGCTCGGCAAGTGTACACAGGTAAAGTAATTTACATCCTCGCGTCATCACATTACCAAGTCCTAGTAGGTCCAGGAGTGCTTTAGAGGTATATTCGTTGTCGAAACGATACATCTTCATGCTCAATTTAAGACATGTCTTTATTTCTACTCCTTTTTCTTGTCTCGCTTGCCGGGCCTAAACTGTATTGTCATGTCTATGACACTGAGTTTCAATTCATACAAAGGTTGTGGGTGCCTTCGTGTCATGGCTCTTATCTTGAAGCACCTCGTCGTTTGAGCGGCGTGCTTTGTTCACTAACAAGGCTGCCAGACATTCGACATTGTTATATCCCCCAAACTTACATAGGAATACGTATATAGACTGTTATGCATGCAATACACTTCTCCGCACATTTATGTTCTGATTGTTCAGAGCATACCGAGCGCATTCATCATGGAAAGCCATTCGATGTCTTCATACTGTGAGGCTCCAGCATCCCCAATCTTACAGCAAACTAATGATGATGACCTCGTGCAGGACTCAACTAGCCTCTTCGACAGCCGGTACGTCAAAATACACTCAGCTGGGAACGGATTTTCCGGGAATGTGACCTTCTGCTTTCTGCGCAACGGGCTGAAAGCCATTGTACGTTCTCACGACGAGGCTCAACTCCCTGACTACGCTGTGGACCTTTTGAAAGCCCAGCTCTGCGTCGTGAAAATCCTCCACAATCCAAGCAACGCCAGTACCCGCCGAAGCCTTCTCAGAGAAATCGACGTCCTACAACGAATTCAGGCATCGCGAACCAAATCAAAAGAGCGCCTGGCCTATCTTGTGGACGCGCATGTCTTTGATAGACCTTGGATGGTGACCGCTGCCGTCTGAGGCCCTACCCTCGAATCTTTCCTGGTTTCATTGAAAATGTCTCCGAGAGGCCTGAAAACACCGGAGAGATTCTTTTGGCATCTCTACATCCAGCTCTCCGACGCCCTTCGCTTTCTGCATGCTCTAAAACCACAAGCTATTGCTCATGGGGACATACACAGCTGCAATATCTTGCTTGAGCAAGCTGCTACTGGTCTCCCAAACGTAGTGCTGATCGATTTCGGCTGTGCCAGCATCAACGATCTCGACGACTACCAGGACAATACCAGTGGATCATCCACAGCAGAGTTCGACCCCCAAAAAGGTAATTTGGCTAATATCTCCCCCTTTGCATACGACGTCCTTATGCTAAGCGTCCTTCTAGACAGCCTTATAGCCGACGTCAAGTGGATCTGCCCACCTGCGCTTTTCCTGATCCCCTTTCCGGCATACCTCGAGGATCTCGTTTTACACAAACCGGCCGAGGAACTGCAAATCGAGAGCCTTTGGGCGAAGTTCGGCATGCATGCTAGTCTTCGCAGGGATTGCCTTGCCTGGGACAAGCTCAAGAGACTCCGTCCTGCGCTGGATTCTTGTCCAGTAGATGATGAGTGTGTGAGACGTGTGGTTGAAGAAGCCGCTCTTCGAGACGAGCATGCGCCCTAATTCACTCACTCGCGAGTTTGACATCACATGAACTCGTTTTCGTATAGGCTAGAGGTGGCTCGACATGGTGTGTAGGCGCGCAAAACAGATAGACGCAATAGTCTTCCTGGTGCGCTAATCAAATCTAACTTCTTTCTTGGTATACATCGATTCCCTTTTGGACTGCCCGATAGAACAACGAAAACTTTCCAGTATACAGCTTTTAGCATTTCCAATTTTATTCTTCCCTTTCTCGCTGCTCTCCAAGAACTCTTCTGTTTCCTTCCAAGCCGCGTTGTATCCACACAATCCGGCTGTAATACCATGTTTAATCCTATTTTGCTCTTTTTATAATAGAATTGTATATCACAAAACGCATTTTTATAGTTACACCAATCAACATTGTCGGGATACAGGTTCCTGACTAGCAATATAAGTTGAGGGCTCCGAAAGTTATGCGAAACTCATATCAAATCCCGAAATCATAGTGTCAGGGAGTAGCGGTGGGGGTTACGGCAGGCGCACAGCACCTCTTGTATATAGCCTCACCTTCCTCGAGACCTCTCTCCTTCTTCTTCTTCTTCTTCTTCTTCTTCTTCATCATCATCATCATCATCATCATCATCATCACCATCATCTAATACATCTCATACATGGCATACAGTTCCATGTTCCGTGACACAACATCTCGTTAATCAATTCTCAAAACACAATACACCTTAAACCAGCAGAGCACCAACATGACCACTAGCCACGTCCAGTCGGATTCCGGCTCCACAAACTCGGAGGGTCACCAAACTAAGGATCCTCAAGCTCAAACTCAACATGAGAGCAGCTCGTCCGATCCCACTCAAGAGAAGATAGCGACTGAGCAGGGCGGAGAGAGCGAGTCGAACGACTCCAACGAGGACTTCAAGGGCGCTATTCCAAAAGAACTTCTACCTATCAACCTTGCCGGCGCAGGACTCTACGCTAAGGTGTATTACTGCATCCCTCGTGATTCCATCCAACCCTATCCCAACATCGCGAAGCATTCAGCCGAAATACCGAAGAGCGTAAAGGATCAAGTCTGCGTAGTGAAAGTGATTGGCACCTCGAAATCAGCCCAGAGGGCACAGAACGAAGTTTCAATCCTTGAAAGACTCCAGCAGTCCAACGACTATCCCCAAAATCGTATCAGTCATTTCATCAAGTGTGACATCCAAACCACCAGACTCTCCTCAATCACGATAGGGGCAGTGTCGGGGCCGACATTATCTGGATTCGAGAGGGCCTACATGGAGCCGCGAGCTGACTGGGTGCCGAGAGAATTCATCTGGCATATTTTCCTTCAGCTGGGAGCGTCGATACGCTTCATCCACGACATGAAAGTTACTCATAACGATATCCACTCCGGAAACATCATGCTTGATCCAGGAAGGCAGGACTTTCCCGGACTACCCAATGTTGTTCTGATAGACTTTGGGAGGGCCAGCGACTTCGATACCGCCACCAAGAACCCGGATGGCAAATCAAAGGCCTTTACAAGTCGAGGAGATATGGCTCGTCACATAGGCCAAGACCACTTCCACTTCTCTTGTGTCATGCGCTCGCTCTGCGCGAGCATATGGAAAGCGGAAACCCGGGAATGGCGTGGCTTTGTCGACCACTTGAATGAGTATGAATCCCGGTTCACCCGTAATAAGCTTACAGAGAACGATATTTCTACATTTCTGGAGGACTTGTTTACTCAATACGAGGGCCCTGCCGATGCGGAACGCGAGCAAATGAACCAGCAAGACAAAACGAACATTATGGAACACCTCTGGGATGACAGGGTTCGCTCAAGGGGCCCCAGCGACGAGGAGATACGCAATGCCATCATGGCTGAGCTCGAAGAAGCATAGGCTGGAGTAGTCTCTGGGATTGCTGGCTTCTCTTTTTGCCCCCATCCCAAACCGCCATCTTTTATTATCGCATAGAGCATTACTAGAAACGTAATACAATAGTTTCTGCCGCATTTGGCATCCCCTTGAACGTTGTAAGTACCTCGTAACGTGGAGCAGCTTTTCTGGAGCCCAAATGCGGCTATCGGGCTTGATATTAGCCTGTCTAAACGCTCATACAGTGCTTGTACGGTGGAGACCTGATGCGCTAGGATTGAGAAGCATAGCATGAAAGCTGCACTTGCACCATCCGGTCGGAGATCATGAGATTGCTCGTTTACTCGTCGTTTCTGACGGCCGTGTACCTTCTATGGGCAACCAGTAGATCCAGCAAGTCAGATGCATTGTTCATGTGAATCTTAATTTCGATAGATGACTTGAAGGTGTGAAGGAGGGTACTGTTCCTGATGCTTTCTAAACGCTGCTGCCCCAACCCTCGCTATGATGAGCCTGGCCTCTCGAATGTACGGAGCGTAGAATAGACCGGGAAGGTTTCGGTCGTTGCTTAGTACTTCCATTCATCCTTCCCGCAGGAATGACGCCCTTCCCCTCTTCCCACAACCTTCAAAGCCCCCTAACTACCTCTCAAGCCACCCTACTAATCTTTCCCTATCTATCCTCCATTCCCCTCCTTACCCCCTGCCCCTAAAGCGCCTTCCTCACCGCAGACTTAAACGGAATAACCTGAATCTTCTCAATATCCCACACCCCACTCGTGACATACACATCCCGCCTCAGCCTCTCCACAACCTCCGCCTCCGTCGCCGCCACACACAGCATCGCCGACCCCTTCATCTTCGGCGTCTCGCCCTCCTTGATCGGCTCCTCGAGCATGGCGCCTGTCGCACATCAGCACAACCCCAATCCACTCCCACTCCCACTCCCACTCCCCCACCACACAGCCGAGAACGAGAGCGAAAAACTGCAATGCGATGAAAGGAAAACAGGAGCGGGCCACAGACCTCCAAATTGCCAGAAATGCTCGGGGTCTGCAAGGAGTCCCTGGAGGTGGTTCCCGCGCACGGCTAGGCGCTTTTCGAGGACGGCGGGGAAGTCGGGCACGATGACGAGCCATTCTTGCGTTGGGGTGGTGGTTGTCGCCATTGCGCGTCTGAGGGCGGGTTGGAAGCGCGGTGCTGTGAGAAGCGTGGTGAGGGAGGTGCGGAGGAGGGTGCGGGGGAACATGCAGAGGCGGATGGGGAGAGAGGTGGCGGGGTTGTGAGAAGTTGGTCGGGAGGTTCCTTATATTGGATTACTGAAACTCGTGTACGCATGTAGTTTGAGGCAGGTGGATGTTGGAAAGGGCGTGCAGGTGCGGAACGATGCCGTTCTCGCCGCCGCGGCGGGGTCGAGGGGTAGTTGCTCCCTCGGTGGAACTATTTTTGCCCCGAAGTCGGTGGAACTTGAGATGGCTATTGATTATAATTCAGATTACTTCGGCTTGTAGGTTTCTAGAACGTTTCTACGGCTGGGAAGAATGTTTGCCTATGTATCGATGATGCTCTACTGTATATATCTACATTCCAAATAAATCTCATATCCTACAACATCCAAGCTAGACATGATATGGCAGAGAGTATGTCTATAGTTTGGCCTTTGGCTGCTCTCTCTTGAGCATGGCTTCGGCGACCAGTCTTCTCTGGATCTTGCCGGTAGCAGTCTTAGGCATGAGGTCTGTGAAGAAAACCTGAAAGCCATTAGTCACGTATCTCAATATACGGGAAGCCAGCTTCTTACCTTTTTGGGGAGCTTGAACTTGGCTACCTTGTCGGCCATCCATTTTTTCAATTCAGCTCCACTCAATTTCTTGCCATCCTTCAACACTACCGCAATGCCAACATCCTGTCCGTACATCTCATCTTCCAGAGCAAAACTCACAGCTTCGGCGACAGCGGGGTGCTGAGCGACGACGTTGTCCAGCTCAATAGGACTGATCTTCTCTCCTCCCTTGTTGATAAGCTCCTTGATACGACCAGTGATGATAACGTAGCCATCCTTGTCCTGCTTGCCCTGATCGCCAGTGCGGAAGAAGCCTCCCTTGGTAAACGAAGTTTTGTTTGCTTCAGGGTTGTTCAAGTACCCTTTTGTGACGTTTTCTCCGCGAATACAGATCTCGGCTTCCTTTCCCAGTGCCACCTCGTTGCCGTCCTGGTCGAGGATCTTGACTTCCACGCCTTGACCAATGCCCACGCTGCCTGGCATGCGTTTGCCGGGCGGCAGGGGGTTCGAAGTCATTTGATGGGCTGCTTCGGTCATAGCATACGCTTCTAGCACTGGTGCGTCGAACGTTTTCTCCAGCTCGTGGAAGGTTTTCGGGGAGAGCGGCGAGGAGCACGATCTGATGAACCGAATGTTCGGCTTGGGGTTTGGAGGCGGGTTCTTGAGCAGGATCTGGTGGATGGTCGGCACGGCAGTGTACCAGTTGGCTTTATGCTCATTGAAGTCTTTCCAGAACTCTGAAGCTGAGAATTTCTGAGGAACGATGACGGATCCGCCAGACGCGAGAGGAGCTAGGAAGCCTGCGAGGAGCCCATGGACATGGAAAAGCGGCATGACGAGAAGGGTGCGGTCCTCCGGGGTTAGCTTGTAGGTGGCTTGGATATTCTCTATGCCTCGTTAACTCAGGTTATGCGGTATAATTCGGGGACATACTCATCGTCCTAGCCAAATTGCGGTGCGTGAGCGGCACCTAGTTCTGTTAGTCGAATACTAATGATTGGGCATGTGGCACATACGGCCTTTGGTCGCCCCGTTGTCCCACTTGTATGGAGCACGAGAGCAACATCATCTGGCTGCGCTTGCTCAACCTTCGCATTGCCCTTCCCCGCCAGCTTCCCCTGATCTTTCACATCCAAGACGACTTCACTGCCATTGTAATAGCATTCCGCTATAGCTGCCTTGTATTTGCGAGCTGCTCGAACAGCAGCACCATCCTGTGCGAAGGAGCCTTTGGGGACGAGAGCAACCGCGGAGCTAAGATCGTCGATGTAGACTGAGGAGGTTTATGTCAGAGGGAGTATTCATTTCCACGATTCAGATCACATACATTCAAATTCCGATTGCTTGTAAGCCGAGTTCAGTGGAGCAGCAATCGCCCGCTGCCACGATGCAGCAATGAACGAAACAATAAACTCATAGGAATTGGGGAGAGCTATGGATACAGCAGACTCGGGCTTGATCCCAAGCTTTGCAAGCTTCAGCTGGAATGCTCCGACATCAGCTGCAAGGCGCTGGTAGGAGACAGTCAGGGCTGGCTTTCCGGGCACGATGATGGCGGTGGCCGTCGAGTCCTTGGAGAAGGAATTGGCCAGAGTAGTTGCGGCCATGTCTAAGACTACAGGAGATTATACAAGTCGAACAGGCTTCAGATGGTGTCTATTCAGGAGCAATTCTGTTCGAAAGTCAGCCTCGGAACATCTGGTGGGTCACAGCAGTCTTACAATTGATCGCGAACAATGATATACGCAAATACACAGAGAGACCTGCTCTACACTCTATCTGCCGAGAATGCTGATGCTGCCCTTGACGCCATCACGACACCCGCGTCGGAGTTCGCAGAAACGTTTCGCCGATTGGCTCACCACTAGCGCGGCGCTAGCGCCCCCACTTCGAAACAAAACGTCGCGCGCGACTCGTCCTGCGTCCTCCGTCACGTCCACAACGCACCTCGAGCTGGTCACCGTTGGTCACCGTTGCTATTCACTCCACGAAGCCTCGTCAAAGTCGCAGTCGCCTGCTTCGCCGTGCCGGAACTAACGTGCTCGAAGTCTGACAGAATGGCATCTAATCCGAACAACCAGAACCAGGGACAAGGCCAGGGCCCGCCCAAGCTGCCGCCCCTCTACGCCCACCTGCTTCCGCAGAATGCGAACCCAGACGCGACCATCGTCCGTGCTCCGGTCATGTATGGCCAAGCCGGCAACGCTCGTAGCACTCCTGGTATCTATTCTTCTAAGCTTCCACCCATTTGATAGACTTTGCTCACAGATTTTTGTTTTCCTTAATAGCATTCCAGCCCCGTGTCATCAACCGACCTCAGCAGCCGCAGAACAAGAACAAGAACAAGACAGCTGCTCGTAAGGTCCCGACTGCAGGCAATTCCTCAAGCTCCCCGGCCATGCCCACCGCTGCAGCTCTCATCGGACCGAAGACCACCTCTCTGGCTGAGTTCACGAAGAACAACTCCAATAACAACTCGCACAACTACTACCAGGCCAATCGTCCCTGGCGAGGCCGTGGCAAGAAGGGGAAGAAGAACGCAAAGCGGCAGTACGACGAAGAGGAGGAACCCAAGGAGGTCGATTGGGATGCCATCTACGACCCCGCCAAGCCCACATCGTGGAAGGCCTGGAACATCAGCGCAGAGAAGTACGACTCTGCCTACGAGTGGAAGGAGAAGTTGAACCAGAAGCCGAAGCCGAGCCTCTCCAGCGAGTCCCCAGCGTCCACCTCCGAGGGTCCAGATGCCAAGCGTCAGCGACTCAGCGTGTCTGCCACCCCACACTTCCCGCAGCGCTCCACGTCCTCGAGCGAAGAGCCAGCGATGCGCAGCGGCCTAGGCGCAACCCCCTCGCAGGCCGAAGAACAGACACTTGGCGTGGTCACGCCAGAGGAACAGGCCACGCGTTCCGGACCATCTACCACCCTTCCTGGAAAAGAGGGGTTCGCAAGGCGCATGATGGAGAAGATGGGACACGTGAAGGGCAAGGGACTTGGCCTGAACCAAGACGGCATCACCCAGCCATTGGTCCACAAGAAGCTGGGCAATATAGCAGTAATCAAGGGCGGCGGACGTGCCAAAAAGGCGGAAGATGGCCCCAATGGCAAGCGTAGCGAGGTGGTTGTGGTGTACGGACTGCTAGACGGCGTGGACAGCGAAGACGACGAGGCCAGGAACGACGGAGGAATCCGTCAGGAGATTGGGGACTATTGCGCGAACAAGGTACGTCACTTACTCCTAATTCACGTGGTGTGCCTGCTAATTGTACGTGTAGTTCGGCATCTTGCAGAAAGTTCACCCATTCTGGGGAGGCAAGCACGCACAGGCCCCCGTGTTCCTGAAGTTCGCCAGCGAGTTCGACGCGCTCATGGCCGTGGATCATTTCAATGATCCAACCAAGGCGGGTGCCTTTCGGGGCAAACAAACGACCGCCAAGTTCTACAACTTGGAGAACTTCGAACACGGCGTCTACGAGTGAGGGGGGGTGGATGGCGGTTCCTTTCGACTGTTGATTGTAAATTAGTTTCTTTTGTCTACACTTCTGCCCATCATGAGGCCATACTGAATCGATTCTGATTCCTTTTCGATATTGGAAAAATGACGTGAAATTGAGCCTGATTTGTGATGTGTACTGGGACATGGTGAGGATGTATGTAATTTATATTGTGCGGTAATTTAGGAGGGTTGTTGTAGCGTTTTGACATTAAGGCTGCAACAGGAAGACACCTCCTAATGTACTATGATTTGAATTCATTCTAGCGTTTTGACAATGAAGCTACAACAGGAAGACACCCCCGGGCGTACCATGATTTGAATTCCATGATGTCAAGGTCTTGAGGGCGTGAATTAGATACCCCTGGCCTAGATACCCGATACGCTTATAATTTGCATCACATCGCATTTTACATCGAGTTTATTACTTGTTTGACAGTGAAGCTGCAACGGGAAGACACCCCCGGGCGTGCTATGATTTGAATTTGTTCCAGCGTTTTGACAGTGAAGCTGCAACAGGAAGACACCCCCTGACGTACCATGATTTGAATTATATCATGTCAAGGTCGTGAGGGCGTGAATTGGGTACCCCGTAGCGACATTAGCTAACTTAATCGCTTCGCTGATACTTGCTCTTTTCTCGTAGTTTCGGGCCATGTCTAAAGAATGCCCACGGAATCGGGGCCATAGCGAGAGCACAAAACCCCAGCACACTTGAGGCCCAGCCGACCCCAATCCCCTGGTACATCTGCAGTGTGAATAGCGGGAATGCTGCCGCGAGAGAATACCGCGTCAGGGAGTTTGCGCCGTTTGCAGATGCTCCGTAGAGCGGGCCGTACGTGTCCATCATGTACATTCCTGCCGACAGGTAGATGTTGAGACTCCCAATCATGACGAGACACTGGGCCGCAATGGGACTAATCCAGTGGATGCTTGAGCGAGCGGTCCAGGCGAACCAGAAGAGGCCAGTGGGGAGACAAATGCTTCCAAACATGGCGCTGCATAGTCGGTACTCGGGCACTGATTTGTCAGGAGTGCTTGTAGATTGCAGTAGAAAACGAGGAAGATTGGACCCGCGTGCAGTCTTGTCGATGGCCATGGCAAACATCGGGGCAAGGAAACACCCAATGATGAGGCCGAGGAATGACAGGCTTTGCCCCGTGAGCGAAAAGCCGTACCGGGTGGAGAATACCCATGGACTCGCAATTACGAAGACGTAAAGAAGGCCAAACTGAAACCCCATATACATGCACAGCAAAGTGACAATAGGCTCTGTGAGGAGCATGTGTACTGGCCGGATGAGAGTCGTGCGGATGAATTTCGGAATCTGGTCCAAGAAGGCATTCAAAGACCTAGACGGCCTTGTTTCCTCTGCCCTCGTTTTTCGTTTGAGGATTATCTTTTTGTAAGATTCTCGAGTGAACATAATTGGGCTAAAGAGAGTGATGGCGAAGAAAAGCGTGGTCCATTGCGTCCAGCGCCAGCCTTTGCTTTCAGCTACGAAACCACCCACTAAAGGACTGGCGCAGAATTTCAGCTCATACTTGTCATGGACTGTGGAAAGCTCGTACATACCCCATTGCAGATCCCAGCACAGGGCTACTGTAGTATATGATCAGAGGCCTTGCTCTCTCAGAAGGTGCCCACATGTCGGCGACTGTAGCAGTCGCGATGCTGACGCCCGGACTAGCAAAAGCACCTGCAAAGAATCTGCAGATACATACGGCAGTGAAGTTATGACAAAATCCGGTAGCCAGCACGAATATTGCAAACACAGGGAGCACGACGAGATAGACTGCTCTGCGGCCAAACGTTTCGCTCAATGGAGAGGCGATGGTCGGACCGAATGCCATGCCGAGATTGTACAAAGACACTGGGAGAATAGAGACGGTCTCCCCGATCCGAAACTCAGCGGCTGTCTCTTGCCTTCCGGGTGCGTAGATAGAGGAGGCTAGAGTACAGACGAAGCCGATGCCACTGACAGCTCCGGAAGTAAAGATTTTCCTACTGGTAGACCAGTTTCGAGCGTTTTCAGGGTCTCCGTTCCATAGCTCTTCTTGTGTCTGGTCCCAGCTTTCTTCTCCCACGGGCGCACGGTGTTGAAGTTCGATGTGTGGAGAATCTGTCATCGTTCGGGCTGGACGAATGCTCGTGCAATGCTGCTGGTGGACCTTGACGTTCCATGGTATGTACGCTCTTTAAAACGACCAAGGAATATGTACTCTAGATACCATTGATACTGGGAGTGCACTATGAATGCCATTGTTGAAGAGTTGAGGTGAAAGATTCCGAGGCACCACGGCTAGACGGCAGGAACTAGTACTGCGTAGGGCGTGCTAGGTGAACTTCCTATGCGCCTTAAATCTTTCAAGGCAATGATCTCCCGCTCGAGGTATCAGGATTACTTATCGTCAAGTTTGAGGACGCATTTCGATTTTGACATGCTAAACAAGGAAGAGAGGTGGAGAAGAGGTTGGAATGAAGCAATTGTGGTGATGTTCTAAAAGGGTTTAGCGACACAACCAGCCGCCGATCCATGAGGTTCAGAGTGGCGTAGCACCGAGGAGCGCTTTGACAAAGACTAGTTCACACGAAATTTCTGTTATGAGCAGGCGCTGAACCCTAAGAATTGTGCTTTTCCTTCTAGAGATGACGCCTGAAGCCCTCCGCTGTCTAATACGCCGTGTAATACGCCGCGCGTGCCATTCCACGAAATCCCTTTTTTTTTAAATTTCCAAATCCGCCTGTTCATTAGGAAATAGTCCGTCCATTTCCACCAATCCCTCATTCACTTTCACTCCGCTATTCACACGACTCCAGTCGTCCGCCCGCCATACACTCACCTCCCATTCCTCATTACACCACCTTTCAACCTCATCCTTCCTCATCCAAAACTCAGCACTCCGCTCCAGCATATTCCAGATGAAGGTCTTAACAACCGCGACTCCCTCATCCCGCAGCCTTTTAGCGTCGGGGCTACAATCACCCTTGTCATCATCCAGCAATGCATGTCTGAGATCCACGGGTCGGGAGAATGAAGGAAGCGTCGTGTTGAAGAATACTAGCATCAAGGCCGTATCTAACTCTTCCGTCGTCGCAAAGGGTGGAAATGAAATCGAGTACCTGTGCACGTTTGATATACACGGGATGGCAGGGCTGATCACACCGAAAGGTAGACAAGAGGTAAACAGCGTTGTGAGTGTGCTGAATTCTGCTGCAAATGGCTTGATGGAGATCTTCCGCTTTCTGTTTTGCTCCATGACACACGAGTCTTTGCGTGTGACCGGGTATGCTGGCGGGGCTCGGGCGGACGTGATTATTGTGCCGTGGGCAAGGTTGTGTAGGACGGTAGAGAGCCAATGGGCGGGATACTCGAGTTCGTAAAGGCGTGTCACCATCCTGAACATTGGTATCGTGTTGAGCGGTGCATGGACAAGGGCGGGTTCGCGGTGGGGACATCGTGTTGGTAGCGCCAACTTCAGAAAGTGGGCGTACAGCGAAGTCTCGAGTTCGTCTCGTTCAATGAGACTGCTGAACATTGGCATCACTCCTTTGAAGGGGATATCGAAATGAGGAAAAGCCCCGTCATGGTCCACATTGAAGTACGCAGATGCATATCGCCTAGTGTTGTCAGAACAAGTCGTCTGAAAAGGGAGTACGGCAGGAAGTCCATACGTACACAATATGATCCACATCCTGAGACTCGCTGAAGTCGTGAGCTTGCTCCAGAACGCTGTTCAGGATTCGCCATTCGTCATCCTTCACAAAATGTCTATCCTTGGTCAGTTGCCTCATTGTGCCCGAGGCAAGGTTATGGCGTTTCGTATGGATGTGAGCCTTCAAGATCCGAAGCCGGCATCGACGCCTGAGAGCAAATTCGTCGCCAGGAAGCTTTCGTAAAGCACTCTCGGCGTATTTGACGGCATCGGCATATTTTCCCATCTCGAAGGAGGCAGCGGAGAGGTTGGACAGAGGTTTCGCGTCATCGGGGGCCAGCGTCGTAGCCTCGCTGTAGGACTTGACGGCTACCAATTTCATATCAGTAAAAGGGTGAGTCGTGTGCTCTTCCCGGGCTTACCTTGGACCATGTTCCCGGCCTTGTAGAAGCCATTGCCCTCGTCCCGGAGAGATGCAGCCCTGAGAGCGTTGTCTTCACTCGCCATAACCGGGTCGAAGTGCCGCATTGCTGCTGCAGATGGAGAGTACAGCTTGCGGGAGTGCAAAGTTTGCTTCAGCCATTTTGTTGGGCAGCACGGGCAACTTTGCTGCGTGGATCCGCTCAGATGGACAACTGTCGAGGCTGCAAGTGGCGGTGAGAAGTATGGAACTAGCGCGAGTCAACAGCCAGAGTTTAATTTGGAACGCGTGAACACCTGATCACGTTATCGATATTCATTCTAGAAGCTTTTATATATCACCCATCCCTGCTGTGAATGTAGTGTACCTGCGTCAAGAGTAATGTATGCCGGGTGCTTTCCCACGAAGGATGCCTTCGAAAGCTGCACATTTCCGACGTGTAACTGGATTTCGAAGAGTACCCACCGGAACGTGTAATCCTACACAATGCTTCCTATAGCATGAATAAAATGGGTGTCCCTTGCCTTATAGTCTCGAAGCTGCTCTCATCTTGTGTGTATGTCCCATGAATATTTCTCTCCTGCCACGTATCATTGTATTCTATGTTGGCTCAGTCCCAGAATGCGCGCTTCAGGTATTGTATGTACACGCCTTTGTTCCTCCCATCATGCTCTTCTACAACTGCCTAATCCAGCCTTGGAAGGATAATGCGCTTGAAATGCGGACATTAAACGATGTCTGATCAGTGTCGTTGTGCTCCGTTTACGCAAGCTTTCTGTCCACGTCGGCGGGATCATCTCACCTGCCGCGTTGGGCTAAGCGCTTTGATACCTTGAACCTCAGATTCTTCCTAATGCTCGGAAATGGCGAGATAGGTTTGGTGAAGCTTTCGGTTGTCATGCCATGTTTCCATGATGGATATAGTGGAGTGTATGACAACCTGACAGTCGTCTCGAACAGGCTAGGAAGGACGGAGCTAACTAAAATAGGAGGCGCTAATAAATCTATCGGCGTACGACCTCAGAGATGGGTTAGCGAAGCCTACACCGCCTGATACTTGCATTTGGTCGTTACTACTGTAGATTATAGTGCGTTGGCTGGCCCAGCTTGCGAAAGTAGACCCCGTCTAGCACATGTAGGGCTTTTGCGTGAAGCACGTTACCATCGTGTCTTGAAGGTGCTGTTGCCGCCTACCAACTATGAAACTACAAGAAGTCAAGTTCATAATGTCATACGACGTTGTAGATTAGACATATGAAAAAGGGGAAGGGATAAGGGTCGAAACTTTAGGTACCCAATACGGTTGCAATTTACATTACATCGCATTTAATATGAAGTCTATTACTATTTTGCGCACCTACGCACCTATTTAAGGCACTTCTAGCATATACGAACCCAAGTTCATGCGATGTCAAGGTCGCAAGAGGCCCGTTTACATCTTCTCCGATTCAGCGACAATGGCGTTGCGGATCTCATCGTCGCTGAGTCCGACAGAACGAACGACGCTAACATCGGAGAGATGCCTTATGATGTTCTCCTTTGCTTTCTGGGACATTTTGGCGCGTTCAGCTATTGCTGGAGCCTCATACCAACTAAACATCTCCTCCAACGAGCCTTTCTGAGCGTCAGATTGATCCCTTGAAGCAAAGCGGAACTTATTGCCTTTGAGAAGGTCGGTGAAGCCCCGCCAATCCCAAGATTCCTCTTTGTCAACAATGCTCATGGACAGAGTATGCACAATCTGAAAGAAGGCACCGTTGTCGTCTTCGATGAGCATCGCTATCTCGTCTGCCGCCGTTTGGGGCCTAGTCCGGAATGGGTTTTGGGCCTCGGTCTCGTAGTGGTTGGCTTGCCCAAAGTCGATCAGAACGACGTTGGGCAGTCCTGGGAAGTCCTGCCTGGCCGAGTTTAGCATTACGTTGCTGTCATGGAGATCGTTATGACTAACCTTCATGCTATGGATGAAGCGTATGGCCTCTCCAAGCTGCAGGAAAACGTGCCATACGAATTCCTTGGGCATCCAGTAACCACTGGGCCGTCCCAAATATGAGTCCCAAAAGCTGTCTAGCGTTGGTCCTATGGCTGCTTCCATTGTAATTGATGAAAGCCCAGCCGGTGGAACGTTTGCCCCGAGTAGCTTGCTGATACTTCTACCGGGAAAGCCGTCTGACTGCTGGAGGTATCGGAGAATTACCGCCTCCGTCCAGGCGCGCTCGACCATCGTCGTAGCACTGTGAACCTTGACCACGCAGATTTGAGCCTTTAGGCTCGCTGGGATTTTCTTGGTTGGCTGCTGTGCAATGTTAGGATAGTCTTCAAGAGCATCGCGGGGGATACAATAGAAGACCTTACCAAAGCTCCCAGAGCCGGCCGGCTTGATGGTTAGCAACTCCTCTGGAATGGCACTTTCCCAGTTAACGACGGTGTCCATCACGATGGTGAACTCCGTTGGTGGCGATTCGGTCTCTGAATCGGAGTCGGACTCATCGCTGTCGTCGCTGTCTTCAGCTGGTGTGTCCGCCATCTTTTCTTGAGTGGAGATGCTCTCCAGTTGAACATGTCGATGACCAGAAGAATCGATGTTTTGGTGGGTCTCCGAGCTTTCAGCGTCGGAGCCCCGGTGATCTTGGATGCCGTTAGCATCCATGTTGGTGGTTAGCTGGTTTCTGTGTATGCTGTCTTGAAGATTGATCAGCGTATGTTCGTGGTGATGTGATTGAGTATGAGCTTCTCATAACCTACGTGGACTTGGATATATATCGTGAGCTAGTCGTCTAGCCGAGCACATTGTTGACTGCTATATCGTCTAACAACGCGCTTTGTGATGGGGCAGCCGGCGCCGAAAGATACATTGTGTTAGAGCTGGTGGATGTTCGAATACAATACGACTCGGAAGGAAACTCAGGAGTGCTTGAAGGAGAGAAGCGACATTGAGGATGGCAATGCCATGAGCTGTACCAGGAAGACTACATCCCATATGCTTGAAATTTGCCGTACATCACGTTTTACATCAAGCCTATCACTGTTTTGCGCACCTACGCACCCTTTCGAAGCACCTCTGGCCTATTCGAAATTGAATTCAGGCGACATAAAAGTCGAGAGGGCGTAGATTGGATAGCAATAGGCTTGATATAGTAAATAAGGTGTAAATGATGCAGTATCGTGAATCAGAAGTGTTATTATAGAGTCCTGATAGGGAAGTTACAATACGAATACGCCCTCAGGCCTACCAGAACACCACAAGCCCTACCAGAAATTGCTTCTACGATATCCTTGAGGACCGCGTTCCAAGAAGAGGCTTATCGCCTTTACGGCGGCGCTTGCTTTCGTGATGCCCAAGTCGTTCTTTAGATAGATCAAGACGTTCTGGATCCATTCTAGTCTCTTGGGGTCTATGCCGACTAAGCTGTCAGATATTAATACTTGAGATGTGACGGCAAGGGGCCAAAGGAGGTAATATCCTCTAAGCCCACAGACGTTGGAAGCGGAGCTTGAATCTTCCTTTGTTCTGATAATTACCGTGAACTGAGGTAAGACCGACGCGCAGACATCTTTCACCATCCTTGACATCTGGCATTCGATATGGCTTCGGTCTAACAGGACCGGATCGATGGCCGGACTAGCGCCTGTCGGAGAGGAAAGCATTAATACGCCGATTATCTCATGCATGGCTATGTTGAGAAAAAGCCTCGCGGTGCGATAGAGGTTCCATCCAAAGCTAGTGTATGTGTCAGCGCATATGACAAGTTGTCGGGCCGGAAACAAATACATTATCTTGAGAGAATCGTATACGTGGACTTCTAACGGGGCCCCTTCGCTTTTCAGAAGCATGTCCACCCACTTCGTGTCGTACTGCCCATATATAGAGGCCCTGTTTTCAAGAATTTGGAACTTCCAATCATCGGGCAAATTCTCCTCTTCCCAGGTCTGAAACGCGATGTCCAATTCGTTCGCCTCCATTAAAAGCTGCAACGGATCAATCGAATGGCTGCTGGTGCCGGCTGGCATTGCAACGTGTCTGCGCCACTTAGACCAGATTGAGACAACTGAGTGGATCACTTTGGATAGCCGGATAGTCGAGTGAGTTATTCCAGTGATACGCATCTTGTAGGTGTGTACCGAGTCTGCCCAATGGTCTAAGCCGGCCGGCGGTTCTTCACATGTGTTGAGATTACCCATCAGCTAGAATGAGCTAAGTTAGTTTGCGAGCGGGGACAATCATCATACATCTTAGCAGAATCAGAAGCCCACTGACCATCTGTGCGTACACTAAGTCCAATTCAGTCTGCGTTCGAAGACATTGGTCAGAATCTTGGAATCAAGGCTCACCTAGATCGAACAGCCGGGAGGCAACGGGAGTATGGTATTCTTCAGGTTTCCGAAATCTCAACAGAGCTACTGCGCCGCTTTTGTGGACCAGCCAGTGGCCGTTGTATGTATCAGCTGTAAGATTCTGCAACTCAACCCGTCAATATCTCGTTCTGGATGCATGGAGGTGTGTAAGTCGCTATTGAGATAATGAAAATGACCGTACCTCCCACACACCAAGTAAATATACAGTGAGAAGCGTTTCGTCCGACTTGGATTCGACCGGGTCTTTGATTGCGGCTTGCATGAGCTTGAGAGCTTTCCCACAGTACTCAGAAGACCGCAGTTTAGCCTCAGCAGATTTGAAGCGGCCATAAAAGTTCGCATAGCATGTAGCCAGCGTCGCGGCCCTGAGACACGAGTCTGGAGCCGCATTTTCGTACATGGGTACAAAGTCCAAGACGCCATCTGAGATAATGCCGGGATCGGTGCTGGAGCTCGGGACTACAAAATCATAGAGCCAACGGGAGTATGCGAGGTCTTGGAGATCGTCACTCGGCTGCCTGTTGAGACTGAGATGCTGGGCCACCGATGTCAGAGTTGAGATCGAGTCGGCTGTTGGTGGTGATTCGCTCGATTTGGAGCTGTGGGAAGCCGATTTAGTCGCCCGCTTGCGCCAGCCATCTTCAGCCTTCTGGGCGGCAATGGCTGTTTGGTTCCGGAAAAGAAGGTCGGACTGGTCTCTGTACTGGCACTCGTGCCCGGTCTTCTGGCATCTTGAACAGGTTGGCTTGGCCTCATCACACTGCTCCTGTTAGCATAGCGCGTGCACAAGGGATAAACGAGATGTCCGCGACGGCTGTCCTTGATCGGATCGAGGCGGCTTCCACAACAGGCATGCGTGAAGTTGGCGGAGAGTGGAGAACATGCCCAGCGGTCCGGTCCGGACTTACTTTCACTTTGCGGGTTCTGGGGAGATGTTGGTTAGTGTGGGGAGAAGAAGTGGATATTCTAAGGAGCTGGGGCCTAACCTGCACATCTGACATCCTTTGCTAGGCCTTCCGCGGTAAGACATCGCTTCGGTGTCTCCAAAATGAGGGTGTTGGTATGGAGAACGAAGGGTATACTTAAGGTAATGGAGGTGTTGTGTTATGGAGGAGACGAGGAGCTGCCGACTCCGTTCTACGTCAGCCCGGGCACGCCATGCAAGCATCAAGCGTCGCTTTCGACCCCGCCCTTGCGACGCGAAGTGAGCCGCAGCGAAGACGACGGGCTGTGCTCTTCGCTCTCTACTCCGCGCGCTGGTGAAGCTGAACTCGTTACACTGATGAACTTCTTCTGGTGGCGCATCGTCGATGGATGCGGCAACTAGTACGTAGGGCCGAGTGGCTGAAACCCGCAGCACTGGTGCCAGGGTTTTCCGGGGCCAACGCGGTCTGGTAGCCATCGCGATGATGGCCGCATTTGGCTAAAGGAGCGAGGTCAGATATACACATTATACCTTTGTTCATCGGGCGAGAGCGAATACTCTTAAGGATGGAGATGCTCTATTCCCGAGCTTAGCTACGGTAGCCCCAAGATTCTCCCATTGCCTCAATTTCCCAATTTCCCATTCTTCTATTTTTCTGATTCTGGATTTGCTTCAAATTGCACCACAGCTGCTCTTCATTTTCCATTTCCATTGTCTTAGTCTGTGACCAACAAGCGCCTGCGATGGTCAAAGAGATACCCTCGCCCAAAGGGCTCCCCTTCGTTGGGAACCTCTTTGACTTAAACGATGAGGTACCAACGCGTGCCCTTGAACGGCTTGCAGACCAGTATGGCCCCATCTTCAAGCTTCGTACCTTGGGACGAGAGCGGATCATCGTCGCCGACCATGAGCTATTCGAGGAAGTCTGCGATGAAACCAGGTTCTGCAAAGCAACTGGAGGGGGACTTGCCAGCCTCAGCTCGGGCTCGGGCGGTCCTAAAGGACTGTTCACCGCCCCCAGCGTAATTCTTTCCCTTTACTTTTAATACTCAGTGACGATTCTAAAGTCCTCATCCTTCAGGAAAAAGACACGGACTGGGCCCAAGCCCATAGAATACTCATGCCCGCCTTTGGCCCTATCTCTGTCCGTGGCATGTTCGATGGTGAGTCTGAGGACCTGAAGCGCCGTAGTACATGCTAACTTTACGTAGAGATGCTCGATATTGCTGAGCAACTTGTGCTCAAGTTCGCTCGATTAGGAGAGGCGTACAAAATTCCAGCCACAGATGATTTCACTAGGCTGACCCTCGACACTATCGCTCTGGCTTCCATGGACTACCGCTTCAATAGCTTCTACACAGACGGAATGCACCCCTTCGTGGAAGCAATGACCCGGACCTTACAGGGAGGCCAGGCTCGAATGCGCACCCCCCACATTGTTCAGATGTTTATGTTCTCTGCAAACGAACAAATGCGGAAAGACTCCGAATTTCAAACAAGGCTGGCAGTCGACATGGTACAGCACAGGCGGGATAATCCGACCCCAAAGAAGGACTTGCTCAATACCATGATATATGGGAAAGATCCCAAGACGGGTGAGGGCATGAGGGATGAGCTCATCGCAGCTAACATGGTTACATTTCTGATTGCAGGTAAGATCTCAGTATCACAGTCCATCGTCCTCGATTCGTGTATACCGTTATGCCGCTGCCCGTGGTGCTTCAAAGTATTAAGAAAATACGGGACAAGGGCTCAGACGTCAACGACTGTCTAAGGTTCTCCAATAGGTCGACAGGTTGTTCAAACAATGAACTTCAGACCTTTAAAAAAGCATCAGGGGACTCCAGGCAGCGACAGTCATGTATACACAAATCGGCGATGAGGCAGTAGACAGACAAGCAACCTGCTAACCCTTTCAAAGGACATGAGACTACGTCTGGCTTATTGTCGTTCACATTCTACAACCTACTCAAGAATCCCGACACCTTCTTCAAAGCCCAACAAGAAGTTGATAGAGTGATTGGCAAAGAAAGACTGACCGTAGACCATCTCAAAGAACTGCATTACCTCAACGCGGTACTACGAGAAACCTTGCGACTTACACCCACCGCTCCAGGGTTTACACGGCGCCCGCGAGACGAGAACAAAGAAGATCCAGTCATAATTGGAAAAGGCGACTACGTCTTGGAGAAAGACGCTTCGGTGTTCTGCCTACTCGGCAAAATCCAGAAAGATCCGAAAGTTTACGGAGAAGACGCGAATAGTTTCCGACCGGAAAGAATGCTGGATGAAGCATTTGAGAAGTTACCCCAATGCGCTTGGAAAGTATGTTTCGATTGAATCGCCTCTCTGAGATGTTGCTGAACTGTTCACAGCCATTTGGAACGGGAATGCGAGGGTGCATAGGTAGACCTTTTGCATGGCAGGAAGCTTTGCTCGTCACGGCCATCTTGCTGCAAAAGTTCAACTTCAAAATGGATGATCCTTCGTACGAATTGCAGATCAAGTCGACTTTGACCATTAAACCGAAAGATTTCTACATGAGAGCGTCGCTTCGACCAGGGATCACGCCTACAAGTCTTCAGCAGTCGTTGTCGGCTCTGTTAGGCGAGACGAAAGTTGGAGAGTTGCAAGAAGCGCATGAAAGTAAAGAGCCAAAACAAGACGGCAACTGCAAGAAGTTGACCATCTTATATGGGTCAAACACTGGAACATGTCAAGCATTGGCTCAAAGGTTGACTTCGGACGCTCGCCAACACGGATACGAAGCCTCCGTTGCGGACCTGGACTCTGCTGTGGACAAGCTACCCAAAGACCAACCTGTGGTTATCCTTACAGCTTCATACGAAGGAGAACCGACAGACAATGCTGCGTACTTCTTCGCATGGCTACAATCGGTGACAGGTGATAAAATGTTCGATGGTGTCAACTTCGCAGTATTTGGATGTGGGCATAGTACGTTGTTTCTTACCCATTCCTTCTCCATGATCTAACTTGAATTAGGTGATTGGGCTGCAACATACCAGAGAATACCGACTCTCATCGAATCTCTTCTGGAAAGTCACGGGGCCACCAAATTTGCCGACCGGGGATGCGCGAATGCCGCTCAAGGCGACATATTCAGTGATTTTGATGCTTGGGCGGACCACACGTTCTGGCCTTCCCTACTTTCAACGTTCGGAAGCAATGCTAGCAACGAAGAAGCCGGGGTGGCCGCACCACCAAGATCGAAGGTCGAGATGGAGATTTCGACAGACATGCGCTCCTCGCAGCTCCAACAAAGCGTGCTGCAAGGCACAGTGGTGTCTGCAAAAATCTTAACATCCCCAGGAGAGCCAGAAAAACGACATCTTGAGGTCCAATTGCCAGAGGGAACTGAGTACGAAGCCGGAGATTATCTCGCTGTGTTACCCTTGAATCCAGATGAGAGTGTGAAGCGAGTCCTCGCGCGATATGCTCTGCCATGGGATGCCACGGTTACGGTCAAATCAGGCGGACCCGTTAATCTTCCGGAGAACACACCAATGTCAGCCTTCAAGCTTTTGGAGGGGTTTGTAGAGCTCTCGATGCCTGCCACAAAGAAGGTAATCTCGATGGCTGTTCGTCACTTACACAAAAGACTTCCGCTAACGCACGGTGTTTAGAATGTCGAAGCATGCATGAATTATACGGACCATGAAGGGACAAAATCAGCGCTTTCCTCTCTTTCCAGTTCGGACTATCACACGGTTATTGACCAACGCGTCAGCCTCCTAGATCTCCAGGATCAATACCCAAGAATAAACCTTCCCTTCGCTGAGTTTCTCGCCATGCTGCCACCCATGCGTCTCCGCCATTACTCCATATCGTCTTCACCGTTGTGCAACCCAAGCACTTGTGTCATCACGTACGGCGTCATCGACGCGGAATCCCTCTCCGGCCAAGGCCGATTCGTCGGCGTCGCTGGCAGCTACCTAAGCAACGTGCGCAAAGACGATCAGATCCAGGTCAGCGTGCGCAAAAGCAACAAGAGCTTCCATCTGCCATCGAACACGGACACGCCGCTCATCATGTTTGCTGCCGGCACAGGTCTGGCCCCGTTTCGAGGCTTCGTGGAGGAGCGCGCTAGCCTCTTGTCTACGGGACGCCGGCTTGCGCCTGCGCTGCTCTTCATCGGATGTCGTTCGCGTACAGCAGACCGGCTTTATGGCGATGAGCTCGATGAGTGGGCGAAGGTGGGTGCGGTGGATCTGAGGTATGCATTTTCTCGGGAATCAGACGCGTCAGAGGGCTGCAAATACGTCCAGGACCGTATGCTTCAGGACAAGGAAGACTTGGTGGGTCTCTGGGATCAGGGCGCTAAGGTTTTCGTTTGTGGCAGTCCGAGCATGGTCGAGGGCGTTCGAGGAGCCGCATTGCAACTGGTGAAAGAAGGGAAAGCCCAGGAGGGCCTGGAGGCTACGAAGGAGGAGTCAGAGGCTTGGCTAAGAGGGCTGAGAAATGAACGCATCAGCGTCGATGTTTTCGCGTGAAGGATTGGGTAATATGGGGGCGCTTTCGCGTCTAATTTACGGCCTCGTGTGTATGACATTGTGGTTTTTTCTTTTAGTAGGCCCAGTGGTGTCTTTCTGTTGTAGCTTGATTGTCAAAGCACTACCACAACCTTTCTAAACCACGACATATGACAGATTACCGGGACATGGTGAGAATGTATTTAATTCATAGTCTGCCGCCCACGGACGTACCATGCTTTGAATTCTATAATCTTAAGGTCATGAGGGCGTGCATTGGGTGCCTCTAGCCTAGATACCCGATACGCTTGTAATCTGCATCGCATTGCGTTTTACGTCGAGTCCATCACTATTTTGCACGCCTCCGCACCCTGTTCAGGTACCTCTAACCTGCACAAAAACAAATTCAGGCGATGTCAAGGTCGCAAGGCCGATTTACAAAGCAACCTCGGAGTCGATCAGCCGTTACACTGTTCTCCAACTTCTCGGAACAGCGTTTCCGTTTCACGCATCTCCTCACGAGAATGAACATAAATGCGCCAGGTAAGCACGCATGAGAAGCCAAACACCTCAAGGCCGAGCTTCTGGAATAAAATCATCCTCTAAGTCTATAATTATGCGTGTCGTCGTCTTCGGAGCCTCAGGAGTCCAAGGCGCAGCCCAACTCCCCGTCCTTTCCCGCGCCGGCCACGATGTCGTCGCCGTCAGCCGAAATCCCAAACCATTGGAAATAGATGGACGAAAAATCGAGACGGCTGCGGCAGACTTCAACGACAAAGCAGCTATCAGCCAGGCTCTCAAGGGTGCAGAGGTCATCTTTTTAAATCTACCGAGCACCTCCTTCCACCCTTCAGAGCCTATCATCGCAGCCGCCCAGGCAATCGGCGAGGCTGCAAAGGCCAGCGGGGTCCGTTTGATCGTCTTCAACACGAGTATGCCTGTTGCAGAGGTCTCACAACGCATCAAGTCGCAAGAAGACCGGAGAGAGATGCGCCGCGTGCTGCGCGAGTCGGGGGTGCCGGTCATCAGCATCCAACCCGTCTGCTATCTGGATAATCTTTTGGAGGGGTGGGCTCTGCCACCTATTCGAGATCGAAACACGTTGGTCTACTGCCACAAACCGTCACTGCGGGCATGTTGGATCTGCCACCACGACGTCGCGCAGCTCATGCTGGCCGCTGCAGCGCGACCAGATCTGGCCGGTCGGGACATTCCAGTGGGAGGACCCGAGGTAGTGCGGCTGCAGGAATTGGCAGAGAAACTGTCGAAGGCGTGGAGCCGGAAGCTGGACTACGAGAACCAGACAGTTGCGGACTTCTGCGAGAAGATTTCGAAGACGATGCAAGGACGGGGCCTCGAGGTTGATCGCATTATCAGCCAGATGTTCAAAGCGTATACGTACTACAACGAGTCCCCCGATCACCCTTTCGTCATCGATATGGGACCTGTTTTGAAGGAATTGCCTGTCAAGCTTACGCCGATTGAAGAGTGGGCGCGGACACATCCAGTGCCGGGCTGGACTTGAAAAAGGGGTAGAATACCTAATTCACGCGCTCACAACTTTTACATCATAGGATTCAAATCACGGTACGCCCGGGGGTGTCTTCCTGTTGTAGCTTTAGTGTCAACACACTAGAACGAATTCAAATCATACATAGTACGTCAGGGAGTACGTGGGGGGGTCTTCCTGTTGCAGCTTCATTATCAAAACGCTAGAACAACCCTCCTGATTCACAGCATTCTACGAATTTAGGTAGTCTGGAAATGATTACTTGTTTCTGCAACATGAATTCTATATAGACCCTAGGGTCTAATATATATAAATGATGCGGTAGTGCTACCTTCTATATATCTACACTAGGATGAGAACCGTGCACGAGCCAACGAACTTCGACCCCAACTTCGATCCTAACGTTAGCCTTGCGGCCTCGCAGCCTTTGGCTCATCGTGAACAATTGCCACTTCTACCTAGGAGCTTGCTTCGCTCCTCATAGCTCTAGCCTCATCTCGCGAGAGACCTGTCCGTCTCCAACGTGGAGGTCTGTATCTCGGTACCCTTGTCGACCATGAAGGATGAACCCGCCGTCATTCTCCAGTCCGACCGAGCGATTGAGGACGTTCTTTTCAGAACAACACGCGGGTAGAGCGTATACCGACTTGGAGATCCAGCAGATATCCCACCTTCTCGTACACCTCCAGGAGTCGTGGAGCAGATATCCTCGGACTTACATCGTGTTGCGAACCATCGGAGAGCTGGCCTTGCTGAACCAACTCATAGATTTAGGCTTCACCGACCACTGGTTTCCCGTCGAGGTCAGAAGCCTACCTCAAAGCCTCAGCCCATCGATTCGGTCCGCCTTCGTCAAAGCACAATCGCTGGTGCTCACAAAGTCGATAGATCTGGAGAAGGGCGAGCATGGACGACATGGACACTTCAGCAAGGACGAACCCTTGCCTTTTGAGATAAAAGGGAAGCTTGGAAGCGGAGGGTTTTCCCAGGTGGACAGAATACTCAGTCTCATCAGCTACAAGGAGTATGCTCTCAAGAGGACTCGTCGACGGGTTGCTTTCGGCAATGACACCCGGGAAGCGTTCAAACGTTTTAAGGCAGAAGTGGAGATCATCAAACACCTTAAGCATCGCCACATGATCGAATTCGTCGGCAGCTATACAGATCCTGTATTTCTCGGCCTCATTATGTCTCCGGTGGCAGACACGGACCTTGCGAAGTACCTGAAAGGTATCGCAAGCTCAACCTCCGCCGGATTGCTACCTGTGGAAGATATCACGAACCTCCGGTCCTACTTCGGCTGCCTAGCTAACGCTCTTCAATATCTCCATGAGCAATCAATTAGGCACAAGGATATCAAACCCCAGAATATCCTCATTGAGAGTGGTAACGTCCTCTTCACCGATTTCGGATTGTCGCGCAACTTCCAAGATACAACCGGTAGTACGACATCAGGGATGACTTACATGACTCCGCGCTACTCTGCCCCCGAAGTAGCCGCGTATGATGCGCGCAATACATCTGCCGACATCTGGTCTCTCGGCTGCGTCTTTCTAGAGATGACCCTGACTCTCAAAGGGCTCAATCTATGTTATATGGACGAATTTTTTGAACGGACTGGAACTCGCGATCCCTATGTTAATTGCAATCCGGAAGCTACTGCTAAGTTAATTGCGGAGCTCTCAATTACCGAACCACTGCTAGATAATGAACCACTAGACTGGATCAAGAGTATGCTTATTCGAGATCGCTACCTACGGCCAACTGCAGCACAAGTTTTTACATCTATCGTCGATCGACATAATTTCACAGGCCTGAGCACCACGTTTTGCGGAATTTGTTGTCTTGCTACCGACGAGTCGGATTCCCACGATAGTCTATACGAAGAGTTTAATACAGATTCGAACAGGACCGGAAGCAGCTTTCCCGCTATTAGCTCTCACAGTACGGAAGAGACCGTGCAGCCACTTGATGGATTCACAGGTGTTATTCTCAATACCTTAATTGAAGCTCCTGCCACAAAGCCAGATGACACGAAACCTTTACAATCAACTCCTCTGAAGAGTGAAAACTCGAACATCAATCTATCACCATCTCTGCGCGAGCGTGCCGAGAAAGAAGCGCGCAAGAGGGCCGAAGCTAGCCGATCGACTCCTCCGAAGAGCAGGGAAGAGAACATCAATCCATCCCACTCTGTAGCGGTATCTTCTTCACTAGCACCGGGCCATATGGCCGTTCCTCCCCCATTGAAAGAGAAGAGCCCTGACTCTCCGCCGACTACGAGCGAAGTAGCCACAAAACGGCCGCCTATACCTCCACAGCTCAGTGCTGACGGTTCTGGTCATGATCAGCAGAGCGACAGATTAAGAGAAGAGATCGTTAAGAGTGCAAGCTCGCTCAATTTTGACCCATCACCCCAGCCCCCAGAAGCGTTGGCTCTGCCAAGTGAATTTGACAGCTATTGGGCTGACTTCGCTGCCAACATGCGCCCCCCGGAGAAGTCATCCAAGAACGTCCCGGTTACTGTCGCGGAGGCCATGGTCTTGTCAAAGCCGCGAACCCGTACTCCGTCGCCGCCTGGTGGATTCAAAAGCACTGTCGTAAGATCAACGTCCAATGCAAGTGCTGGCGCCGATAGTGTTAGGAGATATGGAGGCATCAGGAGGAATGTGTCTGTCTCATCAAGGGCTTCAGAGCGCTCACCTAGTCCCGCGACGTCCTCGTCCGCCGCACCGTCGATACCACCTGGACTTCACAGGAGTAACACTGTCCCATCAAGACGATCTCCTGCCAATCTTACCTCGAGTCGGGACCAGCAAGCTCCTGTACCTGCATCAGTGCCGGTACAACCAGCTGCATCTCAGCAGCCGCCAGAGACAGACGAGGATTTCGATGTGACATTCCCGACTGTTACAGTGCCCAGGAAACCGGTCAAACGCTATCAATTAACTGATTCAAAGAGAGAGGATAGCGCGTTTCACGACCACGATTTCGAGAGCCCAAACGGCTCTCAGGGTTGGGGAACTGGCTCACGGTCTAGAAACACCGATTTCGGTCGTCCGACAACCCCATCCTGGGCCGACTTCTTGTCATCTGGGTTTGTCGAAGAGAATGGTAAAGACAAGAACCAGTCTCAAACGAATATGCCCGTTGTATCGAGTGCTTCGGAGGCCTCAGATCTCAATGTCAACCTCATTGAACCCAAGAGCAAGAAGAAAACCAACCGATTGCTTCGCCTCTTTTCTCCTAAAGCCAGAGATGAAAAACCCAAAGTGCCGAGGGAGTCTCTCAGTTCGGCATCCGTGTCTACACAGAAAACCCCGGAGACACCTCGACGTGATCTTACACAATGGTGGGAAGGATTCAAGCGTAGTTCTGACGCTAATACGCCTACGTCTGGAAGAACCGCACAAAGAGTGTTTGGGGTTTCCCTGAATACCATGATTCCATATGCCAACGTGGCTATCTCGCTAGTTGACGAAGACGGGAAGAGCTACATCTACGGCTATGTTCCCATAGTTGTCGCAAAGTGTGGGGTGTTTCTCAAGGAGAAAGGTTCATGCCCTCTCTGTCCACTTTTGCTCAAACTGCTAATTGAATGCGCTAGGTACCGAGGTAGAGGGCTTATTTGTGACGCCTGGTTCGCCTCAGCGTATCGCAGAGCTGAAAGATATATTTGATACTCCCGATAGGTATGGGAAAGGCCTCGATTGGGTAGGGTACACCCTTCACGATGCCGCTGGTGTCTTTATGCTCTTCCTGGCAAGTCTACCAGAACCGGTCATTCCGTGTGAATTGTACCAGGCGTTCCGAGCAGTCGATATTTACGAGAAAGAGGGTATCGCCAAGCTCGTGAAGGAGTACCAGTCGCTTATCAAGCTGCTTCCCCCTTTGAATAGGCAGCTTCTTTTGTACCTTTTGGATTGCTTTGCCGTTTTCGCATCTAAGAGCGAGCTGAATAAGGCCACAAGCGATGTCTTAGCATCCATTTTCCACACGAGCATTCTTCGGAGGTCTAATGACTTTGACCACGACGTAAATCCGGAGTTTTTGATCTTCAGCAAGGAAACCCTCGTTTTTCTTATCGAGAACCAAGACCATTTTCTCATTGGAATGGAATCATCCTCGGATACTGTTGAAGATAGCGGCACCACGACCAACGAAGTGCCTGACTGAAGGACCAAAATCATGTGTCTACCTTGACCGATCGCTGAATCCATCATGAGAAAATTCCACCATGGAGTCTTCGTCTATCGAAGAAGAGTCTCATTATTCTCTACATTGAAACGGTTATCAGAGGAGTACTAGGACGAAGGTCAGCGAGGTTCAGAGTGTTTAAATCGCATTCGCAGATACTGTGCGCGAAAATATCACCACGATTTCCGACACGTCTCTTTCGAAAGACACTCGAGATACCGTTCAACATGCACCAGCACTGGCCTACGCTCTAGGAGGGACCTTATAGCTTCGCTCAAGCATAGTTTCGAAATGCTGCGGACTGCAAGGAAACTCGCGGTGTAACATCATGTTGAGGATAGTGTTTTTATTCGAAACCATGGAGCTATCTCGCGTGTCGCGTCATCCAGCAACACGTGCCCCCAAAACTCTGGATAGGGTACTTCGAGATGGGTAGGATGGGTAGCGATCCTGGTTCATTTTTCTCATCAGTAAAATTCTCGAATACGCCAAATTTGAGTAATTAATTACCACATAGAAGAGTATTACATGTCTAAGCTAATATTTTACTACAAAGTATCATAATCATTTCTCTCCAGTTACACATGCAGCACGAACCCAGGCAGCGACTTGCTCGTCCCTACCGGCTCAGTGCCTTCACAAGCCTCTCCTACGGATACTGGACAATGGGCCTCGTTATAAGTAGGGCATACAGGCGGACTACTCGCCGCAATCGACAGGGCTTTCACGAGCGGCCTGCCTCGGCTGCTCACGATCCCCACACCTGAGCTGGCCACCACTCGCCCACCTCTCGTGCCGCGACGACCATGTAAATAAATAAAACCGTCCATGTGCCTTTGTGGGACGAGGCTTATTGATTGTGTCATCTCTTGCTGAACCGTGTATCATCTCGATTTCATATATTCAAAGTTTAGTGCACGATGACAACTGCTCCGTATGGAAGCACAATCCCTTGGGCGGAGCCAAGCTGGTAACATTCGCTATTTCAGACATTTTTGAACACGAGATTTTATATTCGGCGATGTTTGCACCACTCAAATTGACACTGCCAAAGGTACACCGGCCGTCCGTCCCCTTACTACAAGGACTCCCATCGTCGTCTTCGTGACCATGTCCGTAAATGGACTGAAGAGGTACTAAATCATCAACCACTGCATGCCATACGCCTTGAAATGATAGAGGTAACACATCCAAGCACTTCTCGGATAAAGCAGCCGAGTGGGAAGAGAATGGCGCCGTCCCACAGGAAATCTACCAACAGTGCGCTGAAGCTGGTCTCCTCGTCCACATTGCGGCGGGAAAGGCCATTCCGAAAGAGTGGTCTTCGTACCTCGTCATCGCGGGTATCAAGGCTGAGGAGTGGGACGGCTTCCACGACTTCATTCTATGGGATGAATTGGTGAGGGGTGGGGGGATTGCGAGCATTTTCATTGGACTGGTACGTGCAACCTGAAGGCTAAGAAGAGACAAACAGGACTGGGAACAGGTCTGAGAGACACAGAGAAAGAATACTTACACAGAGCCAGGTCGTCGGCGCGCCCCCAATCCGCCAATTCGCCAGCGAAGCCCTAAAAGCAGAGTACCCTCCCCCCTCCTTCCACACCCACCTAACGCCCCCACCTAACGCCCCCACCCCTAGAATCTTCCCCCAAAAGATCTGCCTCGCCATCACCGAGCCCTCCTGCGGCTCCGACGTCCGCAACCTCACCACCACCGCCACCCTTACCCCCTCGGGCACGCACTATCTCGTCAACGGCGCCAAGAAGTGGATCACCAACGGCCTGTCCGCCGACTACTTCCTCACCGCTGTGCGCACGGGCGGGCCCGGCGCCGCGGGCATCTCGATGCTACTGATCCCGCGCTTACCGGGCGTGACGACGCGGCCGCTCGCCATCGGCGCCGGCAAGCTGGCCGCTCTGGCGTATGTCACATTCGAGGACGTGGAAGTGCCTGCGTCTAATCTAATAAGGGAAGAAGGAGCAGGGTTCAGGCAGACGATGGTGAATTTCAACCACGAGCGGCTGTGGATCGTGTTCCAGGCGCTGCGGGGGTGCAGGGTGAGCATGCAGGATGCGATGGCGTGGGCGCAGAAGCGGGAGGTGTTTGGGGCGAGGCTGGTGGAGCAGCCGGTGGTGCGGTGGAAGTTTGGGGGTATGGCGAGGCGGGTGGAGGGGCTGCAGGCGTGGACGGAGCAGGTGGTGTATGAGCTGGGGGAGCTGAGTGAGGGGGAGGGGGCGAGGTTGTTGGGGGGTGTGACGGCGTTGTTGAAGGTGGAAGCGGGGGTGGTGGGGAGGTATGTTGCGGATGAGTGTGTGAAGATTATGGGAGGGTGAGTTCATGGATGTGTTTTGGGAAGGAAGAGTAAGAGAACTGACAGCTGCTAGGTTGGGTTTGACGAAGACGGGGCAGGGTGCGAGGGTTGAGGCGTTTTCTAGGACTGTTCCTGGTTTGATCGTTCCTGGCAAGTTGGCTCTTACGAAACACTGCGCTCTATACTGACATTATACCAGGCGGTTCCGAAGACGTCCTCATCGATCTCGGTGTCCGAGAAGCACTGAAACTGCAGAAGATAGCCGACAAAGCGAAGTTGGCGAAGTCGAATTTGTGAAGAGATTTTGTAGGAAAGGATAGCTGGATGGCTGAAGAAAGAAAACGAAATCCGTGTAAGCCATATATTTCAAAATCTTGAAATGGAGAGATGATACTATAGTCACGTGCTCCCCATTCTTCATTCACGGTGAATTGATGATCCTACTCCTTTGATGTGGAAATGTAATTTTGAATGAAGTAAACGATCAATCAGGTGACTACTTACAACTGCTCAACGTCCACGTAGCGTGCACCCCGCGTACCCTCCGCGTCCATCAAAATCGATTCCATGCGGTTATATCTGTAACAAAATAAGACAACGCCTCTACAGAAGCACTCCAGTGGACTTCTATAATGTGGCGAAAGTTGAGCTGATTTCGGATCTATGGTTACGGAGTAGAAAGGGCTTACAAAGTAGTCACGCGGCGTACCCTCCGCGTCTGCCAAAATCAATTCCACGCGGTCAATTCCGTAAGTTTTTGTAACAAAACAGGGCAGTTCCTGGCCCGAAGTCCCTCAGCGTGATTTCGTAACTCTAAGAAATGAGCCATTTAGCATTCATAATTATGAAACGAGAAGTGCCTACGAAGGGTGCACGCCGCGTGCCCTCCGCGTCTATGAAAGTCAGAGTCGTGCGGTTGATTTGGTTACTTCTTGCGACTACGCTGGGTAGATACTGGTGAGAGGACTTCGGGGAAATTCATGAAGATCCAAAGAGCTTGGATTTATGACCTGATACATGAGGCTTGTCAATAATATGCCACAATCGAGTTCCAATCGCACGGACAGGCTCCCGTTCATGCCTTTTGACGACGTCAAAAGTAACCAAATTCCCAGCTCTGATTTAGAAGTCTTGTCAATAATATGCCCAAATCCACTCCAGATCACACGGACTGGCTCCCATTAGTACATCTCAACGATGTCAAATTTGACCCGATTCTAAAGTCCGATTCAGAGTTTCCTGCTCCATAGTACATAAACTTCACTCGAAATCCGAGCGCTTCATACGTAGTCAGACCTACGTTGCTAAGACTAAGCAACCTTGACTACACTACACATCCTCATCAAGCCGATTTCAAAATTAGTGGAAGTCGTACCTACAGGCCTCAAATGAAATCAAAAGTATCCCCATTCGTATCCTTCAGCATTCCCGCCACCCGTTTCGACCCAACCACCCTCTCAAGTCTGAATCCGTCCCACTTCGAAAATATCACTCGAACAGCAGCCTCAGAAGCATCGAGTTTCCCTTCCGATATAGACGTACCCAGATACCCGCTAACGAGTTCCTGGTAGAATATTGGGTTTTCCGGCAACGCGTACATGATCACTCGCTTCACACCCCTGATCTGATACCGCCGGAAGTGATGCGCACGACCCGTATATAGCAGCACAGAGTGTCGGCCGGTCAGGAAATGCGATCGCGCGCGGCGAACGTCGGGGACGTTGACGTACTCAGATATGGCGCCAAATGAGATATTCTGCGTGGCTGTCGAGTTGGCGAAGTAGTTCCGGATGCGGACGAAGTCTAGATATGAGGGGATGAAGATGACTATTCCCTGTCCGCCGTCTGGGGGCTTGGGGTATTTAGACAAAGCGGGCACGATGGTACTGGTAAAGTATTTGAACCGTGCATCTGGGTCGTTGGGGGCGGATGGAGAGTCGTATCGCGAGAAGGTTTGTTTGATTTGGAGCCCAATCTGAGTGATTGCCCCATCATAGCTAGGGCTGTATTTTATTCTTCCGGTGACATTTTGCATGTGTTTGGAGAATAAGTTGTTGAGTTCTGGAGTCAGATAAGCAGATAGGACTATCGTTTGACGTATATGTGCTGCTGTTCCTTCGTCGAGGTACCATTTCCGGACTCGGCTGATATCACATCCGTGAAGGTCTTTCGGTCGCAGGTTGAGCTCGTCGAAGACGTACTCCACATGCTCCCAGTTCTGCATGAGCATAGCATCCGCTTGATCTACGATGACAACCTCAATAGAACTAAGGAAGTCGGAGTCTTTCTGCTTTGGCCCTCCATTCTCAATGGCCCTTCGCAGGCCGAGTGGACTAGCAAATATGATATCGGAGTTGTAGAACTTCGAGAAGAACTTCGCAGTCTTCCGAGTGAATTTCATTCCGATGCGGAACTCGTTATCATCATTGCCCTCGAATAGCTCCCGGAAGTCCTCAGGCTTGTCGTCGGAGAACTTCTCTTCGGTTTGAGAATATTCGTCCACAAAACGCTTCTTGTTCTCTTGCTGTTCAATTTCGCACAAGGATATGATGGTCTCGACATATCTAACGCATGCTTGCCTGGTTTCTAGGAGTATAAGGACTTTTGGGCGAGTGAAACCTTGATCCCGACATTCCAGTTCCTCGTCCTTGACCAGGCGGGCATTGTTCTTTACAACTCGATCTCGTGTCTTGAAAATATGGTTTAACGCATGTAGGCAGGCGATTTGACGGAGGCGGGTAGCATTGCGAGCAGTCCTGGCTCCAAATAAGAGGTCCTGGTAGTCAAATATGTAGGGCACAAGATCCCGTTCGAGGGCGTTGAAGTCCGAGAGAACTTCCAGGGCTGGTGATTGAAGCTTCTGCTTTAGTTTGAGATCCTTCGGTGACTTGATTCTATGTTTGGATGGGACTTCTCCTGTCCCTGGCGTCGAAATCAAGCATTTTGCAGAATCTGCTGCTGCTGCCTTTCGGGTGGCCCATTGATTCTCGTTGATAGCCTTCAATCGTAGCGACAATTCATTTTCGTCTGGGTTCGCGAAATGTGCCTCGAATGGATCCTCATCGTCTTCATCCGAGTCATCCTCTATTATGGCTTCCACCACCTCTTGCTCCTCCTCGCCAGCCTCGGAATCAGATTCGACTTCTTCTGAGACATCTCGGATATCTTCCTCCTGGTGCGATTCATCCCCAAGTTTCCTTCTCTTATTCCGATGTTTCTCTTTTGTGGTCGAGTCCTGGAAAGATTGGAGAAGGGCGCTGTAAGGTTTTACGGTGGTATGAATTTCCTCTTCTTCTTCTGAAGACTCCTCCTCTTCACTAGAAGGTATGTCTGGAACTCCACCATCTGAATCGGAACCATCTCTGTTTATAATCAGCGTATGAATTCGCAATGCGCAAGAATCACTCACTCGACCGGATCTTCAATCCTAGCTTTGGTGAACGTATCTCTCCTCCCCCCTCTGCCACGACCTCCACGACCGCGTCCTCTACCTCTGGGTGCTCCACTACCTCTAGAGCCTCCTCGGCCTCGAAAAGGTGCCATAATGTTGTATTAGCCTCAAACGCAGAGGCCGAACCTTTTTTCTACTAGCAACGAAAGCGGTGAGGATGGTGGGGCAGAACTTGAATTTGGACGAAAATTGGCGAAGCACAACCAACACTAAAGGAACAATATCACGGCCCATCTCTTTGACCTCGACTGCACGCCCTCCTCCACCACCTCCCACCTCCCACCCAGCGCCCCCACACCCGCACGCGCTGTCCACCATGGGAGACACCGAGTCCTTCCTCCACCTCGCCCGCCCGCTCGGCCCAGCGCCCGTGGGAGCGCAGCCCTCAACAGCCCCGCTAAGCGTCGTGATACAACCACAAGTACAATTCCTCCTCAACCCTCCCCATACACGTACTCACAGTCTATCCAGGCCGTCTTCTCCATCCTCGACCACTCCCTCCGCCGCCCCGCCGACCAAGACCGCGTCATCGGCACGCTCCTCGGCACGCGCACCGAAGACGGCACCGAAGTCGAGATCCGCAACTGCTATGCAGTCCCGCACACGGAGACGGCCGAGCAGGTCGAGGTGGACATGGACTACCAGAAGCAGATGCTGGCGCTGCACCTGCGCGCGAACCCCCGCGAGGTGCTCGTCGGCTGGTACGCCACCAGCTCCGAGCTCAACACCTTCTCCGCCCTGATCCAGAACTTCTACTCGCAGCAGGGCGACGGCACGTTCCCGCACCCGGCGGTGCATCTGACGGTCAGCACAGTCCCCGGCAAGGACATCGAGGCGCGGACGTACATCAGCGCGCCGATTGGCGTGACGGCGGAGCGGGCGGCCGACAGCTGTCTCTTCATCCCCGTGCCACACGAGCTCAAGTACGGCGAGGCGGAGAAGAGCGGGCTGGAGCTCATCTCGGGCGCCAAGGACCGCGAGGACCGCTCGCAGGGAATCCTGACGGACATCGAGGCGCTGGAGCGCGCAGTGCAGCATGTGCTGGATATGCTGGAGCGCGTGTCGAATTACGTGAATAATGTGCTGGATGAGGAGGCGACGCCGAGCTCGGCGCTGGGCCAGTTTCTGATGAATGCGTTGAGTTTGGCGCCGAAGGTGGATCCGCAGGATATTGAGAGGGATTTGTATGTCCACGATCTCCTTGGTCACGTACAATAGGTCAAAGCTAACATTTCACAGCAACAACCACATCCAAGACGTCCTAGTCGTCTCCTACCTCGCCAACACAATCCGCACCCAAATCGACCTCTCCAACCGCCTTGCCACCGCCGCCCTCACCATGGGCACCGGTGACCCACTAGGTGGTGCTGCCGGCGACGGCGAGCGAAAGGAGGGCGGCGGCGGCAGGGGACGAGGTGGAAGGGGGCGCGGTGGCGGGAATCGCGGGGACCGAAACAACAACAGGGACAGAGAGAGCGAGCAGTAGACGGTGTCCGTTTCCCCGAATTCAAACATCCCAGTCTTGGCTTGTGGGCTCTTAGTGTGATTGCATTTCTTGTGCGGCAAAAAGGGCGTTTGGTTGGTCTGTCTCGGTCTAGGATTGGAGGCGGGCCATGGGATGTGGGATTGATCGATCGATAGACGCCATGATTATGAGCATGGATGGGATTGCAGATTTGATCTGTACTATGTGGAAACCTCATGAGGTCCGTTAAGAGGCAATTGAAAGAAAAAGACAAAACATATGCATTTTCACCCCATTTTGATTGATGAGATGCTAAAGCCTCCTGGCTTCTGCTTATCCATTTACCTGAGCTTAAATCGACTCCAGACGCCTACCATGCTCGCTCGAATGACCACGATATGAAACTGCTTCCTTCGCTGGTGTGTTGGGATCGTGTCTTGCACCCCACACCCGCCTCCGTCTTCGGTAGCCCGGCTCGCTATCAGACCCGTCAAAACCGCCATTTCCCAAATCCCGCTGCCGTACCAGGGGACTTCAAGCAGCTCCCCTCACTTCCCCCTCCCACTCCCCGCCACACTCCCCTCCCCCACCCTCCTCTTCTTCTTCCGCCCCTTCCCCTTCTCCCCCTTCCCTTCCCCCCCACTCTCCGCATCTCCCTCCTCCTCCTCCCCCTCCCCCCCAGCCCTCTTCCGCGGCCCCCCCTTCACCACGGCCCCCTCCTCGGTACTAAACGCCTTCCGTTGCGCCTTCATCTCCTTATCCTTCGCAATCAGCTCGCTGATGCGCCCCAGCTTCGCCGCGTCGCGCCTTAGCATGAACTTGAAGTCGTCGACCTTTATTTTCGCGCGGCGGGAGTGTTGGGCGGCGGCGGCGGCCTCGTGGCAGGACTCGATGATGAAGTCGGTGATTATCTCGTCGAGCACGGCGATGGTGGTGGGGAGGGGGGGCACGGCGTCGCCGAAGGCGATCAGGTAGGCTTCCAGGTCCGTCGTGGGGAATTGGCGGCCGTGTTGGCGGAGGCGCATGCGGGGTTCGGTCATTTTTTGTGCTGGGAGGAGCTGTGGATTGGAAATTTGGAGTGGGTTGGAGTAGTGGGGTTGCAAGCTGGAGAGGGTTGATGGTGGTGAGGTTGTGAGGAGGTTGTGAGGTTGTGGAGAGTGAATGAGGAAGCTCTGGTCGGTCGCGATCGATGCGCCAGCCGTCATAAAGCCGCAAGGATCTCGGCACGCACGTTTCTCCACCCCCGACGCTTTTGCGACTTGGACACCTCGCCCTCACGTCTTGCTGCCCTTCCCAACACTACAGTTCTCGAATCTCCTCCAATCTCCAAACCAACCCTCCAATCTACAGAATCCTACCAGTTCGAAAGCCTCTGGCCCTCAAAATGGTCCGTCACACCCCCCCTCCATCCCTCCCCCCTCTCCTCTAGCTAGCTCCTAACCCCCCACCCCCAACAGACCGCCCTCTTCAACTTCCAGTCCCTCCTCCTCGTAATCCTGCTGCTCATCTGCACCTCGACGTACCTGCACCACGTGTTCCCGGGCCCCATGGACCGCAACAAGGACGGCGTGCTGGGGATATTCTGGAAAGGCGCGCGCATCGGCGAGCGGTTGAGTCCGTATGTGAGCGTGGCGTGTGTGGTTATGGCGGTGAGTTGATTCCTAAGCCGTGGGGAGGGGAAGGAGGGGGGGGGGGGGGGGTTTCTGGGAGGATGGAGGCTGATACGTGATTAGGCGAGCATTTTTATTGGGACGTAGCGAGGGATGGGGTTGGGATGGGATGGGATGGGATGGGATGGGTGGCGCACGGTACAGAATTTGGGGGATCGAGCTTGTCGGGAGAATGGTGATGGGTGGATGGGACCGCTTTGTGGACGACATGGCATATTCGTCGACGGTCATTGTAGCGAGGCGCAGATGAGGGGATTGGGATGGATGAGGGGTGGCATGGGGCTGGTTTAGCAAGGTGTTTGGCGTTCGGGCGGGAGCGTTTGCGTTTATGCCTTGATCAAGGTTGTGTAATCCAAAAATACGAAGAGAATATCAAGCAAGGCAGCAGAGAGTCTTGGAGATGTTGGTGGAGTAGTCACGCTGTATCAATTCACGCTGGGCGTAAAAAAAAAGTGGCACACGAGGCAGAGTACTTGATGAGTGTGTAAACTTGTCTGCTACTACTTGACGCGCTTTAATGAGGTTCCGCATAGCCCAAACTCAAGAGCTTTTATCTCGTCCAGGTTTCCGAAACTGTATTGAAGCACCCCAAGCAGTGGCATACACGCGCACACACCCACCGCGTGGCTTCTTTAAACTCAGAGTGCCATATTGTTCACGCCTCGCGCGTCATTATAGGCTCGTCCCATAATGCATGAAGTCACAAAAGTTCCAGGGTATAGACCTAAGAAGTGTTGTTGAAGTGACTTTCATAGATTATAACCATACTACTCCCATCATCCCCTAGCCCCACCCGGCATCCACCCACGAACTATTATATACAGAATTTCCCCCTCCATCTCCACTTTTCACTGCCACCCCTCAGCGCCAAGTTGCAACTAGATTTCCCAATCTCCCCACTATCCAACCCAGATAACCCAAGATACATCCCTAAGTGTACAGTACAGCCCACCCGCGCGCGCCGCCACCCAGCCGGTGCGAGAGTAGAGAAGAAAGAGAAGAGAGAGTTTGGAGTTTAGAGTAATTTCTCGACTTTAGTCGGCTGTAATCGATCCAGCCAGCTGAACACACACGCACACACGCACCGTCCGCAGTACCCGAAGTACCGAGAGTGTGTATTCCCCACCATGACGCAAAGAAAACAGAGACTAGAAGCGACACGCAAGCCTCCCGTTTTTCTATTACGCGCAAAACGAACCAGACCGTTACAGACCAAGACAGAGGGAGACGAGAGAAGGTGAGAGGAAAAAGAAAACATAACTGAATAGGAGACTATTTAAAGTCTACTACTCATAAAGAGGTAAAAAAAACACAATCTTGAAGAAAAAGAGGAGAAAAAGAAAACCCTCTCCTCGAGTCTTGAAGGCTTCATCACCTCTTCCTCGTTCCACTCCCACCACTCTTGCTGTTCTCATAGCCACCCAACCCCTTCCGCGTCTGCCTCTCGGCCTCGCCTTCACTCGCATACTCGACAACCACTGCATCGTCCATCACATAGTCGCCTTCCCGGTCGAGTTGAGGGACACTTCTCGCATCCGCGTCATCATCCTCGTCATCATCCTCGTGATCGGAGACTAAGCCAGGATTAGACTCGACTGCATTGGGACTCAATTCCACAGGGGATTCTGGGAGGCTACGGTCACGGGACTGACTTGCGCTACTCACGCCAACACGAGGAAGACGCGGTGGCTCAGCGCGGCCATGTCCCTTCTGACTGCTGGCAGGACGAGCAGGAGCTTTGCCGTTTGCGAGGGCGGAGTGACTGTTGCTGGCAGGTAGACGGGCGAGCTGAGGCGTGGGTGCAACCTTCGAAACTGGAGTTTGCAGGGCCGAATCGGTGGTTAGCTCGTCGTCCGAAGCTTCGAAGCTGGAGACATCGATACGGGTGCGGGCGGTGTCGACGAGGTTGTTGAGGTCGCCTGGAAAGCCACGTTTTTTTAGCAAGGCGTTCATCCAGGGGGTTTGAGGTGAGGGGACGAAGGGGGTCTGAGATCCAGATATGGCAGGGGAAGAGACAGGTGGCGCGGAGGCTGAAGGAGCCAGTCTGGGTAGAACATTACGAGCAGTGGTTGGCGCATTTGACCGAATTAATGGGTGAATGAAGCCGTTGCTCGCAGAGCCGACGAAGCCCACTGCTGGGGTGGTCGGCACGGACTGAGAAGGTTCCGAAGGCGGGATTATTGAGCCAAGCTCGTCGGTCTCAACAGGAACACCGCATGCCACGGCAGCGGCATCGTGGCTCTTGTAGATTTGGTTGTGCTTGATGCGGCAGTGGTTGAGGAAGCCCTGAGTGTTGGAAAACTGGCCGCTCTGGCAAATGGCGCAATATAGCCGTACCCACTGGCCGTCCGTCGACCGTTTGTGCAATAGAGGGTCTACTTTCGGTACAGGCGCTGGATTTTCACCAAGCGACTGGAACCGCATTGCTCCGGTCGATGTCCGTGAATTCCGAGACTTCCCGGCGGTCGGGATTTCCGCAAAGCTGCCACGGGTCGCACGTCCTTCCCCGAGCCCGAAGTACCCTTGTGATTGCGACAAGCCTGTCTCTGGAATGGAGTCGAACTTCGGGTCTGGAATCAACCACTTGGCATAGTGTCGAGAATAGGGTCCATCGGTGACTCCCCACGGCGCAGCATGGACTGGCTCCGTATATCCGCGCTGGGGCTGCAGTGCTGGGCCCACGCCACCGCTGACATTTTCAGACAACGATTGTGAGCCCGGGTAAGGCACCAGCTGACACCGCCGTAGCTGCTCCAGCGCGACCTGGCATTTCCCGAGCTCCTGCTCGATGAGGCGCAATTCGTTGTGCTTGAGCAGGATCTCGTAGTTGAACTGGGCTTCGATGGCCTGCTGGGTTGGCGTGAGGCTCGATTCCATATCCAGAGCGTTCTGATCGGTGGATTCTATCGACGGTGCCGGAGCAGCAGGAGGCTGCGAGATGTTGACCTTCGACTTGGCGACCCCTTCCGCTTTCGATGCGCTTCCTGCCTTCAACTCGACTGGTTTGGCGCTCCCAGTGGCTGAGCTCTTGGCCTGAGGCTTGTAGTTCCCGTGCGACACGACGATGCCGTCGAGGATTGGTTCGCGGTCCGGAGCAATAGTGGTGAACACGGCACGCTTCACTTCGCCGGCGGCGCACTTCTGCTTCTTGATAAGATGCGCGTTCGTGGGCGTCGAGATTTCGGGGCTGTCGGTGCGCTTGCGCTTGAAGGTGCTCAACAGCGGGATATCGACGACGGGCATGTTGCGCGGCTTGTGCAGGGCCGACTTCTCCATGATGTTGTCGCCGGGAGAGTCGGAGCTCCACGGAAGGCGGAACATGGACTGCATCGTGGCGAGGGTGGTTGCCTGGACGGAGCGACGGTCATCTGTAGTCGTGAGTGCGGCGGCGCAACGACGTCTGGGTGGTGTGGCGCGTCCGTGGTGACGTATCAGGAGAGGCTCCGGCAACGGGCGCGTTGGGAGCGGCGTGCGAGCAGAGGGAAGAGGGGTGAATTAAGTAGCAAACAACGCTGGGGCAAAGGAGTGCAAGAAGAAGAGGGCCGTCACGAGGCTCGAGGCAGCCGTCAGCAGTCGGGACGAAATGGTAGAGCTGGCGGCGGGCAAGATAAGGCCAGATCCGCGGCACCCAGAGGGAAAAAAGGAGGTCAAAGTCGTGAATAGGGAAGCAAGAGGGGCGCTGCAGCTCGCAGGCAGAAAAAGTGCCGGTCGGAGGCGGTGGTGGGGGGGATCCGTGGTGCGGGCGTGGTGTTGGCGGTGGTGGTGAGGTTGCGAAGTTGAGGGCGAAGGGGATGCGCACAGCGGCGAAACGACGGCCACAAATGCGCTATGCCAAATATGCCCTCGCCGTCGCACGCTCCACCGGGCCCTGCAGAGCGTGATTGGGCAGGCGGATGGGCGGGACTGCGGCGATGGTTATGCCATTCTCGCCCCGACGGAATGCTGCCCACTCACCACGGCATCATCGACTCAGGAGTCTCTACAGACGCTGAATGTCTATCGTGATGTGTGGCTATCTAAAATCTGTTCTCTACGCCACGTTCTTTGTCGTCTCCGTTCCAAGGCTCGCTGCCGTCCTCCCGGCCCGCACATGCTTCAAGCCATGCTCCAAGCCATGGCTCCAGACCTTGCTTCCGCGCCCGAGAGCTGGAGTTTCAACCGTGTCAGGCTCCCCTCCAGGCTGCCTCGCTTTCTGTTCCAGGCACCCCACCATCCTCAACACCAGGCGACGTATCACGTCCATCGCTGCTCTTCATCCTCCAATCAGCGGCATCCCTCCTGCGCAAGTTCCTCCAAGCGCATCGCCATATTCCACCACCTTCCACGGATCGCTCGCGCGCCAGTGCCCCGGCGCCGGCTCCGCTTGCCAGCCACAACACCACCCATCCCGGACTGAAACATCGCCAACTCACCACATCCTTACCACGTGACATTTCGCTGGACCCTTCCCAGAATCTTCTATTCGCGCACTTCAGGCCGCTTGGGTTGGAACTGCGCTGCGTACTGAGGGCTGTGCCAGCAGATGACCGAACCCAAGGCACAACAACCCCCTACTATGACGATGCCGTTTATGGATCTCGAAAGACGCCCTTTTTATCCTGTCTCGCAACACCACGGAGATTAGTCCGGTCGTTGAAGATTGGCCTCCCCATCTTCGCCCGTTCAGCATCAGCCGTCAGGCTTTCGTACGCTGCGTGGCGCATCTCTAGCCAATCCTGTCGGCTCCTGTGTGGGTTCTTCAGTCCCCGCTGAAGTGACGTTAATGCTTCCAATAACACGTCCAGCGAGCGCATTTCGTCTTTTGCTAGCTGTCGCTTAGGGGCAGTTATCTTTCGGACCACTATTTCTTTGGCTACGACTGACACGGCGTTGGAGGCACTCTCCTCCCGTCGACGAGGCGGGTCTTGACGAGGCAGATCTCGATCGTAGGAAGGACTTGGCAGCTGTTTCTTCCGCGCATGACCTTTCGTAACCCTTAGTCTGCCCTCCTTGGTTGCCTGAATTGTCCTCCCACCTGCAGGCCATCCACCGCGTTGCAAAGACACATGAAACTGGCAAGCGAGTAAAGGGCCTAGCGGGAGGCGATAGCGGCTGAGTGAAAAGCTGAGCGTTTCAAGGACGCTTCTTAGTCGGGGAGGCATCGTAGTGAGTGACCAAGAAGCGCGAGATGAGGTCGACAAGAGGGGGTGATGCTCTGATTAGCCTCATCTCGTATCGAACGTTGCACAACATATCTTGGAGCATTCCAGCCATAGCGCTATTTCTCTTCAGATTCATTCCGTTTCGAGCTTCTATTTGCTTGTCCTCATTCTACTTAGAATCTCCGTTTCGCTCATCTAGCAAAGCATTCGATCTCTTCACACGACTCCAACACATTCCAACCCTAAAAGTCAAGATTTCTCTCCCTGCGGCCTCATAATTCCAACATCTTTGCGCCGTAAAAGGTAGCGCGCAAGTCAGAGGCCACAGCTCTCGCCCCCATTCGCTTCATGTTGTTCAAGCCGTCCGACACTGTACACAACCAGCTATGTTTGCATTCGGTATAGCCGGGTGATTGGCAGATATTGCACCTATCCACCACCCACCAGTGGGTGGTATCATGCTAATTATGGAAAAAAGTGTCCTTCCTTCCCACCTCATTCTAATTTCGCCGACCGTCTAGAACCAAGTGAAGTTGAACTCTTCCACATTGTCGGCCCCTTCCTCTCTAGCAGGCTTACTCAGCACCCTGTGTATATCTTTCCTCCTTCCGCTCAATAGCTAGCTTCCTCACCATCATCAATACAGCTTTTGGCTACACACCTTGTCTTGTTCCGCTTCCCTCTGACTGTCGCTCAACATTATACACAAGCTTGCAAAACTCTATCACAGCCCGGTCCTTCTCCGTCAAACCTCCCTTGCCTAGCTTCACCAACTCATTATCAACCGACAGGCACCTTGAGGCTGCATCTATACAGGCGGCCTCACTTGTACCGTCCCTTCGAACCTCCAAGTTCTTCAACTCTTCTTGAACCGCAAGCACCGCTTCCAGCATATCGGCTAGCAGACTTGCCTCCCTGCCGTTTTCAGGATTCCCGAGCATATGCCAAAGGAAAGAAGCTGGTCTTTCCGCCTGCTGTTTCTTTCCGTGTTGTAGCCGCAGATTGGTTTCTTTCGCCAAAACTGGCATGCGGCGTTTGAAATAAGTCAACGGCGTTTCTGGGTTTCTTCCCCGAGGAGCTCGTTTCGGGTGCTTGGTTCTCAGGGGAGACGTCTTGTGTTTCTTAGAGCGGTGATCCATTGGGACTGCTAGACCTTGTATCAAACCGGGTCTGCTAACTTGGCTTCGTGGCGAGACAGGAAAGCCCGAGTGAGAAGTGCATAGGACGCAAGAGGAATGGAAACTTTGAGCGAGCGGAAACCCGGTGCTGGTAGTCGGAGAGGCATGGCGAAGAGCTGTTTGAGTCCTGCAGGAATCGACCTGGGCGGATCGAGCCCTAAAAGGTGCCTTCATCGGCTGTTACACAGGCTCTTGGCGAGTTTCAGCCACCTGCACGGCAGCACAGCGTCTAGGCACCAGCATTCTCAGAGCTCCCTCCCATCCAGTAGATCATCCTCAACCTCCTCCTCTCTTTCAAAGACACAACAAACCCCCCTCTCCTTCTCGCTCAAAACGCCCCTCCCCGACCCCCTCAACGCCTCATCCACCCACAAACACCTTGTCGCCACCACCACCGTTGCCAACTCCTCCGACTCGATCCAAAACCGCCGCCCTGCTTCCACCATCTCTTGGATTGCCGCCCGTACTGCTCCGAGTAGTTCCCTCTCCTCCCTTTGGGCGGTTGATAAGCGGAAGCGTATATCCTGTCTGATAAGCTTCCACCAAGCTCTCCATGGAGTGGAATTCGACTTCGCGTTTAGAACGCCCATATGTTTCAGAAGCCTATATTCGAACCACTCACGGAACCAAGCTTCGTACGTTGATCCTCGAATCCTGGAGGAACTCTAGTATAAGGCGTCAGTTCGCTGACATTATATCCAACGACTCAGTAGCGATAAAGATAATAGTATTAGGCCATAAGAATTAAAAGGCGCCCTTGGATCGTACAACTCCTTGCTTCAATGCACTCCAGATCGCAACATTTTCGAGGCGTTCGAAGGCCCTGACCCTACATACCTCCGCCATGAGGCGGTCCATCTGGCCACGCAAAAGCTCATCAGACTGTGGTCCCTATAGGGCCATCCTAACATGACCGGGCAGCCACACAGGGTTCGCATGAAGAGCTCACACATTCCTGGCTGACTCGATGTCAACTTGAATGTCAATTAGCTTTTGCTCATTAAGATCTGTTCATGACTACTCACGCCACAGGAGTAACTTTGGCCTGTGCTTAGCTGCGGAGTCTCGTCCAAGAAGCATACTGGAAGGTTGAAAAACACAAAGTCAGATAACTAGCTGAGTATCTCGCGGGTTTATGCCGGCAATAGCGGATGCGAGATTTCCGATAGGCGTGCCGTTGCTGGCTGAACTGTTCCTCTGCTGGTAGTTGGATGCGGCTCTCGTGATGGTTTTCACATCGAGTCCAAAGCTGCTGATGTGGTGGAACCCCGGCGGGTTGTAAGAGCCCGGAGCGGCACTTAGATGAATTTCGCTGGGGTCGCTGGGCAGCATGATAACGGCGTACATGTCGTTATCATCGTTGTAATACTTCTCGCTCTTTGAGAAGTAGTTGTCGCCATCGCAGGGATCATTAGACAAGCTAGTCGCGGAAGCTTTGACGATTACTGTCCGCTTGCATTGCCAGAACGCATTCATCACGGGCGCTGCGAAGGCCGCGGCAAGCATGCCAGTGGGACCGGCTATGGATTCCGGAAGATCGGGGATAGGAGTGGCAAATGTGCCGTTCTCCAAGAGGGAAGGTATCTTGGCGGGATCGTTTGCGTACGCTCGTGCGGTTACATGAGGTGCAAACCCCAGCGCTTCCAGCGGAGAAGCCAGATTCGCGTTGAGTGCACCGTCAACGAAAGCCTGCAGCCGGTTCTGGACTACTTGGTCCAATGCATTGATGGAAGCCGAGACGTTTACGAAGATATTGAACTCACTTTCGACTGAAGGGTCGGGGGACTGTTGCGTGAATGTTGTGAGAGCGGCGCCCGATATCGATGTTGCAGCGCTCACGGCAGAAATGGCGAGAGGAGCGAGTTCGAACTGGCCACCAATGGCGGCAGCGATGCCTATAACTATTCCCGCAACCGTGAGCATGAAACCGAGTTTTACTCGATCTGATAGAGCTGGACTTGACGCCTGTGATTGTGTCCATCGTCAGTCTAGTCCTTCAAATCTCACGGTAACGTTTCTCATACCGCGGGAGCAGGGGCGAACACCTGAGCTAGTGTGCCGACGTCTAGACTGTTCTTGGCCATTTGCGCTAATGCGGCCACATTTCTGTAGAAGTTGTTGAAATTTGCCATCGCGGAGACTGTAAGCATGGCCAGTGGGTCGTCGCTGCACTAGCTCAGGGGAGCAGTTTGATCGCATTGCGTCTGACTAAAGAGGCCAACATCAATCTTGAAATGCGTATCTTCTGACTTCGGCTACAGGACTAACAAATTGCAGACATAGCTTAGCGTGGACAGCTTGCGGCTCTTGCCAACGAAGGTTTGCCAAGCAAGGGGTCTGGTGAGAGAGGAAAGTCTCGATACCTCTGTGGGGTGGCGATCAGTCTCCCTCCACATGGAACTGCTTCGGGGCGCCAACCTACTCCGTCTTCACATAGTCTCCCAGATCGTAGTCCTCCCAAGCTAAGGTCTTGTTCTGTTGATCACAACTCCTTTGGTCGGTTGATATGCCGGAGGGTGCGCTTGACGTCGAGAATGGAGTGACAGTCCGACCAGCAATAGGTCCGGCAGATGTGCAATTCTGCTGTGGGCAGTGGCTAACAACAGGCGTTCCTGAAACCTGAGAGACATAGAAAAGGCAAAGAAAGAGGAGGAAAGCCTCCATGATCGTCGTCACAGGCTCCTGCGAGGCGAGCCGTTTAGACGAGAACAGAGTTCAATCTGGCCTGTGGACTTGGATTTTTTCGTCCACCCAGGCACTTTACACGGGCTGTTTTATATGAGGGTTTAAAGCTGTTATTGCCACCGACGCTTCCACACCGCGCGACGCAAATGTTCCGAGGAAGCCAACATCGTGGTGGGCGCAGATCTCAGCCTCGCAGTTTTCCATCCTATGGGACGCGGAGTGGAAATATAACAGATGAAAAGGGGCTTCGAGGTGTTGGTGAAGAGGCAACAGATGGGATGTACTCCGATGCATAGGATCCCGAGAGTCTGTGCTCTGTCTGGCTGCACTATGCAACACAAGCCCATCTGCAGTTAAGCGCCAGACCGCGGCTTCAGCTAACATACACAACGAGGTAGACCATAGCGGCTATTGGAAGCATTGTATTCGTCGAGACTGATGCCGCTGGTAAGGCTGTATTTTGAAGCCAGGTGGGGCTCGAAGTGGGGGCGGGGAGCTTGGGCGTTGAAGCCGGAAAGGCGGCACTTGACTGAGGTCGAAGCAGCTGAGTTGGCAGGACAACCTCGTTTGGCCTGCCCTGTGGTCCTCCATTCCGAGGAGCCGAATCTCTGCGCTTTTAATGCTTCGTACAGACGGGTGGAGTCGGGATTTGAAAACGGTTGGGATCCCATTTTGCACGGATTCGAAAGTGGGTTGCGATAGAGTATGGGCATGGCTGAGACAGTACCTACCTAGACCTGTGGCTGAAGTAGTCTAACTCCTTTAGGTAACGCAGATTTCCCCGCGTGAGGAACCCGGACAACAGACACGCAGAAAGTGTACCACAAGTTGGGAGATCACCACAGGTCAGAAACCTTGAAGAGTGTCGTCATTCAGTTCACCAGAAATAGGAATCAAATCAGTAGTTAGCGCCACTTTCGACGAACATCACTGGTGTCATGGAGGAAGAGCTGAAATCTGTACAGCCGACTTGCAATGTACTTCAAAAACCGCCAGTATCAGCACCAAAAGCCATAGCAACACTCGAAGAACTGAACTCAGATGCTGCCAAAAAGGTTTACAGAAACCGACTTGCGAGCAGCGAGCTCCGTCTGATCAAGATTCACCCTGGAGACGGGCCGAGTACAGTTACATGCTCGAGCTTCAGTGTCCAAGAAGGAGACTTACCAGACTATGAGGCTTTGTCATATGTCTGTAAGTGCATGTAGCTTTAAAATCATCATATATAGACGCTAAGAACAACTTTAGGGGGCGGTCAAGATACAACCAAAACCATACTTCTTGACGACGTCACTTGGCATGTCACGCCAAACTTGCATTCCGCTCTTTCGCACCTTCGCTTCTCGGATCGCTTTCGCGTTGTTTGGATCGACGCTCTAGCAATCAATCAGACTGACTTACAAGAGCGCAATGAACAAGTCAAGAAGATGTCTGCTGTCTATGCAAACGCAACATCAACGCTGATCTGGTTGGGTGAGGCAACGGACGACCTAATACTTGTCACCTTCGAGCTCTTAAAGTCATATTCTGAGCTCACAGAGACTGACCGGCGCATGTGGCGAACAGGATTCACTACACGAGACATCAGTTTCAAAAGCGGCATTGTGAGCATGATGAATCGCATCTTTAAGCTAGAATACTGGCAGAGAATCTGGGTCGTTCAGGAGATCCTTTTCTCTGATCAAGCGTTTCTAATGTATGGTCAACATACTATTGGCTACGATGACTTCTTCGCTTGTATGCGAGAAATCAGCGCTGTCTGCGCAAAGTCGCCTGAGGAATTGGAAGCCATACCGCAGAGATCGATAGATTCGGGAACCTGGTCATTGGCCGCTCTGGCGCATTCAACAAATTTGATGATTTCTGAAGTCATACCAGCTCGCGGGGCGGCAAGGCATGGTAAACACCTGAGCTTGCGACAGTGGCGAACGGCACAGCTGAAGCGATCTATGGATCGAAGAGACAAGGTTTTTGGCTACTACGGTTGTTTCCATCCGTCAATTCGACAGCAAATCCAGGTGGACTACTCAAAGACATTATCAGAAGTCATCACTCTTATGATGCGCCTACTATTAAAAGAAGAAGGATTGAACATGCTTCTCGGTCCCCGAATGGTTTACGACCCCAAGTACAGAATACCCTCGTGGGCTTGGTCGTTGATGGAACCGACGACGGTACCCAGCAGGACTCTTGGTACTCTTAGTGCCATAGAGGACAAAAGTCCAGGGGACTGGTGCGCTGGAGGGTCTCTTCCAAGCGTCCTTGACTTTTCTGAAGATGGTACAGTGCTTCATGTCAGAGGAAAGACGGTCGCGACCATTGAAGCTACGGCACCATCATTTTCTTCTCCCCCTCGCAACGTTGGCAATGACCTCTTCGTCTTGGATAACTCCTTGGCGGATCTAGACTTCAAGACTTTGATGGAACATTTCAGATTGACATGGCAGTCGTTCAGTTTGCTACCAGACTTTCCGAGTACGCTTGGATTCATCACCGCGTTCTGGCTACAACCAAGCGGACCAACGCTTTCGGAACTGGCGCGCTGGCTGTGCGCTGGTGGTAGTGGGAGCTTGGGAACCAGCCAGACGGACTATAACCCTCATCTGATTGACAGCCTTGTGTCCCTCCACTTCCACCGGCGTATGTTCTATTTCATGCCGGCGACGATGAAACCAAGCACGGATCCCGAAGTCCGGCACTTTCAAGGACAAATTCATGGAGAAAGTGGATTAGGTCCGGAAGATGTTGCGCCCGGAGACAAGCTTTGTGTGCTTCGAGGATGCACGGTTCCTGTCGTGCTGCGGCAAGAAGGTGATCAGTACATTCTGCTCGGAGAAGCGTATGTTCCTCGGATCATGCGTGGTGAGGCTATTCGGGCAGCTGAAGCTGGCGAAGAAGAATATGAGGACTTTTGGATAATATGACGATAACTAAACGGTTGCTTGTATGAGTTTTGCTACGGCTTCTAAGGTATTAAGAGCATTCTTGTACTGGAACGTTGGACTCACCTGGGCACCTGACAAAGCACCAAAGTCCCGGCCCCAATAGTTATTCTGGAGGCAAGTCATAAAGTGCCCGATTGAATGCAAAGGAATGGGGAGCTAGAAGAGAGGATTCAATAAGCTCCATCTCGGGTTGGAAAAAGCAGAACTAAGACATCCTCCGGGGATACGAGAACCACTGTGTGGCGAGATGAGTTCATCATTCAGGCGTCTCAAATCTCTCCCACGTGTTTTTGGAGAACTATGGCAAATATATCACGGTTCTTCAGCCTTTTCTACACCTCAGGCAGTGTGCAGCGAGAACATTACCGCGGTGTTGCTGTCGCTGTCGATCATGCTGTCGATGGCGTCCAGGGCTGCTTCACCTCTTACCCCCCTGCTCCATCACAACTGCCTAACTGTCTGCAAATTCCGGGGCGGTAGATTCCCATCAAGAAAGAATATGGCTCCAACCTTTGGCGACACTTAGCTCGTCAGCTATGTGCACTCCGGGAGTTTCGCCGGGTGGCGAAGGGTGCCACAACGATACAAAAACGGCCCTGGTCTTTGTGATGTTTTAGCGCGCGTGCGTAGGCTTGCCTGTATTGTATTGTATTATATTTCAGCGTCATCACATGCTTTGTCGATGCTGTTGTGCTGTGGCGCAGAAGGCTGTTTCCCTTGTCCCGGCTTGGCCACTCAATTGTTTGCTTGACAGGGCGGTGACAGCGCTGGGGCTGTTTTAGGCATAGGCTGATATCTTACAGGAGGCGAAGCGCGATTTGCCCAAAAGAGGGAACGAAGTCAGGTAGGGGCGACGTTCTTGAGTAACCATGTATTGTTCACCATGTATTGCTCAGCTAAGTCTTTGAAGCCGGATTCTCATGGGAGATCGGCAAGATCCTCACCTAGTAGAACGGAAATCGATAAGAATGAAGAGGCATCTATTGTAGTTCCATTGCTAGCGCCGCGTCGCGATTCACTCAGGTTGCCACTACTAGCGTGTCAGTGGCGTTACATCCTTCCATATCCGTAACAAGGGGGAACAGGGGAGTACCCCCCCCCCCCCCCCCCCTTTCATAGGCTATATATACGGGCCTTATGCCTCTTCAAATCAACACAGAACTGCTTCTTCACAACCTGAGAGATTCAGCGTCGCTGCGCCTCGATTCAGCGTCGCTGCTTTGTGTCGCTATCTCCAGCACAACATTACCTTCTATTCATCATAATACGATCTCTTATCGCTCTCTTTCTCCGTCAGTCGCCACCTCATTCTTCTAGTCACGCATACTCTATTTTCAGTCGTATTTTGGTGCCGGAAGCGAACAGCGATATGGGAACCCGATGGCATGAACTGGCGTGCGCCGCTCCGAACGTTACCGTAGACCGGTGTACTAAGAATATTCGCTGTCAGTGCTGCAATTCGTCTCCTCGCCTCGACGAACTCGTTGCAGGTCGCACAGCACTCAATCCATGTTCATCCATCCCTGCGGACGAAGAAACTGATGTGCACTTATTTTGGCCCACTTCCGTGCCTTACACCCGACGTTCCCAAAGCCCATCGCTTGCTGATGGTGAGACAACTATTCGAGAGGGTGAAAGTGCGCCAGACGTTACTCTCCTCCAACAAGCATGCACATCTCCAATCTACACACATTCCCTTCGGCAGTGTGAAATCCGTCTCGTTCATCTCGCATCGCCGCTCGAAGGTGATCTGGAAGGCCCAGTGCATGCGGAGCTCGAAGAGTACAACCATGACGACTGTCCGGAGTATGAGACTGTCTCTTACACTTGGGGAGGCGAGGAAGACGACACCACACGTTGCAAGCCAGTATTCATAGGTCCTTATTGGGATATTTTGCTGCAGACTAAAAATTGCTGGGACAATCTTATGCTCATGCGGCCGTCCAGTGGCCAGCGAGTGATTTGGATAGACGCCATCTCAATAAACCAAAAAAACCATACCGAGCGAGAAGACCAGGTTGCTAAGATGGGTCGGATTTATGAGGACAGCATGCGGGTGTTTGTATTTCTAGGGAATGATATCGTGCATTCAATCGGAAATGGCTCATACCCAACAAGACGAAAGCTGCATACACTTCCGCGGGAAGCCGTGGACGGTGACGGGTCAGGCTCCGACCAAACTGGTCTCTTTACCCTCAATTTTCTTCTCAAGCGGAGATACTTCAATCGAATTTGGGTCGTCCAAGAATTGATACTTTCTCCACAAGCAATCATTAGGATCGGCTCGTCCGAGTACAGGATCGACCCCCAAACAAGCCGTGATATCGCAAAGCAAGACCCAAGATGGAACTGGGACAGCACCGCGGCTCCTTGGCTTCAGCATGCAGGACAACGATCTCTGATGTCAGAAGGCACGAGTAGCTTGCTGGAAATGATGAGACTGACTTGGAAATGCCAGTGTACCGATCCAAGGGACAAAGTATTTGGCATCTTGGGCCTTGACGACTCGGCGATTCCAGTACGACCGGACTACTCAATTTCCCTGGAGCATGTCTTCATCGGCATATTTGCTCATTGTCTGATTAATTTAAAAGACACCAGAGTCCTTTCCTGGGCCTCTGGCATTCAAGGGGGTAACAATTATCTGTCCTGGGTCCCAGCATGGAAGTCGTCCGCCGCGTTCCCGGAACCAACCGATACCGCCAGTGACGTCTATAAACGGTGGTCGTTGGAATGGAAAAGAGAGTTTGTCCGTCAGATCGACCGATATCGTTTCGACATGGAATATTACACGCGCAAATTACAAGGCATTAAGCCTGAACCTGGCGTCTTTCCCAAGAATAGGAAATGGAAGGAACGTTACCAGAAATATTGGCTCCAAGAAGATTCACAGGCGCGCAAAGACCGTGGCGAATGGGATAGACGAGAGTTCTCCGTGGTACAGTTCTTATCTATCCTGGTGGCCCCGGAGCACTCAGACCAGGAACATATTCACGTCAACATGAGAGGCAAATACCACCGTAGTGATACGCCGGGGGTGAACACAAAAGTCGAGAATTTTGAAGGAATGGCCTGGCATGACAATGCTTCTGTGTCCGCCGAGAGTGGGATATTATCCATTCCTTTGGTTCATCTCCAATGCATCCAATATCAACCGAAATTGGTTAGTCAGATTGACGGGTTTTCATGTTATCGAGTCTCCTCACAGGCTCCTGCTCCTGACGAGGATTCAGAGTCCTCTGTATCGGAAGGCTCAGGATCCGGAGAGTCCGGTTCTGCCGCAGCAACTAGGAGACTGGAGATGTTGCATGACAAACAATCATATCTCTTTTTCACTTCCCGAACTGCGGACCTGGATGACTTAACTGCTGCTGGAGGGGAACACCTCTTTATTCTAGACAAGGGATCCGCACCGCCCCTCTTCTTGATCCTTGTCGAGATCGAAAAGGGAATATTTTCTCTAGTGGCTTCCTGCGAAGATGTTTTCTACACTCACATATCTCGTCCCAATGATGCTGATGCTGTCGGCGGCCTCAGACTGCGGGATATACGTAAGACGTGGGACCTGCCAGGAATTTTCGCCGCTGGCGCAACTGCAGGGGCAGCAACAAAGATTTTGCGTAACGTGTGGCAACTGTGCCACACGTTTCTCGGAGAGCCAAGTTTTGAGGACCTAGTAGCTGTCACGCAGGCTTGCGAGAATGACAATCTTCGAGAAGTCTACATGCATCGCATGGATAAATATCATCCACAATATATTTATGACAAAACATCCAAACTCAGAGTTTCTCACGAAGTCATCGAGATATGTCTAGGTCATGAAGTCTGGCCAGATAAAAGAAGCCTTCTCCTGTATTCGGGAGCTGACTGGAGAGTGGAGCATGCATTCGAATGGTGGCGGGGTGAGGATGAGACATGGAAAACTTTTCGTGAAGAATGGCCCGGCGACTCAACAAAGGAAATCTACATCAGAGCAGAGGTGAATGAGATCCGCAAGATTATAGAGTCTTCTCTGGAAAGGCTGAATTTCCTTAACGGGTTAGAGATGGATGCAGAGGAGTCCGAAACTCATTCCCCACCCTCTTCTAGCGAGTTTTTGGCGACGGGATGGATTCAGCCTTGGTCGATCCCATGTCTACCCGAGGCGATCTCTGGCATTGAAAAAGACTTCGAGTTTGACGGCAGCTGTTACCAAATTCAGATAGTGTAACCCGGCCTGTGATGGAAGTCTGCTGAAAAGAAGAGCTTAGGCTCTCGCTACAATATTCCAGTGAGTGTGAACCATCCTGGCCCATATCGTTACAGCTCCGGCAGCTCCAGGAGCCATGACAAGCCGGAGAAGATCTGCGCACCGACGAAAGAACCATTCTGTCACTGAATGATGACTCCAGTGACTGGCACTCCAATGAGCGACGAGATGCTCACCGCAATGAACACGTCGCCAATGCGGCCACCAATCGTAGTCATATCCGTTGTCATGCCAGAGATGGATGGAGCTGGCATGGACGTGACGGCACCAGAAAAAAGGCCACAGAGAAGAGATGACAATCAATGGGCCTAGAGTATGAGTTGTGAGACAAACGAGGACGAGCCCTGGTAACTGCTGGAATTTGGACATTGATGGGACCGATGAGATCAGCAACCCTATGGGGTGTCTTCCTTCTAAACTTACCCTCAAACATCTAATTCTCTGCCAGAGCCAACTCAGCAAACCATTTGCATCAATCATATTCCCTATACGTCAGCGCCATACTAAAAGCCCCACTCACCTAGTAAATCCGGGGCAACATATCCTTAAACACCGCCACAAGATCCGCCGCGCTCTCCCTCGTCACCCTCCCCACCAAACTCGCCGTCGCCTTAGTCGTCGCTACCACCGGCGCCATCACATGCACCACCGACGAATCCAGTAGCTTGAACTTCTCCCCCCGCCGCACAATCAGCGACCGGTACGGCGTATCGTTGATGTACGTCCTATTCCCCTCCGCCCTGATCCCCATAAACTCCTCGCGCACCTCCCGCGATTTATTCGCCAGCCCCCGCCCCGAGTGCGACGTCAGCGGACATGCGATCATGTGTTCTGGGAAGATGGCCAGCACGACCATGTACCGCATCTTCGTGGACACGGGGCCGATGGTGCTCTCCGTGCGTGCTTCGCTGGTGACGGAGATGCTGTGGTCGCCGAGCGGCGCGAAGTGCGGCGTGCAGATTATCGAGCCAGGGCCCAGTTCTGCGATTTCGTAGCGATTTAAGGTTTTCGAGGGGGCTTTGGAGTTGGCCGTGGCGAGGGTGAGGCTAGTGAGGCTAGGGGTGGAGCAGTTGGAGCAGAGGGACATGGCGCCGGAGCTGGCCGTGCTGCCTTGTGTTACCGTGCGGAGGCTCTGGACTCGGGGGTTGACGGGGCGGGAGCTTGAGATGGTGCTGTGGTTTGAGGCTTTGGCTTGTTGGGCGGAGGTATGATTGCTGGTTGGGGGCCTCGGGGGGAGGGGGTGGACGGATGGTTGGGGGCCTCTTTGCTGAGGGAGAGCTTGCGCTCCATTGCTTGGGGCTGAGTTGGGTGGGTGGGCTAATTGATTGTTACCACTTGTCGGGTTTGAGGTTGGTGGGACGTACGGTGGTAGAGAGGCGGATGCTCTGCTTACTTGTGATCCTGTCCAAGGTGGATGGTTATTACCTGGCGCCCAAGGTGGAGTGGCGGGAGTATCGCCGGATTTTTTGCCCATTATGGAGTTTGGTCGTGGTCACGCAAGGTGTGTTATATCTGTGATTGAGAATTAGTGCTGGAAGAGAATTCGTTGGCTGATTTTTGGTGTAGTGAAAATTTGAAACGGATGAGATGTCCAAAGGCTGTACGTCAATTGAAGAGGAGTAGAGTGAAAGGCGGCTGCTGATATACAATAGATAGCGCTGTGATAGTTTTGAAATATGGAGAGTTGTAAATGCGTGATTGTTTCGTACCCACCCTAAGAACGCTGGTAAAGTTTCAAAGCCAGAGATGGGGCGAGCTTCACAAAGTCTTTCTGGACCTAAAAAGCCCTTTGTTTGAGCTGCGACATCCGATAACAAAGAGGACTTCTTTATGGTTGATAAACTTCTGTAACCTCATTTATTTAGTCGAAGCAGCATATCACACCTCCATATTCGCACAACCTGACATTTAGAACATCATGTCGACTATCGGTTCGAGATGCAGCGACTTACTGAAGCAAGGCCTCGAGTCAATCAGAAGCCTTTTCGCAGAAGACGATGCTCTTCCGTTCGCACAACACGACGCTCATTCGCGAACGCTTCCGCAAGTTGAAACATCAAGCCCCGTAGAGACACAGCCATCACCACAATCGGCGCATGAAGAAACCCCTCCAGAATCGATTCCGAAGCCTCCGGTGCCGCACAACGATAATTGGATCTTCGACGTAGAAGAGGAAACTGACTACACATTCGGACCTGCGCGGATGATCGAGGCATACGATCGAGGCCAGTCCTGCGCAGCCGTGCTCCTATCCCTCGATCTCTCGCGAAAGATACAAGCCGCCCTGAATGGTCGACGATCGCTGCAAGAATGGAATTTTCAGATCGAGTTACAACGGGAGCATGTCTCAAATCGTGATCGCGAACTTAACGCGTGCTTCTTCCATCAGGACGTGCAACTTGAGAAGCTGGAGATCGAGGCCCGGAAGATGGGCGACGAGGTTTCAGTTGAACTGCAACAGAAGCTACAAGAGCTTCAAGATTCAATGAACGGTATTGAAGTGCAGCGAGCTAATTTGAAGGAGGAAGAAGAGCAAATAGATGGGCGTTGGCAGATGGCCCTCTATCAACAGCGAATCCTTCGTGAAGAGGTAGACTTCATCCTCGAAGACGTTTTTGTCAATTGTCGACTACTACAAGGGCTCCAGGATCCTTCGTTTGAGCAGCAAACTGCTTTTCGGCCAGTTGCACGACAACCGTACGTCCTAGAAGACGATGATAGCGATTACTTGGCTCCAGAGGAATTTCGCTATCTAGAGAATAATGGAGAGAATACTGGACAGGCCGAACACGATGCAAATGCCAACCTAGAGCATAGCATGGCCAGCGTGGCTAGCGTGGACAGCGTGGACAGCGTGGACAGCGTGGACAGCGTGGACAGCGTGGACAGCAAGCGGATTGACAAATGGCTTGATAATGCTGAAGGTGAGGGCATGAGTCCGCCATCAGAGCTCGAGATGGACCATTGGTCGGTTGATCCCCAAAAGCCGTTTGACAGTGTTAGTGTGCTTGCTGAAGGCCACATGCGGAAGAAAATAGACTGGTGGCGGCGGGAGAGTCGACAATACTAACTGGGCTTGACCAAAGCGGCGTTTCCTCTCTCTTTAAGATCTTTCTTCACAAATCCTCGACGAGATCTTTGCACTGAAGCGTGCAAGCTAACGTCCCTCCCTAGGTCGCGGAAAACCCACCGTGCCGGAAAATATGATGGGTAATGTCCGTCCATGCGTGGCGCAACAACCCCCGTGCCGCAACAGATGAGGGGTAACGTCCCCCCATGTGTGGCGCACAACCCCCCGTGCCGCACGAAATATATTGTTTAGGCATCTCACTCTCCCCCTCGCAATTCTATCGAGTTATAGTTAGTGTATTGTCATTCTTTAGCCATTTCCGCCTAGGAAATTAGTATGCAGCCAAAAACATACATCGCTTTAACCATACTGTTGATCGTTCCTTTTAGAGCATCCAGAACTATGTTAGTGCTGCATCCCTGCTGCACTACGACTGTCTACAAAATTTCAAAATTCGGAGCACTAAATTGATAGTTTTAGGATGAAAGAAGATATGTTTGAATTTTGAGAGCACTAAGCCCTTGGGAGGATATATTCCGGATTTATCCGCGCGAAGGGGTCCGCAACGTATCTTGGCATGAGCGTTTAGCGCGGTATTAAATATCCAGCTAGCTGTATTGTATTCTACGCTATGCCTAACTAACTCAACATGTGGCGCTCTTCTAGAAACATCTATGGACGGTCACGTGCTGGCTATTTTTGGCAGCCGTTCCTTGTTGCCACCTGTTGCTACCTATCTGCAATTGCTAGCGAATGCGGCTTCGCCCCAAACGTGGTCGCAACATGGATTCTAATTTACCCACCCGTAAGTGGAAGCCTTGGCACCCCATGTCAAGATCCTGACGTTTGTGACGTTTGTGACGCCAAGTTAGGTTCGTAGACACGTGACTGGATTGGGTTAGGGTGATAGGCAATACTCTGGTGAGAGTCTTTCTTCGAAGAAGGGTCGCAGGAAGTGAAGCTAGATTGACTATGAAGAAAGAAACTATCTGGGTAAAGGAGCGTCCTTAAATACATTCCTTCCTTCATACATTTTGATCAACTCGCTCCCCAATTCGACGACCGAGTTCACGAACGAGTTCCCTCAACTTGGTCGGCAACTCGCCCATCGAGTTCCGCGTCGAGTTGTGAACTTGATGCCAAGACATCGGACCGAACGGTAACTCGTCCCGATGCCACCCCACCGAGTTCGTGTAGCGCCAAGCCTCGTCCATCCGTTCTTTGCCTGGCACTTCCCGTCCCATCAATTATCTGCATGCCCTGCTGTCCTTGACTGGTTCATAACACCCCATCTTATGTACATATCCGATCAGGCACCATTAGCCCAGGCGCGTGATTTGCCACGGTACAAGAAGGTATCTCTCCGCCACCGCTTGAGCTGACAAGATCATGGCCTGCTAGAGGTGGCGACCTGCACATGCGCCAAACCAAGCACGTGCCCAACGAGCCCAAATTGCTAAGGTACATATTACAAGTCAAACAAGTAAGTTACCTCCCCAAGTTTTATATCTCCATATGACTTGAAACAGAATACCCTTGGTTCCGGAAGGAGGACGTCCTTCAACTTTTGAGCAATTCAGAACCTGCGCATATGTCGATACTTTTACAATCAGTGTACTCTATCTCTTCGCACGCTGATTTACGTCCACAGTTATCGATAAGGATTCGGCCAATTAGAGGCTCCGAATTAGGCCCCCGTGATGAGGCCTACACCCGGCTGAGGCAATTCAAATACGTGTAGCAGCTATATACAAGCTAGTCTATAGAGTTAAGCTTGGCCATATAATCCTTCCATCCCGTGCAAATAGAAGTAGCTGAGCCCTTGGACGGCCGGTGATCCTTGGCGTACTCGTTCGTCCAGCGCACCATCTTCTCTACCATTTCATCGGTAAAGAATAGGCGGAATAGGGCCACAGGATCATGCTGATCAAGACCTGGAGGTATATTGGGGGTGCCGGGCGCGTCGTAGTTGTTGATTTGTAGTGGCTCGAATGCAGGCAGCGGCGTAGGCTTGGGGTAGGGAAGTTTGGGGTGTTTGTAAGGCTTCGGGTCCTTCTGCACGTAGTCGACATCATTAGATGTCCGTGGCATTGTGGAGTATTTGATTGTGGATAATAACTAGCTATTTGGCTTGTTTACGTGCTGGCGCGTACGTTGGGGCACGGGCTTGGCGCCAAGTGTGGACGCCAGCGTGCGAAGGGATAGCGAGTTCTTGATATTCGAGACATTTTTCACCTAAAAATTACAGAAGTACGGTTGCCACGTCGCTCGATTCACACTCTGTACCGGTACCGGTACTCTATCCATGCCCAGATTAAAATATTAAGACAAGATCGCCATCCTTACCAGTACTGCTGCTAAAAATAACTCCATGCTTTTGGTTAGTCAGCATTCACATCGACTTCTTCAGCCTTATATTGCTGCCTGCTCGGTTGCATAAGTGGATCTGCAAAAAAGAGATAACCACTTCATTTTATCTGTCTTTGCAATTATATTCAAACCACCTAGATATCATTATCTGTCATTGTTGCAATACATCTGCAAACATTAAAAGTGTCCTTCCCAGGCTGTCCGCAGAAAACGATCTATCCCTAACAAACCGGCTCATCCTGTCGCTCACAGGCTACAAGCGTGAAATCCTAAAGAGCACCCCGAATTACTTTTGGGCCCTGGGAAGACCTTTCCTCAGAACTTAATTCCACTCTGAGCGGACATCGCTTCTGTCCACGTGCGACGCAAAACTGAAAGGTTTAGTCACCTAGTCACTTTATCTCAGAATTTGCGGACTACCTCCTCCTCGACATCGTTATCGTTGTTGCAATGTCGTTGTCTTTCGCGGCTGGTTCTCTTGTGCTTTCCAACTGGGGATTCGGCGCCGGAGACATTGCGACAATAGCGGGAGCCGGAAGGGCAGCTGTGACCTGGGTCACAAACAATTTCAAGGATAGAGGCCTCCTTGACTTTATGAAAGTTGATGCTGAAGACTTGGTCCCAAGAAAAGGCCTCATCGATCCAGTTGCTTTGCACATGCGATGGGACGTGCGGATGACATTACTCCAAAATGGTCAGACACGGGTTATTGAAGGCCCCACCGGGCCAGTCGTCGAGAACATGAACATCTTCAGCTGGTTCATGACGATCATTACCAGCGCTATGGATGCAACCCTTCAAAAGAGCAGCATTAAGGAAGCAATGTCAAGCTTCCTCACCGCACTATTCAAAGAACATGTTGATGAGTTGGACTTTCTTCAGAGAGAACTTCCTCATCATATCCAAGGTTGGATTTCCGCCGCTGTGGTTAGGAGCATCATATCTCGAGCTCGAAACGTTTGGCATCAGCTCCTCAATCAAAAGCTGAGATTAGCTGGTGATATCCTGAAAGAAGACGTGCCAGAGATCGTGCGATTCCTAGTCTGGCTTGCCGGAGCAAAGAAACAGAAGGACTGTAAACGGTTTGAGACAACCTCAAGCGATGTATTCGCCTTCGCAATCATTCTGAAATCGATTGGTCTCGACATGATTGACACAATCAGAGAGACTGAAGACGAGGTTGATTCCATGGAAAGCAGACTCGTTGTCAAATTCACGCCAGACGCCATTGGAACAGGTTCTACAAGCGATGAAGAAGCTCGAAGTGTTCTCTCTCATCAACGGCAACGCTTCGTAATGAGAATTCCTTTACAATGTATGGAAGAGTGTGTCTCTATTTGGCCTGGGACTGCGGATCAAAACAACCAGCGTCGGTTGCTTTTCGAAGAGGGTGTCGCCGCATCCGGGACTCTTTCTGTCACAGCCAATCAGTCTTCCAGTACCAAGAGAGGACCATGCCCATCGTTTATTCTCTCAGATGAGACATACAGCAACGTTGGCAGAACTGATAGTGCGGTATACCGAATTGTTTCAGACTGCTTTCCGATTCCCACTCCGGCTGTCATCAATGCCATAAATGGGATATTGAAACAGAGTCCGGCGTTGCAAGATCGGGAAAGTGAGGGTATTTTCCGCCGACTTGACCAGAACCCCGAATCCTTAAGCAAGGTGCAAGTATTCGTCCTAGGGTACTATTATGGCATGCTTAGAATATTTATCGACGATTCAAAATTGTCGATTCAGGAAGGCTACGGGAGTTGGAAATGGTTCGACGCTCGTCTCCTCCGCTGGGTGCGGATGTTCCTCTCTGAGCACTCTGACCCAATCGAGCATTCGCCCGGGAAGAAAATTCTTGGGCAGGAAGGAATACTAAAATTACTTGGCTTGCTGTTTGTAGGGGCGGAGGAAGACCAATTAAGAGCTGTAGACCAATCGACGGTTGGAATTCACGGCAAAATCTCCGTGGTAACGAACAGTCTCCTGGGATTCATCAACTTCAAAAGTTCTGCCATGCACTTTTGCCTTCTAGACACCGACCCAACTGCCATTCCTAGCAATGCCAGAGGTATCATCAGCAGCGGTGTCCAGGGTTCGAATATACGCAAGCCTCTGATGCTGTCCGACGACCATTTACAAGACATTGACAAGGTTGATTGCAAAATCATTGGAGAGGACTTCACATCGCACATCGAGCCGGATTGGGAAAATGATGTTCAGCAATGTCAGGTCGTTTTCAGATACAAAGGACGACTTGTTGGCAGAATGGCACCCTCAAGTCTCGAAGTATCGACAAAAATAACGACAAAAGAGCGTCCACAAATGTCCCAAGGACCACTACCTTCTACGAAAGTTTACGTTGCAGAACTCGAGCGTCTAGTTAATAATTGTCCTCAGCCTGATTTTGGGAGTGCGGAGTTCAACCCCTATCAGCCTCCCATTCTTATTCCAACGCCGAACCTGGCAAAAGCACGAACGTTCCTATTGGCACATTATTGTATGACCGGGTACTATCGTGTCGAATTAGTTGATCCATGGCTGGAGATTGGATGGGACCCTGAACGAAATGGTCAGAACGGCTCCCACTTGCCCATCATCCTATACTGGGATCTCAGTAATTTTCCAAACGAGGTTCTTGGTACGGGCAAATTCATCATTCTGGCTTGAAATTTGAATGCTGATGAATCCACTTTGTTTTGCTTTCATCGTTGGCTTTGCCACTACCTGATTTGCGTAGTTTGCTATATAGTAGTATTGAGTAACAAGCTGTGCTAGGCGGCAAGATTTGGAGGTTGTTGTCAATATACTTATAGACTATTCTAGAATTTGAACTGCGTTGTAATTCGCACATAAACTGTGAGGGGCTAGGCGCAATGTGCTACTCGGTGGGTACCTTGGTTCATGCCCTAACAGGGTAGCCCCGATTGCAACTCGGACGATCGGGTGATACTTATCCCAGTCCGCCCCTTTCATGTTTTCTCTACTCGACTTCCTATTTAACTCTCTATCGAATACAACTCTTTGTTACCCATACATGCCCTTAGCACGAGAAGGGCCTTTACCCGTTACAGCAAGTGCTGATGTTAAAAGAGGACTGAAAAGCATATAAATCCTTAATATATAGATATAAAGAAAACGGATTCTATTACACGGAGGTATTAATTATAACGAAGAACATAAGGTTTGAATTAATAGGTAATTATCTGTATAAGGTGCGTCCTTGTGTAGCAAGAAACCCCCTATGTGTCACGATAGCGCTACACGCAAGAGGTCGAGGGCTCAAAGAGGAGCGTTGATTAGGTGCTATGTACAATGCTACGTGGAGAATTAAGACGTTGTGTAAGGAACAGGAAGACGGGAGACGGGCCACCGGATATAAGGGCGTGGCCGAGCGCGTGGCGTACGGCCTCTATGCCGTTTCGGCGCGTGGCACGCGTGTACGCGAGGTCCTTACCAGATTAGGTGATAGGAAAAGGGGGCAGCCGGTAGGTGGCTGGAGCGGGACAGGATAGGAAGCGGAAGCGAGACGGGAGCGGAGCAGGGCAGGCAGAGCAGGAGGCCGGCCAACGGTAGTAGGCCGGTGCAGATTGCTGGAGTTGTAGCAATCTGCGGCAGAATTTCGGTAGGTAGGGTGTCGCGGTCGATACTGTGACAGGTATTACTAGTGTTAGGCCTTCTACTCTTTTAAAGGTTGTTTATAAGCGTAATAACAGAGCGTGCTTTAAGGGATATTACTACCTATATATTCTAATAAGGTAGTATATATTCTAGGTATATCTAAAAGAAAACCTTATACTAGCACCTAGCTAGCTTAGTCTATATTATTATATTAGAGGTATAAATAGGGGTATAATAAACAGGTAGTAAAGAATAAGTAGTAATAATAAACGCCTACTAAAAATAGCTAGTATATAATCGCTTAAAAACATTTCTAGAAGAAATGCCGTATTTTACGAAGTAGGTATAGCGGCGTAGTATATTATAGCTAGCTAGATCTAATAATATACTAAATTTCCTACTTACGGACTTTTTTATATAAATAAATCCAGAATATATCCTATTAAGGGCCTAGTGCCTTTATAGCTTTAAAATATCTTTTTTTACTATAGAACTATTAATAAAATACTCCGAACTTTAAAATTCTATAAAAAGTTAGGGTAAAGCAGGGGTATAAAGGTATTGCTATTCTAAATACTCTAAAAGTAATAATTAATAGTAAGATTAAAAGCGTGTAATTTTTTAGCTACACGCTTAATTCCTAGGAAGAAATACCTAAAAAATAATATTAGGCTAATTATAAGTCGATAAAGTTGCGAGGTAGAAAGTAAAATACTAAATAATAAAATTCGTTGCGGTATAGAGGTTATTGCGCTATATATAAACGGATATTACTTTAACTTTAAATAACTTAGACTTAGTATATATATTAAGATTTCCTATAGTTCTATATAAGTTGCGTACTATAGCTACTCCTAAACACTTAGAATACCTCCTACCTAAAACTTACGTTCGTATTATTGCTTTCGCGCCTGATTTACGGAGAGCCTTCTTTTATAGCGTAACTGAATTCCGTCGCCACAGCACTACTATCGAGCTCCTATTACTTCTAATGCTTATAAAAGGGCCCTATCTAAGCCTTATAACCTTACTGCTATACTAAGAATTTGTTATTAGCTTTATAGCTGCTATCGCACGCAAATTTATATAAGGTCGCCACCTAGTCGGTACTTCCAATTAAAGCGCTTACTAATCCCGGTTAGTGTAAAATAACCCCGCAAGTCCTATATAATCACAACGGTGTAATCTACCTATGTTATCTAGTAAGCGTATAGCTGTGCGGACGCTTAGAGCAGTTAGCAAATAACACTAATAACCAACACATCTTAAAGTGGCATCTTTACAAATTTTATCCTCTCCTTCCTATACAGTCGCAAGCGAATGCGGCTTCACCCCAAACGTGGTCGTAATACGATTCTACAAATAATTACCCCACTCGTAAGCGCAAGCCTTAGCACCCATTAGCCTAGGCACGTGATTTGCCACGGTACAAGAAGCACTTGCATCAGTTAGGCATAGCGTAAAATACATCGCACCTAGCTAGATATGCTAGATATCTAATACCGCACCACGTAAGTGCGCTTAAGCCTTGTGCCAAGACACACTTTAGACCCCTTCGCACGGATAAATCCGGAGTGCATACTTCTAAGGGTCAAGTGTATTCAAAGCTTAGAGCTATCTTCTTTCGTCATGGAACTATTAATTTTATGTTCCGAAGTTTAAAATTTTGTAGATAGTCGTAGTGCAGCAGGGGTGTAAAGCTAATGCAGTTCTAGATGCTCTAAAAGGAACAATTGACATTATAATCAAAAGCGTTGTATTTTTTTTGCTGCGCACTAGTTTCCTAGGGAGAAATGCCTAAAGAACAATAAAACATTAATAATAACTTAATAGAATTGCGAGGGAAAGAGTTGAGATGCCTAAACAATAGATTTATTCCGGCACAGGGGGTTTTCCGCCACCCAGGGGGACGTTAGCTAAGAGTATATATAGCGGAGGAAGGAAAGTGGCCACCCCTAAGTGGCCCGTGAACGAGTTCAGCTGCGTTCCCTAGTCACTCCTTGAAATAAAAAAGCTGTAATCTTTCAACACATTACCATCTCCTAATGCTCGTAATTCTGTCGTAACTTGCCAACCACCAGTGCGGTCGCTCGATTCTGAAAAATGGGATTTGAAATTGAGATGAGGATTTGAAATTTAATCTTTCGTCTAAACTCAACCTACCTCATCGAATAGCACCTAGTGACATTGATAATCACGATGGCTTTAGTGGTTCACGCACCATACAGCAATCAATATACGGTTCGCCATCAATCAAAACACTAAACGTATCCCGCTCTTCAAATGCGAACCGTTGATATGTCGGTTTGCCGAGAGGTGACGCCTCAACATAACTCCGGTGCCCAGATTGATCCGCCTGTTTGCAGAGTTCAGTCATAAGTAGCGATCCCGCGCCTCTGCGCTGGTGCTTTGGCAAGGTTGCGAGGACGGCTAAGTCTACACAAAAACTCAGTACTGTAGCATCGCACTGTTTTTATTGTGTCGAATAACTTACACCAATGCTCCTCTTCGCCCATTATCCGCTTCCTTTTCTCTGTCGCTTTGCCAACAACTTCCCGGAATAGCGCGACATCACCGCCTACGGGCCACTCGGTGGGTTTCTCCTGCGGAGGCTCGGTATGCGGCGAGCTCCATTTGGCGAATGCTATGATTTCGTCTGATGCCTGCACCGACTCGGCTTGGCCCTCCACGACCTTGTATATTCGGGTATGTGGCTTCTCGATGTCGCTTTCCAGGCTCTTCTTACACCATTCGCGGACGGGTGGTACATCAGGTTTTACCCGCAGAACCAATAGACTCTTGAACGTCTCGAAATACAAATCGACCAGCTTGGGGATATCCGCCTTTTCTGCTCTCACGAGGCGTAGAGACATAGTAGAAGGGACTGCTTAGAAGCCGAACTGTGTGAAGAAGAGTATGCGTTCGATAAGATTCTTGACAATAGATTATGGAGAGAGCAGTACGGCTATGGAGCAATGTGTAACTGGAGATCTGATGCAAAGTTCAATTTGGAGTGATAGTGCTATGCCGGATGCGACTTTGCCACGTATGCGTCCGGGATGTAGCCCCTTCTCGGCGTTGGCACAAAGAAAAGTGGGCCCAGGAAGCTCGGCACAGGTTAATAACAGCATATGCTGAGCACATCTAAAACCACGCTGGTATAAGTTGGGGTGGGGAGGGCGGAAAACCCTCATGCCAAGACACATTGTACATCTATTCGCACAGATAAATCCAGAGTGCATAATTTTAAGCGCTTAGTGCCTTTAAAGGCTTAGATCTCTCTTATTTCATCATAAAACTATCAACTTAATGCTCTGGAGTTTGAAGAGGGGAGAAAGACGTGGTGCAGCAGGTGGGCAAGGAGTAAAGAATCTTGAATATACTGGGAGCAGATATGATGACGAGTCCTAATCAGAACTCTACGACGGCAGGGCTAATGTGTCAAGGCAGTAGTTGAGATAGCAAGGCTGATGAGTTTGGAGCTGCTTTTTTCGTCTAGATTGAATAAAAATCGCAGCACCTCGAATCAAGTAAATCACTTCAGAATATATATGTAGGAGGAAAGTCACAGTAGGGGGCTTAAGTATGGACTCAATGGTAACGGTAGAGATTCCAATCTAGAAACCAGCTTGAGCTTCCGGCAAGATACAGTACATCCGAGACTGCGCTGCAGCGGGTGAGGAAGGGTGAGCGAAAAGCTACAAAAACACCTTCGACGATACTAGACGTTACCTACTCACCTAATCAAGAGAATCTTCAATGGCCTTCACCATAAGCTTCTTGAAAGTCTCCGCCAATGACTCACAGCTCTCTACAGTAAGCTGTCCTGAGATATCGTTAACATTAATATAGCTCACCGCAACGGGCGCCATGAGATGCGCATTGGATGTACTCTTTAGCGTGAAATTATTCCATGCATAACGCACTTCCAGCGGCTCATACGGCGTCTGATTATTAGAGCTGTCCGATGTATCGTTTTGCATCTTCATTGCTATGTGATTAGCGCGTACATCCGCAGCCTTGTGCCCGATGCCACGACCAGAGTGGCTATAGAGGGGGCAGGCGAACAAATGGTCTGGGAATCTCGCGATCACAACCATGTATCGGTTCTTGGTAGAAGCAGGGCCTATAGTAGACTCGGTACGGTCTGCGTGACCGACAGGAATGGTTGGGTCACCGAGAGGCTCGAAGTGAGGTGCATTTATAATATCCCCAGTGGTGCTTTTGGAGTAGCTCGCGATAACGGGGCCGCCGGAGCGCCCATAGGCTGTGGAGCGTGAGGTGGTAGAAGCGTTAGAGCCTAATGTCATCTTCTGTATTCCGGTGGTGACATTTGAGGGGTTGGCGGTGGTCCTCCATTGCCCGCCCATGGGGTTGTTGCTGCCAAAACGAGATGCGTTAGAACCAGCGTAGGGGGCACGTCTGGAATTTCTTGCTGCACTTACTTGGAGGAGTTCCAGTTTGAGCGAGCAGCACCTGCTTGACTTGATCTCCATCCTCCGCCATTGGCAGCAGGAGCGTTGTTCAACACCATTTTGAATCCGGGCCCAGCGAAACTTCGATGCCCATCAACACGGGTACGACGCCTCCCTCCGACAGTACCTCTCCACCCAAATAAACCGCGCAATCGCTGACTCAAAAGCAGAACATGACCTCCTCCACCTGCATCGGGGGCGAGCCCTTACGCGGCGCCTAATCGATGCGGAAGAGGCTCTCGAGGCGGCGAAAGCCGCTGCGGAAGCCACTGGATGCCCTCCCAACTACTTTCAAGAATCTAACTTCGCGGACAATGCTGAAGATGGGTATCGAGAAAGCCAAGATGCTGCGATAGCTGCGCAGGTTGACCGAAAAAAAATCGAGGCGTGGCTGGCGAAAGAACCCGCAAACGGGGATTTGAGAAGGCCGAGCGAGTCTGCGACGGAGCCGGAGGTTGATGAGTGAAGCATGGACGAGGAGAAGCTATTTGATAGCGTGAGCGTCCTAGCAGAGGGAGCGAGAAGGAGAAAGATTGATGAATGGCTTCGCCGGAGTGGGACTTATTAATTCATATCCTTTAGCCTTTCCTTGCTCTGCATTCGAATGAAAGCCTCTTGACTTACCTTAAGCCTTATCTCTGTACAGTAGAAGTGTCTTTACGTTTGGTAGGTATGGATTAAACGCCCGTGTCCTCATCCAATTCACGTGATATGCGCTCCAAGAAATAATAATAAGTAACATCTTATCCGGAATTCATCAAACGTGTTTGTTATTCGTACAATCTAAGAAGAAATAATTAGTAACAGATAGTACGACGCCCCGATGTTCACATAAGTGCTTTCCTTTACCGTCCAGGAATTACCTATGCTCGTGCTGCAGCCCGAGCTGTGGCTTTGCTGGGATGAGCACATCCTGAGTGAAGACTGAATCTTGACATCAAGAGATAGCTAACTTGGACCAGTACAGCCAGCTCATGGCGTTCAGACGCCCATAGATGACGTGTAGTAGTTCCAGGGATCCCAAGTGCTCTCGTATTGATGTAAAATGATTGGTAGGTATTTCTCAGGCCATTCGCCATAATAGCTGCAAGTGAAGCGAGCCTTGCAATCTTCCCAGTATGCCGGTAACCAGCCTGCTTGCTCCCAATCTATAACTGCAACAACTCGAGCCGGTTTAGATAGTGATAGAATAACATTGCTCCGATGAAGGTCGCCATGTGTGAACACAATTTTGCTATCATCAGGAAGATCTTGGCGGAAGGGCTCCGGGGGCACAGTGTGAGGGTCTGGCATCGGTCGCTTGTACAGGAAGGTGAACCAATCGTGAAATGCTTTGACGGACGTGAATGGCCCGGCTTCCGCCCTATAGCTAGGGTTGATGGCCCTATCTCAAAGACAACCCCGTGCGATGCTGCCTGCACATTCAAGGTTAGTACTCAAAGTCATGTTGCTAAATAGGGAGAGGAGAGACTGGCCCACTCACCAATAAAAGTGTCGGTAGGGTCTTGCTTGAGCTGGCGTAGAGAATCGAAGATTGTCCGAAGCTCGCGGCAAATACGCAAGCGGTCATTCACTTCCATCTCTGGCCAAGATTGTTCTAAAGTCTTGCCGCGTATTGCCTCCATATAGAGGAAGACTTCGCCTCCACCAGTCCGCCATCCCTAGATTTCGGGAACTAGTACGGCATCTTTGAAGTAGTGTCGAATCGCGTAAAGAGACTGACCCTCGGCGATTCTTATATCGGCTCCCCACTTGACAAACAGACCCATAGACTCAAACACAGGTGAGGGACGTGCATTAAAATCAGTAGAGACTTCTCTCCTCTTGTTTCCCTAGTTAGTGCCAGCAAGATACTGGGCACGTGCTTGCGAGCGGACTTCGTCTGGCGATGGTAACTGATTATAGTGCCGGAAAAAAGAAGATAGTTTTACATCGAAGTTTGCATCCGTGGGGACTATGAGAGGGGTTGATGAAACAGGAGCTTATATCTTGATTAACAGATGTCCCGGAGGATTCGAGAGGTGGTAGAATACATGAGAGCGCATGGACAGAGCCCATGATACCGAGGCCAGACAGCCAGCGTTCGAAGGAAGAGTTCTGTGCTATGGAAGCCGTCAATCGAGAGCTAATCTTGCACTCAAGCGCATGAGCACAAGTAGAGATTCGGAGTTCTTGAAGGGGAGGAAGTGATGGCGTTGAGTGCGACAGAAAGACAGCAAGACAAAGGGTCGTCGTGCGGCGCGGACCGTGCCAAGACCTAGTGACTCCTACATCAGCTTAGAATAGATGAAGCAAGTATTCAACCTTCCCCAAACTGAGGCCCGCGCTAAACTGAAACCACGCATGCTAGTATGTGACGGCTTCAGGACACATGAGACCCTCAAAATCTTGGAGTTCTGCTTCGAAAACAACATTATTTTATGCCGGCTCCCCTCCCATGCCTCTCATAAGCTTCAGCCCTGTGATGTTACAGTTTTTGGTCCACTGAAGAAAGCTTATCGCGACCAGGGAGAATGATTATATAACTCGCCAATGCCGCTGAAACATCCTTTGCCCAACATGCCCTCGTCCAGGACCACATCCAGTTCCCGTCGAAAATGAAAACGGTTGAGTATATAAAAGACCTTGAGCTTGATTATCCAGCCTGATATATAGGAGCTTCTGTCTATACATGAATCAGCAATCACTCATTAAACCAACCCTTCTAATCTTCATAGTCTCCTACCTTGTAATACTTTGTCTTAACTGGCTCCTGCTCCGCAGCGTATCGCTGTGCAGCTTTAGCAACCGCTTCCCTCCTCTTCATCTTCTTCTCGGTAATCTGCAAAGTACGCCTTTGGCTTTCCGGAATGCCAGTCAACCCCATTTCACCACGAACAGCAACACGGCGGTCGTTGCTGCGTGAGGATCTGCTTTGTTTTTCATCTGTCGTGTCTTGATTTTTTCCTGCTGTAATAGCTCTCATCTCATCTCTCTTGATTTTATTTTGCGAGCCTCTAGCCCTCGATTGTGCAAGTCCCGGCTGAGCACGAAGCTGAGTGGTATCAGAGCGAGAATTGATCACAACCCCAGAAGGAAGCCTCATTTCTGTATCAGATAGCTTGATCCCAATACTCTTCGTGCGCTCTTCATGTCCGCTATCTGAAAGCTCCCAAAAGTCAAGAAGCTCGGATTCTGCGTTCATCTTGATCATGCAGTGGCCTTTATCTCGCATATGTGTCTGCACCCCGTCCACAGTGCCTTTCGCTAGACTGCAATATAGACATTCATTATATTCGAATATAATGGTTGCGAGGTATCCAAGGAAAGATTCCATGTCTGATACTTGGTTTGGTGAAGGAATAAAAAGGCCGTGGAGGGATGACATGTGGTTTATATTCGCGTCAAGAGTCGGGGAGTCCAAATTGCAGAAAAGACATTGTGTTGGGGGAACTTTCTCAGAGATTTCATGTTCTGCATCAGGTATGTCTTGTGAAATGGAATCGGATTCGACTTCGGTGTCGTATGAGGAGATTTGCTTTTTCCCTTGCTCATCGCTGTCCTTCCGTCGATGGATGATTTCCTGGCTCTTGACTTGTGTGTCATACTGTTCTTCTGATAATGCTGGCAGTTTAGCTACCCGACGTCTTAGATTAGATATACTGCTACCGTTAGCTCCACGCCGTAATGCTTCACGGTAATTCCTACTGCCAAGGCTGTCGCATGTGCGAACGCTGGAGCTCGCTGGTCTCAAAAGTAATAGAGCAAGTATTGCAAGGAAAAACACGCGAGTTCGAAGCCATTCTGAAACTGCTTCTTTTCTGCTGGAAGATGTAGGATGAGCGGAAGCTTGAATGTGGATCGTTTAATGTGTAAGATGTGAAGGTACAGGGGCAATTACAGATAAATGAGAACTGAGTTGATTGATTGTAGTAAGCTAAAAGGCCTTATATAGGTAGGAGAGGTGTAACTATAGAAATAGTGGTAAGACCGCTAAAACTTATATGATTGTTCGGTAACATCAGGTGCTAATCTAAATGAGGCGTAGTGCGATATGAGTCATAATGAGTCTACTTTGCTCATGCACGTTTATTATGTCTAACTAATAGGTTCCGTAATTTAATACAGGTTGAAAGGAACCTTTGAGAGCCAAAGCACACGCTTCTGCTACTAAAAGTAGCAATGTAGCACGTGATTATGTCGGGAAGTTTTTAAGAGCGCCGCACTTGAAACCCTATTCTTAACTAATGAGATAAGTAAATTACACCCTCATGATTATGTACGCTGCTTCTCATTAGTTGTGACAGGCAGCTGCTTTGTTCGGAAGTACCGACCGCTGTGGCGACCGCCCTTGAATATGCGCGCTCCGTTAGATATAAAGGCCGACGATGAGTTCCCAGCTCGCCGTATGTTTCTCAGGCTTCGATAAGATAGCCTGTGAATGTCGTGGAGCAACGAGAGCTTGAAAGTAGTGCTATGGAGCAGGAACATCGTAACGCTGAAGAACGAGGCTCTCTACGAATCAGGTATAAAGGCAATAATGCGAATGTAATCTATAGGTAGGAGTAGCCTATGGCGTTCGTGCTAGGCAAGTATATGCAAACAATAGGCCTTCATGTGGGTGGCGCCATAGGTTCTTCACAATGCGATTGTAGGCGCTCCTCCGACCATCACAGTATGGCTACGTAGCCACAGAGCGTTCAAATAATTTAACGAGTTAGCAGCTGACTTTCCCTTCACATATCAGAATTGGTTAGAGAGAAAGAGCAAAGGTGGAGGGGTTGTATAATACTTACTACGCTACTTTATAGCACAGCACTGTAATATATACATATATTCATCGCTCGTCGCTTGATGCGTGTCGTGCGATCTTGTCTCTACTCCAAACAAAGGACCGTTATATGTGATCCGGAAAGATAAAAAGTCCGCGACTTTTTCTTCGACAACACGACCAGTTTCCACATTCCCTACTGATCAAATTCCCCATGAATACTCAAGTTAGAATCAAAAACAGATCTTGCGGAATGGAATTCACCCACCTTCTGAGGCAAGGCCTCGATTTCCTCGGCCTAGAACATTTCCTTCGAAACGTTCCCGCGCCCCCACAAGTAGTAGAGGGCTCAGGCCCAGATCTACCAACAAACTGCAATCAACCGGAGGAACCGGTACAGGAAGAACCTGTGCGGGACTATTCCGAAGAGCCCCTAACCTCCCGTCTCATCGACGGGGTCTTCGAGTCCGAAGAGGAGGGAGACTACCACCCCGGACCAGCGAAAATCATACTAGTGAACGAGGAGAACAAGCTTTCGGCGGCTTTACTGATGTCGTTTGACTTGTCCAGGAAGATCCAAAACGCTCTCATGAGCAGACGCTGGCTTCAACAGCTGGATTTCGAGCTCGGTCAGCAACGCGATAGCATCGCTACACGGGACCAGGAGCTGATGCTTCGGATCCTTCGAACCGATAATAAAGTCGAGAGGTTCGAAATGGAGTTCGGGAAATCCGGCGAAGGAGCAACTGTCGAGCAACAGCAAGAGATCATCTTGAAGCACCTGGTGCGCCCGTTCCTGCTCGGCCGAGCTGATGATGTCTCGATATTCTGCGAGTTTGGTGTTATTCTCGATGACGTGTTCGTGAATTGTGCGCTGCTGCCCCAGCCACAGGCCCACGAGCGTCCGTTTTTGAAGGCTGTAGTGGAGCCTCAATATGCGCCATTACATCCTGATCTCGAAGAATCTGCCTATAGTGGTCCAGAACTCCATGGAGATGGAGCAAACGCACAGGATGCTGCTGTCGCCCAAGCAAACACAAACCTCGAGCATAGCAGGGTTGATCTTCTCCGAGACCAGCAAAATTTCGATGCTTATGAACATGGGTATGATCAAGACTTCCAAGCCTACTTCTCCACACAAATCAATCGCCTCCATGCTGATGTAAAAGCAGAGCATTATTTGCTCCATCTCTCAGGAGAGCTCGTGCAAGCCGAGAAAAAATTCGAAGACGTCAAGCTCGAAGCTAAAGCAGCGGGCATCTTCCTGCCTACTACCAGGAATCCAACTTCGTCGATTACCCGGATGACGGATATCGCGAGAGCCAAGAACTCGATATTGCAGCGCGTGTAGACCGCAAGCGAATTAGGCTATGGCTCGATGATGCTGAAGGCGAGAGCATGAGTGCGCCGTCGGAGCCAGACATGAATCATTGGCCCATTGATTCGGATAAACCGTTTGATAGTATTAGCGTGCTTGATGAGGACTCTAGTCGGAAGAAGATCGATCGGTGACGGCAGAAGACTAGTCATTATTGACCAGCTTCCGTTTTCGGACGAGTCTTCTTATTTCTTCTTAATTTCGTAGCATATTAGCGTCTTTGCATCGTGATATGAATCAAGAACACAACTACAATTACCATATTCACTCAAAAATTCCTTTTTCCAATACTGAAACACCCAAATGTTTAACCTAGTGATTTACTGAAGTTTGACGTGTGAGTTCGTAATAGAATGGAAAATGCAGCATTGCTTCGACAATCGTGCAAGTGCTTGCTGCCGCGCGTTTGTGGAATTGGCTCGCTATTCGTGAGAAATTAGGCTGGAGAGTAGAAAGTTCGTTCTTAAAGGACGACGTGGTCACTCAAACGAGGACTATATCCTCTGATTCCAGCTGACCAGATTTCCAGAGCCCAATTATCTCGCCCTTCATGATGCCATGGACATAGGACTCGCCCACTAATTGGTACCGATTGTGGTTTTCTTGCTCGTTATCCTCGGGAACCTTGCAAATCACGAATGGGGTCCCGCCACCTAGCAATACGGCGACATCATCGCCAACATCCAACGCTCCTGGTCCTAGTCTTAGGTGTCCATCTTCCGTAATGAACAAGCGACGGCGGGGACACATCCTGATCATGCGATCTATCAGGTCAACGAACGAATCCGTGGGGAAGTCTGGATTTCGTTCAGTCCAAAGGTCTTCGGCAATATCATCAAGCGATAGGGCGGGATCCCACCCTCGAATCAACCCCCAAAGCATGTTGGACTTCGCTGCGAATTGCGGGTCGCCATCCGCCGTTTGCTTTTTAGAAGACATGTTCGTTGTGAGTGTTTTCACAATCACTACATCTAGCGATTCGCGGTCGCAACTGCAGACGCCATCAATGAACGACACAAAGTCTCGGATTATAGCTAAAACTGGGCCCGGGTCAATCCACCCGCCTTGGAGGTCTCTATGCATGATGGGACTGCGCGTTGATACTTGCGATACTTTTACTCCGTGGAGCTTAAGACTCGTGAGATGAGGACTAGGAAGTAATCTGAATGCTTCTTCGCCAGAGGCTTGATACGTTCTTTCAGCACCTTCCAATACCTTCCAACGGCAAATTTATGGGCGCAAAATTCTCCTCGCCTCGCCATGAAGGGGCCCAGGTGGAAGTAGTACTCGATGAGAGCGCCGATCCAGGATCAACCAGTCCTAAGAATGCCAAATCTCGCCCATTCTCCAGGAGCTGCTTAGCCGCAGCTTGGAAAGCACATAGCGCGTCAACTGTGTAGTCTGGCTCAATAATTAGCTCCGGAAACATGTCCAGTATACTGTATACCCGGTCGATGGATAATGCGCATTTGAACAAGTGGTTTGAGGTGAGAATATGCCATATGCTCCTGAATCTTTTGGTGACCTGGATCGCACAGGCGACAAGCAGGCGATGTATGCCCCTTATCACTCGCTCTTTATAGCGCACTCGAAGATGTTCAAAGGGACAGCCGGCAAGTTGGCGATGCGTAAGCTAGAGCGCAGCTTTCCCCACCCTGTCCTAAGGAATCTCCAGCTCGCCGAGCAGTACGAGTGCTTTAGTTGCTAAGACCACCCCTTGAACCACCCAGATTCTCTCAAACCACTCCTTATCAAAGAACTCTAGAAGGGCGTCCCATTGTCCATCGTTGTGAGGGGGTTATCCGGATGGCGCTTCACTCGGAAAACCGAACACCGGAGTCGCTTCCCTGCGCGTAGCGTACTTGGCTCGGTCTTTCAGAGCTGCCGAAATAAATGGCAGTGCCTCGAGCTCTTTGCCGACAATTTCTCCGAGCAATACGAGTACTGTCTCTGCCTTTTTGTAAACGGAGCCCATCATCTTTACTTGATGAGACTTCTCTTCGTTGTTTTTCTGATCGACACACACGGCATCGATCCAAAGAACGCGCTCGGTGTTGCTCTTGCCGTTGGTGGACTGGTCTCTTTTCCGAAATATGGGCTTTTCCCCCCGCAATCGAAATCGTCGCCAAATCTCTGTGATGGAACGTGAGCCCTTCGCGAGACCTCTTCGTAGAACGGAAAGTTCCTTGCTTGGAGCGTCAGGTAGTTGTGCTAATGACTTAGGAGACGAAGGCCATGAAGAGCAGCGAAGAGGCTAACGCCAACGGAGACCTCCTGGCCGTTTAGAGTTATTGATTTTGTAGGTTCTGGTGGACCCCAGACGTAGGAGAGTGCCTCGTATTTTGGCGCTGAATCAAAAGGGAAGACTTTGAGCTCGCCGACAATATCGTCCTGGTCAAATCCAGCATGAAGGTAGAGCAATTGAAATGAGCCCTTCGGCAAGGGTGTTTGGTATAGGCCAGCCATTTTATCTGGTCAAGGGATGTCTGGGTCGGAGGATCCAAGCACGATGGAAGAAGGCGGGGCGCCTGCACTTATACTCCTGTCGCTGCGTCACAAGGCTGAGGCATCAGGCTGAGGCGCCAGGCTGAAATATGAAGATACCCCAGCGCCCAAAAATACTGCACCGTAAAAGGCGAAGACCATCTATGAATATGGGCCACTTGAGAAATCAGCCTGATCCGAAGAGCAACAGCTTGAACTTAATCCCGTCACTAGATGAACGCCGGATTCGATGCATATCGGAAGTCGTGGTGTGCTAGGAGGCACAAGCTGCGGAGACACCACCCATGTTTTATGGCACATTAGAGGATTATTCTGACACTGCGTTTGGGCTGACCTTGAAGGGCTGCCCTCGAAGCGTGCAAAAGTTGAAGATGGAGTTAAACGTTGGCTAAAGTGGAGGTTGCAAAGCTCGTGGAGGTTGGCAGGGCACGTAATACTCAGAACTTTGGGGCTTGCTTATTAACTTATTAAACCTGCCCTTCACAGCTTAGTTTCCCCGCATGAAAAGTATAAACAATAATCCGAAGAACTTGCCCATGTACGCAATAGAGGAGTCTTTTATGTGACAAATCTTGAGGTTCTATATACAGCGCCGTGTTGTGCAAGAGCTCAAGAAGTGGCAGGGTCAAGAATACCATGCCACCTAGTAAAAATGTCCGACATGGTCCGATCCTAAAATTACTCAAGAATCACACCACCACAGCCCTCCAGGAAGCATCATCCACGCGCCGTTATGTTCACGGCCTCCAGCGCTGCCAATGCGCGGGAGGCAGCGGCATATAAGAGCTGCCATCGTCCCGTCATGTGCACCATCCGTATCCTTCCTTCCGCCCGTCAGCCTTCACAGTGGCCTTCTTGAGTTCTACCTGCCTCAGGCTTTGCAAATTATATCTTGGACTCACTATCATACCTATCAAACCGAGTGTTCATCTGTTTCTTGTGAAGATTTGAGCCTTTGGCCCGCCAATCATCCATCATGGCTCCACCACAGCGCCGTATCATGCAGCACATTGACCGCAAGGAGCTGTATACGAATCTCGAGACAAGAATACACTATTTGCATTCGTTCCTGGACTTCAGTTCCAGTACGTCAAAACAGCATATCCATGCACCCACCAGCGACGCTGACAGTTTTGAAAGACGACATCGAAGCCCTCATCTCCGGCTCCAAATACATCAAAGCCCTCATCCCCGCCATCGTCAACATCGTGTACAAAAAGCTCCTCCAATACGACATCACCGCGCGTGCCTTTGAAACTCGCAGCACATCCTACGAAGGGCCGGTCGATCTGAGCCTGACTGAAGACTCGCCGCAGATACTGTACCGAAAGATGTTTTTGCGCGGATATTTGAATAAACTGTGCTCCGATCCTAGCAGGATGGAGTTCTGGGAGTATCTGGATAAAGTCGGGTAAGAAGAATTTTCATGAAGTCCTCCAAAGCACGGTACACGCCTGCAGAAACTGCACGTGGCTCGTTTGAATCACGCTTTGGCCTATATCAAAGCCATCTATCTAATTCACGCCCCGAGGACCTTGATATCCTCTCCTTCCCATTTTTAGCCCACCCTGGGGCGTCTTCCATAACTACGTAAACCCGCAGCACTCATAAAAACCTCATTCAAACCAAAGTTCCGCTAACAACTCCTAGCATGATGCACGTCGGCCGCGGCCGCACCCACCCCCTGCACGTCGAATACGTCCACATCGGCGTCACCCTCTCTTTCATCCAAGACGTGCTCACCGAAGCGCTCCTCTCCCACCCCCGCCTTCAGATGTCCCGAAAGATCGCTCTCGTCAAAGCGCTAGGGAAAGTAATCTGGATCCAGAACGACTTGTTCGCGAAATGGTACGTGCGCGACGGCGACGAGTTTGCTGAGGACATTAAAGTGCCTGAGGTGGAACGAGAAGGGTATCTCCATGGAAAGAAAGTGGTGCACGATGGGAGCGAGAGCGAGAGCGAGGCTGAGTCCGAGACGGGCGGTGGGTGTCCGTTCAAGGGAATGGCAAGGATGAATCTTTCAGGGGACGCTCCCGCTAGGCGGCCCAAGGAGAGCCCACCTCCAGTGCCTCAGAGCACGGGAAAGACGCCAGAACCGGCGGCAGCTTCCTCACCAGAAGCACAACTACCGGCTAGTCCATCGACACCGAGTCCGAATCCAAACCGGCTCTCTGGAAGTGCGATTCCGAGGCCTGTTTAGCTGTTATATGGAGTACTTTGATAGGGCATCAAGTAGGGTATTTTGGTCTCCACACATGTTCAATATCCAGTCTCAGTATGCTTGCTGCCCTCCGGCGCATGATTCCCACTATCTATTCTATCTTACAAACGCTACAAATCATCTCTAATTAAATGTCATTCTGCTACTCTCAAACACTGTTCTCAGCACCCTCAACCAGCTCAACACCCTTCCCATCTACACCCGCTTCCGGGGCAACTGGGGGCTTAACGCGCGTATCGACCCATTGGAGGCCGAAACAGATCGCGAAAGCTCCAAGCGCTCCCGCTAATTCAAGCCACTAAAACAACCACTCATTAGCTCATCAAACCTTCAAAAGTCACCAAACAGGGTCAGAAGAACTCACAAAAGTCTCGGTAATAGCCCCGTTATATGCCTCCAGAACCACTCTCAGCTTATCCGGAAAGTACTGCGCCACCACTTTGCGTATCTCCACATTCCCCGCCGTTAGAAGTTGACTAATTTGCACCGCCTCTAGGCCCGCCGTATCCTGCAGGTTCTTGACCAATCCGTTGTGGTAAATGGCTGCCGCGATGGCTTGAAAGATAGCATTACCGAAGAATTGCCCGAAGAGGATCAACGAGATGGCGAGCGGAATGTCGGCTGGTTTGTCTTTGAGGATAGAGGGAATTAAGATCATGGGTATCTGTAATGCGGAGCCTGTCCCGAGACCTTGCACTACCTGGAAGGCGACCCAGTGGCTGGTCTTGGCGTTGGTGCCAAAGGTAGAGAGAGTGGTGAAGAGGCCGCTGGCGATGCAGAGGACGGAGGTGCCGAATATCATGATTGGATTTAGGTACTTCAAGAATCGGGCTGGGTGGGGTTAGCCTTTGACAGCGTTGGAAAGGGGTTTGGGCACCACGAACCTAGGGTTCCGGCCGTTATCATGGTGATGGTCTGCATGCCTACGAAGGGGAGCAGCCGGATACCGCTGGCAGTGGGACCCACGCCCTTGACGACTTGGAAATATTCCGGGAGGTAATAGGTGGGAACGACGATTACGCCACCTAGACAAGCGATGTAAAAGAAGCAGACGTAGATGGAGCGTCTCTTCATCAGCGAGAAGGGGATCATAGCCGTATCCCCTCGATGCCCCTCCCAGACGAAAAACAGCACCGCAACGACCGCAAAGCCAACGAATAGCCCAATGACAGTCGCAGAGCCCCAGGAGTACTTATTCCCACCCCACTGCAGCGCCAGGAACAGCATAACCATCGACGCCGCAAAAAGCACGCTCCCAAGCAAATCCAACAGCCGAAGCTTCTGCAGCAGCGACTGCCCCACGGGCAGCTCCTCCCTCGGTGGATGCAGAAACACAAGCAGTATCGCAATCGTGACGGCGCCCGTCGGCAGATTGATATAAAAACACCACCGCCAGCTCACGTTCTCCGTCAGCGCGCCGCCGATGATCGGCGACACGACCATCCCGATCGAGAACACGCTCATCACCATGCCCGTGAACATGGCGCGCGATTTGGGCGGCGACACGATGGCGACGATGGACATGCCGCCGGACGAGATGCCCGCGGCGCCGATGCCCGCGATGGCGCGCCCCACGATGAACATGTTGGAGCTGGTGGCGGCGCCGCAGATGAGCGAGCCGAGAAGGAAGGTGCTGAAGAAGGATTGGAAGACCCAGCGCAGCGAGAAGATGGTGGCGAGTTTGCCGGTGAGGGGCTGCAGGGCGCATGTGCACAGGGGGTAGGCGGCGCCGTACCAGCCGATGTCGGCGGTGGTGTGGAAGTGGGAGGTTATGGAGGGGATTGCCTGGGGGGTGGAGTGTCAGTGTTGTGTTATAGGGGCAAGTGTGTTAAAGACGGCTGTGGAACGTGGAAATGGAGCGTTTGGACCGCAATGGACGGTGTGGCGATGGGGCGATCTGCGGGCTTGAATCGGGAGGGTTGCGGGCTTACTGTTGCGATTACGGCGATATCTAGGCTTGCGAGGAAGCCGGAAAGGCTGACGGCTGCTACGACGCTGTACAGCTTGATGCCTGTCAAGAATTGGGGTTCCCCCTTCATGGGGGCTTCGACGGCAGTTGTAGTCGTGGTGCCGCTTGGCGGAGTGTTTTCTTTGGACTCGTCCATGGCGATAACTGGTTGGAGGATAGATGGGTTGAGTGTACAGACACGAAAAAGGGACAGTATCGGAACCGAAACAGGAGACTTGTGAGAGGAGAGCACACGCTGTACACCCAAAAGTCAGTTCTGGGTCCACCAAGGATGGAGCTTTATTTACCTCTTCGAATAGTCGCGTCGAGTCAGCGTGGTGGCCGTCTAGGCAATCATGATCGGTATCGGTATATTCTGAGCGTCCGAAACAGAAGGACCAACAACGCTTGAACACCACGATTGGTAGGACCAGACCACGCGAGCTCGAATTGGGAGAGAGTGGTTGTTGTGGTTGTTTTGAAGGCTGCCTGATATATATTCATTTCCGACTCCGACTCCGAGTCTTAGGCGATGGGTCCACGAGCGTGTAAGTGGCTTTCAGCATCGTTCTTCGCGAGCCAAACAGAATGCTCATGAGCTCTCCCAGTACTACGGTCCGGCCCGGGGGTTTCCTGCTAAATCCGCGGCAAAATCCGAGCCGGCGGGTTTGTGGTTTGAATAGTCTTGGCTTGCATGTTTTTTCTTGTGGAATATTAGGCAGACGTATTTGAGGTCATGGCAGCAGCCCAAAATCACATATTGAAGCATGATGAAATCGAGGCGTGATGCTATTACGGGTCCTAGCGAGCTATTAGACCAGGTCCACCATCTATGATTCTGGCCTCAAGGTGGAAGAATTTCTGCTTGGAACACTAGGACCTATTGCGTTGCGCTGGTATCGAACGATCCTACTCAGTCTACAATCTCCCCGTTACTCGTTTCTCATATTTCTACAAGGCTGAAAACTCCGACTCCGTCCTCCGCACCCCCACAGCTTTTTGCATGGTTCATGAGCAATTACATCGAGGGCATGTGGGGCCGACCCCTAGTCTGGGTCTCTATTCACGACATGCTGTCGACGGTCGGAGCACGGTTTGACGCCGCGAGACCGTCAATGGCCTCATCAGCAGCCTCGTTAATTAAAGTAATCCAAGAAATGCTATCAAGCCAGAATCATGGGAAATACGAAGTTATTGTCGCCTTAGTCTTGATATATTTCGGTGGTAATGAGAATCTGAAGAGGCACATTTCATTGAAATAGATCTTTTGAGAAATATCAAGCCATTTAGACCGGAACACGGGAGACAGGATGCCCGAAAAGTCTTCTATCAAGCTAACTTGGCGATATCTGTACTCAAGGTATATCCTTTTGCAAGGCCCACAGTCTGTGCAGTCAAAGCAACACCACAACCTTGCGAGCCGAAACTCCCCTGCGTACCATATCTACAGCTCCTTGCAAACTCTCCAGTCCCCTCCCCGCAACCAACGGCTCTGGCGCCGGAACGAACGACCCAGCCTCCAGCGCCGCCGGTAAGAAATCCTCCCACACCGCCTTGCCAACATGATTGTCCTTGCACGAGGGCGCAAACACCTTTTTCATCACTATCCCGCCCGGGGGATCCGGGAATCCCCAGGCCACAGTAGCGACGACCTTGACGCCGTCCGTATTTCGAACCACTTCGAGCGTGGGCGCCCACGCAACGGCGCCAATGGCGTCGAAAGCCCCGACTGAGGATCTGCCCCTGAAGGCGTCTACGAGATCGGTTATGACAGTAGGGCTGTTGTAGTCGAAAGCAGAGCCTGCTCCAAGCCTCTTGACGTACTCGAAGTTCTTCGGCGACGCGGTCGTGATAACCTCGTAGCCGGCCGCGACCGCGAGCTGGATCGCATTGCTGCCAACGCTCGACGCGCCCCCCCACACCAACAGCGTCTTGCCGGTGGCCTTCTGCGCCGGCGCGGTCGGGAGTTGGAGGGCGAGGAACTCAGGATTGAAGAGCGCGTCGGCGGCAGTTGAAAGACCGAGCCCAAGCACGACCGCGTTCGCGAACGGGATGTTGTCCGGGATCGGGCTGGCCATGTTGGTCTGCAGGATGGTATGGGATTGGAACGCCATCTCCTGCTCGCGTTTGGTGGACGCGCCAACGGCGAACCCGGCGACGCGGTCGCCTTTCTTGAAGCGTGTCACGCTGGGTCCGGTGGCGACGACTTCGCCGGCAACGTCTTCTCCGAGGATTGTTGGGAAGGTCAGCGGATATAAGGCTGTGTATTGGATCTTGCCGTCGATGGGGTTGATGGCGATGGCGTGGTTTTTGATGAGGATCTGGTTTTCTCCTGGGGTTCCGAGGATAGCGGGCTTGACCTCGAAGGGAGTGGATAGGGCAGTGATCCAGGCGGCGGTGTTAGATACCATGGTGTACTTGTGCTTGGTGGATAGGGATGTGTATGTGCTGGGCTGCCTCGTCTTTGCAATTGAAGACCTTCAAGGGTATGGGATTGTTAGAGAAGTCGTGAGATGTGAATATGAGGATCAGGAGGAAAGAAAGAGACACAAGAAGTTACAGTCGATATTCAAGAAGTTGAAAGGCGCTTTATGTACTTGCGAGTCACTTTCTCTGCTCGATGATGTGTAGGTCTATCCCTGATAGCTCGCGCTACGCTAACTCAAGACAGTCCGAAGTGGCCCAATATATTCTTGGGAGATCTCATTAGAGCTAGCGTAGCGCTCCTCGCATCTCCGGTGTTAAGATGTAGCTCGGACGTGATAAAGATACAGGGTTAGAGAATCATCTTAAACTAGGGGATGAAATAGCTCCAATCTAGATGTCAAACGGGGAAGAGGGGTTACTCAAGAAATCCTGACCAAATGATCATACACCCGCTTGCTAGAAATTCCCTATCAATTCCGGGGGTCTATGCATTAAAAGAAGTCAGCTATTAGTTCCAAGGATGGCCCAAGCAACAGGTACGTAGCTCCGCTCACATTTGCCAATAGAGTGGCTTGTCCAAACCCCATATTCGACCCAGTCCAAGCAAGGCATTTCCGCATATACGTTCGCATTCTTTCAGGAACAAAACGCATCTCTGAAGTGACGTAAAGCGGATGCATAAGAAGCAGGCCTCCCAGATATTTACCGGGATCTATGACTTCTTTGTTTCTTGACCGCTGGCTTATGAAGACTTGCAGATTATCCGTTAGGTGATACGGAATCGACGCAGCCATATCGTCGACAAGGCGATTGACCACATGCATATGCTCAACGTAGGAGTCATTCTCGCCAAGGGTCTCGGAGAGCTGGAAAATGAGAGCAAGTAGTAAGAGTCGAGCTGTACGGATCACGTTCCACACACCAGCAACATAAAGGTCGAAGTACGTGTGGATTTTCCCCGGCCAATAGCCAACGCCGATTTCAGATTCTGAATGGTTTTGTTTGACATTGCAGATGGTGGTGGGTTTGAATTCCGTGGCTCGGGAGGTTTCCCACTCGGCAAAGCGTTGGTCTAGAGCGATGCTTTCCTTCCTGAGCGCATTCAGATCTTTTGACGCAAACAACGATTCTGATCTTTTCCACAATGAATCTAGGCTAAGCAGCAAATCATCGAGACTTTCCCCTTGGCCACGCATAGCAGGGATGGAGAACACGCCAGAGACCTGCTTGATGCTGAAACCGGCATTTGTAGCAGATGGGATCTTGTCGACTTGCACATTGGCGGTCCCGTGTGGCCCTTGATTGGATCGAACTGTGCCCAAGAGATTCAGAGGCGAGGTTCCAATTTGCATAAAAGCTGCTAAGCCCTTTGCATGAGCATCGTGGTTCCCAGGATTAGTCTCATCGCTCATCGTTATCTGTGTCCAGTTCAGTCCTCTGATAATTGCTATCCATGACTGCTGAAGTAGTGCGAAAAGTACGTACCTGGAAGATTCCCAGCAACATAGCAATCAATTTGGTTTCTGCAGCACTTGTGGAAGCTGGATCTTGTATAGCCTTGGCCAAGGAGCCGAGAAGTTCTTGGTAGAAAACACCAGCCTTATGTACAAGCTGTGGTCTGTTCAGCGGCTTGCCGTGGGTCGCAAATGATACCGCTTGGCAAGCTTTCACCAGGTCACACTTCGGTCCTCGACGATAAGCCATCATTTCAAGACCAGAGAGAAACCCTCGGGAAAGGTTTGGATTGGTCGAGATGATGCAGTAATCATAAAAGAAAGCTCTCAAAGAAAGCGCATTGCTCTCCGTCTGCGATGTTTCTACAGGCAGAATGTCTTCCGGAAGGCAGTCCGTACCTGGGAGAGGCACGCGCTTTGGCATTGAGCACTTTCGAGCCGTTGTAATAAAAGAGGACGACTGATTGGCACCGCGTGCTTCGTAGAGTCGGAACCCAGAGAACCCAGGGTCTTCATAGCCACCGCATGCGCGGTTTGCGTTGATACATCTCATACACGACTGATTACAAAGGTTAGACTTGTGGGAGTGGACTCTACAAGATGCTGGAGCCATCTACAAATAAAAGCTTCTATACACACCGGACGGGTGCCATCGCACTATAAGTAAGGCAACATACATCGTATCAGTCAAGTTGCATTCTTGGGAGCGAGGAGCAATAAGGCAAACCTTTTTCCGTCGCCGTTTACAGGAATTACAACCACGAGAGGGCCCTAGATAAACCATAATCCAAGACTATTTAGAAGGAGCTCTCTCACAGCGCCCATCTCTAAATGAAAGGGGAAGAGGTTTACGTCGTCAAGCAAAAGCTTATCAGATAAGTACTGAAAATGTTGAAGAAGGGATGACGTGAAGGCACGGACTTTATCCACTGTACTCCTTGCGGTTAGCGTTGCGCTGCTCTAAATATAGCTGCGAGTCGTCAGGTCATGCATCTGCGTGTAGTTTCCGCCAATGATGCTCCGCAATTTCGTAATGGTGCACTGTGAGGAGCCCGTTTGGGCTCTTGTCGTACTAGTAGATTCTCAGTAATGGTACGAATCATGCATTTCTCGTAATGGTGTAAAGTCCGTACTGGTCCCTTACATGCACCTTCGTATTGGTATAAACTTTGAAATGGCACGCAGCCCGTAATGGTCCCTACCTCAGTCTCTTCGTAATGGTGCGCCCTTCGGAAGGGTACAGATATCGTAACAATCCCCATGGCGCCAACTTTGTAATGGTACGCATCTCATACTAGCCCCGATTCTGCCGAATTTGTACTGGTATGTGAGTCGTACCAATCCCCATGACGCGGCTTAGGAGAACGAAAATTGCTCAGGTTGTCAATGTGGACTCTGCTTTCATTGTAGAGGCCGTACGGGCCGTATGTATAGAAGAAGGGTGATACACTCCCTAGGGCTACCAGCGCAGCCGAGCCGAAAGGAAAAACAATCATGCTAATATAGGAGGAAGTAACAGGTAGTGCAACATCAGCGCAGCAGTAACGTATTACTCTGCGTATGAACCGTATGAGTTGTTGATCCTGGGTTGTATCTACAACCCGAGTAAAGTGGTTTTCCCCTTGTATTTCCTCCAGTTTTTCTTCTTCTTTTTTCATTTTTGTTCCTTTTATCCTACTGCTTTTCTGAGTTTCGTTTCAAACAGTCTGTCAGTGAGTTCTGCTGCTGACCGTACATCCTGTACAAAGATGCGCTGATGTCCACCTGGGTAAGTCCCAGCGAGTTATGGTCGCGCTCCGCTTCCGATGCGATTCAATGTTTCGGTTCCTTGAATTGAACGAAGAAATCGAAATATTCCATCATCCAGTAGTTCGCCGTTCTTAGCCGTAGGTCTTTATACGCCCAGCTAATATCGAATCTTTCCAGCACCTTCAAAAGGAAGGTACGCATTTCTATCATCGCCAATTCACGGCCGACACATCCACGGCAACCTTTTGCGAACTGCTGAAACGTCAGATGCGCTCTTAAGCAGTCGGAATATTACGTAACTTACCGTTAAGAAGTTCTGATCCATCATTTTTAATGAAGTGTTGTCCGCCTCAAGCCAGCGTTCGGGCCTGAAATCTTGTGCATCCGCTCCATATATATCGCGATCACGATGCGCCAAGTACTGAGGAATCCCAACTGCTGTGCATTCGGGCACATGATAGTCATCAGCTTTGAGGCCTCCCTGTGGCACGATCCTTTCCATCGGAGGGCTGTTCGAGGTGTGGACCCTTAGGGATTCTTTGATTACAGCGTTACTGATCAAACAGTTAGACATGCCTGCAGCAAAGCACTTGATAAGTACACATATGGGATCGCAGTATCGTTACCGTTGCGAATGATGTCTATCAGTTTCCGATGGACACTTTCACTGAGTAGTAGATAATAGATAATTGTCGTGAGGCTGACAGCTACTTCGCGGGCCGCCGCTAAGCTATAACATATCAGTCAAGCCTCCTTCATTGAGTAAGACTTACTAAGCCTCGAAAAGAACGTTCACAGCCTCGATGTGTTCTGACCCATTGCTCTCCAGGTCGCGATTTGTGAGCACCGTACATAATAAAGAATTGCCGCAACGATGGGGCTGAGCACTGTGTTCGTATATCTTCTTCTCGATTTCCTGGATCGTTTGTTATATACGATCTTTATCACCTGATGAAGAGGCTTACATCGAGTAACTGCTTAGGTGGGTCCGGAAAGCTAGAAAAGCTTCGACAGAATGTCATGAATCTATCTTTGGCCAGGGTCATTGGACACCATTGCGGAACCTGGCCAAGTACAGCAGCAATCCGAATGATAGTTTTGAAAGAATAAACCATCCGGTTGAAGCCGGATTTTGACTCCATGTATCCTATCGAAATGTGCCGATTTGCTGCATGGAAGCGAAGTCCGAAGATGTCGTACAAAGGTACATGGAGGACGATAAATAGTCCCTCATTGGTACGCGAGAGATCAGCCAAAGGGCCATTCCTTACTACGTAGCAACATTTTCATCTTCTGCAACTTCCAAAGCCACCTGGACACCCAAGACATAGTAATAGCTCGCTATGTCCGGTACACAAAGCAAGATCGCAGAGCTCGCGGCTGTTGTTAGCCGCTTCGCCACTGAAATCGACGGTCACCTGCAAGCGCAAGGCCTCGAGAGCCCGTCGTTCTCCAACGGTGCACCACCAATTTTACCGCTTCCTCCAGCAGCCAGGGCCTAGCTGCTGTAGGCCACTTCTGAGCTTCGTGCACTACTTATGGGCCCTTTGGGATACTTGAAGCACCTAGCAAGTCCTACGGTAAGTCCATAGTCCTCACTTTGCTGTCTTGCACAATGCAAATGTCCTGATTCAACGTAGTATAACGTTCTTGCAAGCCTGCAGTTCATTCACCGATACGATATTGCTTCCAAGATTGGATCTGATGAGGAAGTTACCTTCGAAGACATCGCACGAAGATGCAACCTCGATGTGCAGGACGTTCGCAGACTTCTCCGTCTTTCCGTCGCTTTTCACGCTTTCGAAGAACCAAAGGATTGTATTGTGAAGCATTCCGCCGTTTCAAGATTTCTTGTGGACTTTCCACTAGCAAATCAATGAATCGGTCACTTCTGCGATGAGGTGTGGCCGGCCGGGTGCAAGACAATCGAAGCAATCTCCCACTGGCCGGGCTCGCAGGAGCCCCACGAGGCGGCTTTCACTCTGCGACATTAGTCGGGACGCGGGTTTTTTGATGACCTACGAGAAAATCCCGACCGCGCCTCGTGATTCTCAGGCGGTATGCGATTTCTGAAAACAACTCCAGAGTTCGACATCGCACACTTGATCAGAGACCTGGCGTGGGATACTCGGAAGTGTCCAGGTCTTGTGGTTGATGTTGGTGGAGGTGATGGCTCCATTGCTGCTGCTCTTGTGCGCAAGTTTCCGTCAGTCAAATGTATCGTTCAAGATGTTGCAAGTCCAACCTGCACCGCGAGCGTTCCAGATGCGTGGAAAGACCGACTCCAATTCCAATGCCACAACATGTTCACAGAGCAACCTGTCCAGAGCGCTGATGTCTATTTCTTTCGCTCCACTTTCCACGACTGGTCAGACAAGTACGCAATCCAGATTCTACGGAACCTCATTCCTGCACTGAAGAACGGTGTAAGAATAATTGCCAACGAGGTATGCATTCCCACTCCGAACACTTCCCTCATCTCAGGCTCAGCTGTTGTGGTAAGACAACCCGCGCTTCTATGCCTGCTAGTACCAGCACTTTACTTACAAATTTCAAAGGGGATACGACCTGACAATGAAACAACTATTCAACTCAAAGGAACGTAGTGCACAGGAATGGATGGACCTTTTCGCAGCGGCTGACAATCGGTTCTCGCTCGAAAGAATTATTAGCTCGCCTGGCTCTATCCTGGCGGTTATCGAAGTAACATGGATGACGGAAGTTACTGAAACGTGAGTGGAGGGAAAGCGATAGGACACTCTCACTATTCGCTTTTTTGTCTTCAAATACATCCCCTCAGAATCGACACAGATTCCTATATATCATGCAAAGCTTTAGAAAGCAAATGCAGCCTTCCAAAGTTTGCCCTCGCCATTCCCAGCTATGATTTCCATTCCACCTCAATTATTCCAAGGTCAGAACCACGAGGCGTTCCAATCTTCTCAATTTTGAAACAAGGGTCGGCTGAAGCGAGCAACGCCTCCCAGTCGCGAACCTCTCTCGCTTTGCCGTTCGTGAGCTCCCTCATGCCCGTGTCAAAGATCCTGCGATTGAATTCCTTAGTCTTTCGTTTCAAAGGAAGATATTCCAAGGTGCTCTTCTTAACTCACCTGAGCGTTCTCTCCTGGAGGGTAGGGGCCTCGCCGGGCTCAGGCAGAATGTGCTCGTGAAGCACGATCTTCGAACCGCTTTCAAGCGCCGGTACTAATGCCCGTAAAATGCGGATAGCGTATTTATCAGACCAGTCATGCAACACCCACCGCAGAAGGTAAACATTAGCACCCTTTACTGGCTGCTCGGTGAAGAAATCGTGCGCCATGAAAGAGACTCGTTCCTTGAGATCGGATGGAAGGGTTGGACTGGCCTTTGTGATGACCTCTGGTAGTTCTTGAACGATGCATTTCAGGTCAGGGTATGCTTGTGCAATGGGAATGCTGTATTCCCCGCTAGATCCGCCAACGTCCACTATCGTCTCGCAACCGATATGTCCCCAGGGGTAGTTCTCCAGTAGCCACTTCGGGGAGTTTCCTGGGCCCTTACTAAAGAGCGCCATTGCTGCCGCGAATCTCTCAGAACGTCCAGGGAACTTGGCCATATGCGCGAAGGCGTGATCTTCCGTGCCATTTGCGAGGTTGTAGCCCTGCCAAAGGTGGAAATCAGCAATGCATGTGCTATTCTAGAACCATAGTGCGGATTTTGGGAAATGCATTGGGAATGACCAGAGAGATACGATGTGCACTTACGGTTTGGTTCGGCTCTTCTGAACCCGGCCATTTTTGCATTGCATCCGTAAATCTCAATGCCGCTGGATGTATCTCGCTCGCGGTCATGTCAATCCACTAACACATAAGATGATTTCGAGCTAACTTCTTAGAAGCTGCTGTGTGCGCAACTATTCCATTACCTTTCTCCTGAAATATATATGACGGGAGCAACGCTCGTACGATGCGTCTGACTTCTGGCTCTGGCAGCCGGCATCTTTCAGCTAGCTCATCGTACGTAGCGGTATCGTGACCATCAGGAAAGCTTGAAGCAATATTGAATCGGCTAACAGCTTGAATATTTGCGAACTCGGTGGCCTGCTGAATTTTTAGCACGCTATATTATGGCATCTAATGCGCGCGTACTGTCTAAGCCGCCAAAGTGAAATAACCTGAAAGCAAAGCTAAAAGCTCTCTGCGAGCTATGATGGCGGCATCTCTAGGAGAAGCAAAATCTGGCTCGAATTGAAATTGGAGCGGAACGTCGTCCTCGATGGAGAGATCTGGGAGATTATTGGCCTTCAGATAATCCTGCAGTTTCGCCAGGTTCTCCGATACGGATGTCGCGAGCTCCTCTGTGCGAGAAGTCATCGTGTAGAAGCGGAAGAATCAAGAGACTCGAGTGTGGTCTTGGAAGTGATAGTCTGTTTCGTGTGTTTCTTGTTCACTTCCCTTCGGAAAGAAAGGGTGGAAGCGATGCCCGTTGCGACCTTGGGCTAGATTTGGGAGCTTTCGCAGCTTTCCAGCATGTCGGGACTTTGCTTGCGCCGTGAGAACAAAGTGGAGGGAGCCAATGTGGTGCTGGGGGCAGAGTGTACACAGCAGCGGCAAACAGATGTAGAGGAGTGGGGTGTATTGATGAAGCTATTGAGTGGTGCACGGAGGTGCCTGACTAGTCGAATCTTTTCGAGCTGACATCACCTATGGCCAGAACGAGGACGTGAGGTAGCAAACTAGTCCAACGAGAGCTGAATTTCATCGCAAGCGGAGAAATGCAGACAAGACAGTCCGAAGGGGGGCAAAAATGTTCTGCCGAAATCGTTTTCCAAATCATGCGCATACCGCTAGGCCCGTATGCTGGCGATCATGCACTCCAGACCGCCAATATTGTGGTACAGGCAACTCGGTCTCCGAAAATCCTAGCCATATGTCACGTATATTAACTTCCGCTCATATGGGAGTTTCTAGGGGCTATACCCGGTACCCTGCAGCAAGCCAAAGCAGCTTGACATGGCATACGGTATGAGAAAGAAGCACTGGACTAGAGATATTGACCGAGTCTTCGGTTCGTTTCACAATCGCAACGGGTATGAGTATATGAGAGTTTCTAGTCAAAACGCACAGTCATTCCCCGCATCAGCAGTCCGCGAATTCTGCAATTTTCAAGACTCAAACGAGACCCAAACATCAGCAAACCATGAGACTCCACATTGTCATGGTCTTCCTTTTTGGAACCACCATACTGGCGGTACCTGTAAGCATCGAAAGTGAGTCTACTCGAGGGGAGCGGGCCGCAAGGCGTTCCACTAACACATAAAGCGGCAAAAATCTCCGCGCCGGCCGAGCCTACAGGTAATGCACAGTCAGCATGGTGGAGTTAAGCATTGACATGGCTCCCAGATAACGACGAATATGTGGTCTATCCCGACGTCGATCGCGACGAGGACGTGGTTTACGCTTATCATGCTATCAACGATAAGTGATGAAGGGATGGTGGACGTTAAACGGTTGGGTGGAGATAAGATTTTACGAGGCCAGGGGCGACCTGTGAATTATAGCACAAATCGACTGGTAATTTTGACGCTCGTCCACTTTTGCCTGTTGTGATGATATCAATGGTGATCAGCCTGTTCTTGTGATGGACTGCGGGGTGGCAGATGGCGGCAGGAAATCGACTAATGTATGAAGGCTCGTGTTTGAAGATCTATGGAATTCCGTTAGCTCCTGCTGCATCAGCGCGCCTAGACGCCCATTTGATAAGTGGAAGGTCTACGCCGCAGTTTACCAGCTTACTTGCTATATTGCATATCCTGTGTGTTTATATCATTCGACAAGCTCATTCCAGAGTGGTCAATAATCCGTCCGCCGACGGATTGGGGGCAGAGTAGATTTCCTTCCCGTCCTAGTCCGTCCAGTCGGAGGCTTTCCCGCCTTCAATCTCTTCGTAGTCCGGATTACTTCGGTAAACGTGCCAAGATTATGCGTTGTTGTGGTAGAAATACGCTTTTTAGGGGTAAATTCACCTAGCATCTCCGCCCCCATGCCCCCACGCGTTCCTCTCTATGCTAGATTAGGACAGCGCCTTACCTCTTCAAGTAAACACGTAATGTATCAATACAAATAATCCATCGTCTAGTCTGCTACTAACCGTCCAATCCAATCGGTCCTAACTCAATAGGGCCAATCCGGGGCTATTATAATCCGTCAACCGAAGACGGGATTTTAGGACGGATTACTGACCACACTGGCGTCGAGTAGCATCAAGTAGCGTCACGCCCCTTGGGGGCGTTCCTTTTTCTATATATTCTGTTAGATAGTCACTCAAGAAAATCAAAGTTCACAATCTAAACCTGAGTCCTGCAGACAGAGACCACAGGCGCCAATAAGGATTTGAGGAGGGCGGCACGCGCCATTTGCCCCGAAGGCAGCAGTCGCAGTTGGCACCGCCTGCGACGCCGGTGCTGCCTGGGCCTTGTGCGCCTAGAGATTGAGAGAGCATCGGAGGCAGAGAGGTGAGAATTGACAGCAACGGCGGAACGAGGGATTTGGGAATATTCTAAATAATATGGGTGTTCCGCGAGGAGATCGATCGATGTGCGGAAGCTGCTTAATGCTGGCTTTGTAGACGATACCAAGTTGAAGGGGATAAAAGGCGAGCGGGCGAGGAGGCGCTAAAAGTTGTTAACGACGGTAAGATAATGGAAAGACGAGATGAGATGGCTCCGGACGAGGCGGTAAAGCGGTGAAGAGGCGGAGCGTGAGCTGTGGCATGTAGCCGAACACATGCCTTCTTCAAGCGAGAATTTGAAAGGGGGGGTGATCTGGTGGGAATGCATGAGACGAGAAAGTGGAGTTAGAAGCAGGGTATATGTTTTTATAGTTAACCTAACTTAGACGTTCGAAGACTGATTATATAAGGCAGAAAAACACGCTAAGCCGGAAGAGAAGGACCGCCTACGAAGGAGCTCGTTTTTCTTGAGTCCTACCCTGCCACTGAGATTAGGCGAGGGCATATGACTCAAGAAAAACGAGCTCCTTCGTAAACCTGAGGGGGAATTCCCTCGAACCACTTTATAATAACGTTGTTCCCCCCCCCACCGAGAATCACCCACTACCGAGAATTGGTGAGAATTTAAGGGGGCCAAGCCGCTAGTCTAAATTCTTCTAAGCGTGCCCAAATCTGCTCGGAAAACACTCCACCAATTCTTAGTGGGTGATTCTCGGATGGGGTGCAACGTAAAGACTTGAATGAGGAGTAGCTATATTGCATGGCGCTAGTATAGATTGGTGCTAGTCAGTTTCAACCACCTGGGCACTCTCCAGGGCTGAAACTCCGACTCCGTCTCCGGCACCTCCACCCCATCGCTACACCCCTTTGGTGACACGACCACGATGAATAGGCCTTCGCGGCGGAGAGTATGCAACCGGTGCGGCGAACTAAAGGTTAGATGCACACTTCTGGAGGGCAGCGATACCTGCGAGCGCTGTGCAAGGCTGGGCCATCAATGTGTCTTTGTTAAACCCGCTCGGGCTCAGGCTCCTTCTAGAAGGTACGAGAAAGATCAAAGCAACCTTGCGAATTAGTACATAGGCTGACAGCATGTTTATAGGAAAGACCGCCTTGACCAGCTCCAAGACCAGGTTAACAGCTTGGCGGCCGAACTGGCTCTACGGGTGTGTTGTCATTTTGTCCTCCTTTATGATGGAGGCTATTCTAACATCAATGTTTCCAGAGACGGGAGGAGAAAGCTGCTGAATCGCCCGTGTCTGCTACTTCTATAGCCGAACAACGCTACCAATCTCGAGGACAGCACTTACTGGACTCGACTCCTAATCAGTCCCCCCGCCCTACTCCGATAGCCGAGCCGCAGACTGCCATAGCGCAGACTCACGATGTCTTTTCTCGCGGATTTCTTACCATCAGCGCGGGAGATCGACTAATAGCAAAGTTTCAGAAAGTGAAGATGCCACTATTTCCTTTTGTAATTATCCCGCCAGATACGACGGTCTTTTCCCTTCGTCTAGAATACCCCTTCTTACTCCTAGCCATCTTGACAGCTTCAACAGAAGACGACTTGCCGTTGCAGAGGAAACTAGAGACCGAATTCAGAACCACCATATGCAACCGCCTGGTCATGACTGATGAGAGAAGTATGGACCTGCTTCTGGGGCTCCTCGTTCACATTGCTTGGCACCATTACCACTTTGAAACTGTACGACGTCAACTTTACATGATTACCCAAATGGCCATTTCGATTGTTGTGGATTTAGGGCTTGACAGAGACCACAATTTTGGGCTACGGGACATTGCCGCGGAAGTGCAAGGACACCTACAAGAAGACACAGATGCAGAGGCACGACATCATACTTCTGCTGAAAAACGAGCTCTTCTTGGTTGCTATTACTTGTACTCTGTGTAAGTAGCCCTCCATGGAGTCTAAACAGTGAGCGACGCTAACACCAGCTCAGGTCTTCTCTATTTCGGAAGCAACTCTACATGAGACATACCGACTGGATTGGCCGATGCTGCGAGGATCTTGCAACTCGGCCAGAGTACCCCTCAGATGTATACCTCAAGACATTCATTGATATCCAGCTCTTATCAAGGGGCACTGAAGACATCATTACCTGTCAAGATATCCTGCACCAAGTTAACGCATCTTTTGAGTGGCACCGACAGCTCAGCGACGTTAAAGAACTCGGCAGAGAGATCCTCGCGCGACACTCTCAAGATGATCCCAATATTCCACGTGAGTTCTTTAACTCTATTTCTTCGTTGATATCCTACTATAATACGCCTTGGCTCTAACTCTAGGTAGAGTCACTATTGCGCGACCTCCAAGCCATACCAATTTACATCAACAAAAGCTTTCTCCATCACAACATCCCAATTATGTCTCTCCACCATCCCGAGTCAAGCCTCCCACGGGACTCGATCATTAAAGACCTCTTCTCTGGCTCCAAAAACTGCATCAGCACGATGTGCGAATTACCCAACGACGTCGTAATGCACCTCCCACAAACATCACACACCATGCTATGGTACAGCCTTCTAGTGGCCACAAAAACAGCCTTGTCCTCTTCCAACAGCGGCGCCGGCAGCCGCGAAGTCAAGCCCGTATACGACCTCGCCGTCGCAGCGAGCAACCTCCATAAGCGCCTCTCCATCGGCGATGACGTATGGGCTATCTCGCAACGCGCAATCGGCTTCGTCCTTTCGTGGCTGGAGCGATACGAAGCACAGGGCCTGCGACGGCAGCCTCCTAAAGAGGGCAGTACGCATCCAAAACCGGATGGAGGCATACCAAGGGTGGCCAATCCCGCGAACAATGGGCACAGCCTCCCTATGCCGGCATGGGGTGCTCTCGATGCGCCGACTAACCAATCAGAAACTTTGTTCAATGGCCCCGGTTGGGACGAGGTTATGCAGAATATGATGATAGAGGACTTCTTTCCGTGGGATATTAGCGCGCAGCTGCCGTGGCCGCAGAATAATGGGGGCCCTGGAGTTTGGTGAAGCAGAGCGTAGGATAGTAGCTAATGGACTGATTTGATTCCCACGTAGTAGTCTGTGCTACCCCCTTAGTTTATGGACGTTGAACGTGCACATTCTTACAGAACCTTAGTCTTGATTCACAATTAGACCTAGCTTAAACCACTACAACGGCGGCGTATCCGCAAACAAAGCCACGGTCATAGCCGGCGGATACCGCTCTCCAAACACCTCCGCCGCCTCACTCGCATCCCGAATCCGCTTCGCCTCCTCCTCCGAGAGTTCGATCTTCAAACTTTCCACATTCTCCACCACTCTATCCACATTCGTCGTGCCGGGAATCGGAAAAATATCTTCCCCCTGTCTCAACAGCCACGCCAGCGTCACCTGGCTCCCCGTCACCCCCTTCGCCCTCGCCACCGCCAGAATCTGGTCCACAAGCTTAAAGTTCTTGGCGAAATTCTCCTCCGAGAACCGCGGCAGGAACGCGCGGAAGTCGCCCTCCGCGAAGTCCGCCCGGCTCTTGATCGCGCCCGACAGGATCCCGCGCCCGATCGGCGAGTACGCGACAATGGCTACGCCCAGCTCGCGCGCCGTCGCCAGCAGCCCGATCTGCGGGTTCTCGATGTCCAGCGCGAAGGGCGAGTACTCGAGCTGCACGGCTGTGATCGGGTGAACCTTGTGGGCCCGGCGCAGAGACTCGGCGCTGCATTCGGAGAGCCCGATGTGGCGGATCTTGCCCTCGGCCTTCAGCTCTGCGAGCGCTTGCACGGTCTTCTCGATGGGGGTCTTGCGGTCGAGACGGTGCACGTAGTACAGATCGATATGGTCGACGCCGAGCCGCTTCAGGCTGCGCGCGCAGGCTTGCTTGGCGTAGCCCGGCTCGCTGCAGTTTTCTGTATGCCCGGAGTCTTTGATGGGCGCGGCGAATTTGGTTGCGAGGAAGATGTTGGCGCGGCGGTCGGGGTGGGCCGCGAAGTAGGCGCCGAGCATGTCTTCGTTGTCGTTGTAGACGTCGGCTGGGTGGGGGGGTTTAGTTACGGGGAGGTTTGTGAGGGGATGGGGGGAGGGTACCGGAGTCCCAGAAGCGGTAGCCGAGCTCGTAGGCTTTGTCGAGGACGGCGAAGCGCTCGGCGTCTGGCTTTGGGGCGCCGTAGTAGGCGCTCAGGCCCATCAGGCCGAAGCCCAGGCGCGGGACGAGGGGGCCGTTTTTGCCTAGGGGGGCGGTTGGGAGGGACATTTTGATGGTGTAGGGCAGGCTCGGTTGAGGTAATGGAGGTTGAGAAGTGGATAGGTGGAGGAACAAAGAGGATCGACGAGGTAGATATACAAACACGTTTTCAACTACGGCAATTATAAATCACTATCCTAGACCCGGCAAATATGAATGAACCACCCGGGTTCCATCTCCGCATTACTTGCACCATTCATAGCTAATCTAGGTGATGGAAATTTCGTACGAGGGGTAATTGAAGTGGGGAAAATCCATGACGTGAGTGCGGGGATAAGATGGAGTTAAGTGGCTATCAGGGTGACAATGGGTATACGAAATACTGTGTTGTCCCCATTCGTTGATGTTCTGCGGAGCGTCTCGTGAGATTTTGTTAAGTGTCGCAAGGTGTTGAGGGGATGAGATAGATTCAGGGGTGGGTAATGTCAGATTGCTGGATCACGTGTGTCATCCTGCAATGCCAAGCCTAGGGCTCAACCTCATCTCATCGTCTTTTGCATCCCATCCATCTCGACATTACAAAGCTACCGGCCATAGTAAACTCAAGTTGATTGTGTATCTTGCTGCTACCACTAACACGACTTATTGACTGTACGAAGCTCCAGAATATAGTTTCATCGAACCAGGACGCTCTCCGGGACTCCCTTTTTCAATACTGCAATACAAGCAAGATGCCAAAGGACAAGACTCCTATCCCTCTCGGTAGCGGCAAATACCACATCCTGCTCTGCGCCTCTGGCTCTGTCGCCACGATAAAAATCCCCGTCATCATAGCTGCACTCGCACGCTACAGCAACATCTCAATACGCATCATCCTCACCAAATCCGCTACCGCGTTCCTAGCCGGACAAAGCACGGAGCAACCGGACTTGGATACGATATTCACGTCGCCAAATGTCGATGGCATATACGAGGATGAGGACGAATGGAAACAGCCATGGGTACGGGGAAACAAGATCCTGCATATCGAGCTCCGGAGGTGGGCGGATATCATGGTGGTGGCGCCGTTGAGCGCGAATTCGCTCGCGAAGATTGCTGGCGGGCTCTGTGATAATCTCTTGCTGTCGACTATTCGGGCTTGGGATACAACAGGGGAGCTGGATGTGGTGCGTCACGGCTTGGAGAAGAAGGTGATTGTTGTGGCGCCGGCGATGAATACGGCTATGTGGAAGCATCCTATCACGGCGCAACACGTGAAGCTTCTAGAGAACGATTGGGGGGTGGAGAACGGTGGTTGGATTCAAGTCCTGCGTCCTGCTGAGAAAGAGCTGGCTTGTGGAGATACGGGTATCGGCGCGATGGTGAACTTTCAAGAGATTGTGGAAGTCATCGTCGCTAGGCTCGGACTGAAGGAAATTGTCAGGACACCGGATTCCGCAGTATGAGCATCAAATGGAAGATTTTTCAGGAACAACCAACACCCGAATATCCCAACACAGATACCCCTTCAAAGCGACCAATATACTCCCTGGGGAATGAATCAGGGCTCAAATCAATAGAAAGCTAATCAAACTTACACGCGACGATGCGGCAATGAACTATCAGCAAAGCTGCGGCGAAACACCTTCTGTAAGGTTTGGGCGCGATGCCAAAAACGGAAGCAAAGCAATGGTCTCGTTGCTATGGCATCCGTAAACTATTCACCAAATTCGAAAACCATTCACTACACACTCCCCAACTGTGTTCCTATAAACTGCGCGGGCTTTGCCCGTCCACGGCATCTTCCAAAATCTCGAACCGAACTTGAACGTCTCCCACTGCCACCACATTACCTGATAATACAATCTCACCACGTCTGCCCCCAACATATTTGACTCTTGTTTCTATCTATAGTAGAATGGCCGATCAAGGCTTTGCGAATCGGATGCGGCAACTTGTTGGGTTAGGCGGACCCACGAAGGGCAGGGTAAGGGATCTCAATTCCCAACTTCCTAATAATGCTAACTTAGGTTCAAAGCCCCCAAAGATCCTCAAAATCGCCGGACCCGCGTCCAATCTACGCCAGCGCGTTACCAAGCCCAACGTTCGAGCTCAAGGACCGTCTAAGGACCTCCTCAAGCAAGCGCTCCTCAACCATACCCAAAACGGAACAATCGCTGCTCTCGCGACTCTCAACCGGAACCCGCCTCAGCAAGATGTCGCGTCCGCTTCGAAATACCTCGATGATGCCAATTCCTCTGACGAGGAAGATGTCGAGAAATTGCAACTTGTCGAGCAAAGCGCCCGCCGAATTTCCACCCCTAGGACCTTCACCCGAACCTCCCTCGACTACCACCCGCACCTCCACCTCGGCAGCTTCGAAATCGGCAAAGCCCTCGGCCGCGGCAAATTCGGCCGCGTCTACCTCGCGCGCCATCGCGACTCCTCCTTCATCTGTGCGCTCAAGGTCCTCACCAAAGCGCAGATCGCGCGCGAAGGCGACGAGAACCTCGTCCGCCGCGAGATCGAGATCCACTCCAACCTCTCGCACCCGGGCATCCTGAAGTTCTACACCTGGTTCTACGACGCCACGCGCGTGTTCCTAGTCCTCGAGTACGCGGCGGGCGGCGAGTTGTACGGGAAGCTGCAGAAGCAGGGCAAGTTCAGCGAGCACGTCGCTGCGGTGTATGTGGCGCAGGTTGCGGATGCGCTGGCGTATATGCACAAGAAGAACGTGATGCATCGCGATATCAAGCCGGAGAATATCTTGCTGGGGTTTCATGGGGAAATCAAGCTGGCGGATTTTGGGTATAGCGTGCATTCGGCTTCGAATCTGAGGAGTTCGCTGTGCGGGACTATTGATTATATCCCGCCGGAGATTGCGAGGCAGCTGAGGAAGGTTAGAAGGGGGGAGGAGGAGTTCTATAATCGAAATGTGGATCTGTGGGCGTTAGGCGTGTTGGCGTATGAGTTGATGACGGGCAAGCCGCCGTTTGAGATGCCGTCGGCGGAGCTGACGCAGAAGAAGATTCTGACGGGGAGGGTGCAGAGGACTGGGGTTGAGATGTCGAAGGAGGCGAAGTCGTTTATTAGGGCAGTAAGTTTCTCCTCATTAGCGTCTAGCGATTAGTTTTGATGGAGATGTACTGACGCTCTTCTAGCTTCTCGTCTTGAATCCAGACAAGCGGCTGCCGCTCGATGAGGTCCTGGAGCATCCATGGATCGTGTTGCACTGCGGTCGGGTTAGGAGCTCTAGAGGCATTTTCGGGTATTGAGAAGGCGTGTCGACTTCCAAGGCTGGCTTGATGCCATGCAAGCTATTACTATTACCGATAGAGTCTATCATGTCATTGGGCGTTTGTGTAGTGAGTATGAAAATGCTCCTTAGCAGACAAAGAAGGAGCGTTAGCTCACTCCTCCCAAGAGGCGTTGTTTATAAGGTCCGTCTTGTATAAACATGCTAACGACGCCTGTACGACTTCAATATCAAAGCTAATCTACATTTTTGAGTTTTGAATTATGGACAGTGCCATATGCGCATAAGAAGCAAATGTCTCTTTATCTGCAACCCGTGACTACGAAGACATAACAAGGAAGATATGCATGAACACCTGCTCATGAAACCGGAAAATACAGTCTAATGAAAACCCGACTCGATACCCCTTATGCATATATGTCCATCCAAGCAGTGCAAAACTGATACATGGACCACGTGATTTCGCACGTGACGGTCGGCGTTCTTTCTTTCGGGCCTGGGTATAAAAGAGTCTCCACCTCTTGCTCGGATTCTTCTTTCAAGAAGCTAGACACGGCGTAAGCGTTGCTCAGACCGGAGGAGTTCCTCGTCGATGTGGGGAGCAGGGCATCGGTGGAGCAAGACTTAGCTGAACATGGCTCTGATGTGGTGGACAAAATCGCGAGCAGAAGTCCCGAATGGCGCTGCGAGACCCTGGGTAATCACCGCCGAAGAAGCTGTAGACGGCCATCATGGTCCTTTGTTGATGATGTTCATTGTACTCTTACGAGGCTCGTGTCTGGATTTGCAAGAGCTCATGTCCAGGTTCTCTCGCAATTATGGACAGCGTCATCATCTGATCCAGTTGACGATAACTATCAACTCTGGGGGGGCATCTCCACGCCCAAATCCCACATATTCAGCAATTGCTCTACCTTCTGCTCTGTTTTTCGAAGCCCAAGCCCCAGACATGGGGCTTTCTCGATACTCGATCAACGACCCCTCTCATATCCCTGGCTTGCAGTCAAGTTTGCTCCACACACCATGGCATTGGCTGCGTAGGCATTTTGCATGCCAGTGGGAACCAAGCGTTGATCTTTGACCAAAGGAGACGCACCGTCGACGGCTCTTATAGACGGCAGAAGCGTGATTTAGCAGCCACGTGATGCGCAGGTGAGCGCGCCAACTATGGGTAATCATACTTCTCGTTTTTTTGCCTACGAAAGTTGTGGGACATCGATACATGACCGAACCAATGAAAACATATAAGAGTCCAGGGAATGCGTATCTCTAGCTGCGCGATGGCGGCGGGCCATGCAGGTTTGCGCTGCCTCCGTCACAGACGTCGAGGTCAAGGGGCCGGAAGCGACAAGTGGATGTCGCTGAGCTATGGCCCGAACCATAAGAGTTTGAGGCTGCAAGAGAGGTATGGGAGCCGGATGATGTTAGAAGGAGCGGAGCTGATCAATTCGCCGATTGCGGCGCATTTAACAGGTCCGACGGGCGGGCAGATTGTGACGGAAAGGAACGGGGCTTTTGGCGCGCTGGAGTGGTTGAATGTTGGTATGTAGGATTCCACCTCAAGTCTCATGCTGATTTATCGAGAAGAGGTCGTGTAGATGACGTAGGAAATACTCGTGGATCTCATACTACTCTTTTTTCTCGCTTGCTTGAAAACATATCCGGGGTGAATCGATTTCTCGTGACTGACGTGATCAATCACCCGAGCTCAACGCCTAGAAATGCAGCGTAGCATCCAGATGCTTGTTCCCCTTCATCGTAAGCTTGCACGGGGTGATAGACTAGCACAGTATGAAGCTTTGCAACGACGGAGGGAGATCACGGGTGTGAAATTCTCCGTCCATGCTTCCGTGCACGTAGGCCATTCCTAAAACTTTCCAGCGAGTTTCCCCCGAGAACTCTTGAGCAGGAGTGGACGACTCATCTCCGGTACCGTCGTTGACCTTACCCCCTGTATCTGGTCGCAAAACGCAAGGAACTGAAACCCCGGGGAACTTTACGATGTGATCGCCACTCTTGCAGCGGCGATGGACCAATCCCAAGGCACCTGATTGCATTCGACAGACACAATAGCCGTGCTCAGCCAGATAGACGGCCATCGTGATATAGTGTAGAGTAACGGCACTCAAGTTGCGCAGTCCCCGGCTTTGGTCATCTAGATGCATAGCTCTCTTGATGCCCATCGTGATATATTGTAGGGCAATGACACTCAAGTTGCGTAGTCCCCAGCTTTGGTCACCTAGCCCCCGTACTGCTCGTTGTCCACAGGACGGGGTCCACTCCATAAGCGCCTCGTAGCTCTCAGCAGCATCAGGACCAAAAGGAGTCGGCTGCGAGACCATATTGGAATCCGCTACAACAGTTTGCGCGAGACAGTTTTTGCTGGTATCAGAATGATCATCTGATACAGTACGTCTATTTCTCGATAACAGGCCTCTTGGAACATCGTTGACGAGGTGCTTCGTATCCAGTAACCATAACTGTAGCGATCTGATGAGGTCTTCATTTCCTTCATCGTTCGGAGTATTTTCCGCGTCAGGCCACGGGGGTGTCATGAATGAGATTGTGTCTAGAAGATACCCTCTAAGCGTGATCTCCTTTGTATCGGTGATATCGCAGTCGGTCACCATGGGCACTATGCCAGGTGACGTGTATCTGAAATGGGGCGTAGAGACATGAGACCAGTGAGGAACCCAGGAAGATAGGTCTTCGGGGTTCTCCTCCGGGCATCCTAGTAGGATCGTCTCGGTGTATCCCGAATATACCAGGCATCGGGCAATGGACGTGAAGATAACTGACACACTACTGGAATAATCAGGCATGATATTCAAAGTCTTCCTGTCGGAGGAGAGACCTAAAAGCGAGTATACAAAGTCGCGGGGGTCTGACGACTGGAGTGAGCTCGTCCCCTCGGAGGGTCCAAACGTTTGGAGAAGTCGGAAAAGCGTTGGTTGAGAAGACTCGGACCATCTTGGGGGAGGGAGAAAAGTAACACGTTTGTACAACCGTAAAAGCCGGGATAAGGGGGTAGCGACGATATTAAGCATTATGGCGTTGTACGACGCATGTTGCAACAGGTTTGAATGAAAGGTGTTCGAAGTGATGGCAAGCAAAGACAAGTCTAGACCACGTGCTACTTGGTTTCCGCATACGAAAATCGACTTCTTGGCCGCTGCTAGCTCTTGGACAATCCATATACGTCTCCAGTAGGGCCGTTGATATAGTTGCTTTATTGCCTCAGGATTAGGGTAATTTTCCTTGCAGAATCTTTCAATTACAGAGTATAAGAGGTCATCAGCATTAGATCCTTTCGGAAGCTGAAGTGCCTCGAGCATCTTATACATGGCATCCAGATCGCGGAGGGCTCGATCGCTGTGATTGAACGACTGTCCGAGCCATGCAATGACGGCATGGGCTCTTGCGTATGTCTCAATCATCTGCTGGACCTGCCAGCCTTTTTCGTCATTGTCTGCCTGGTTGATACATATCGCATCGGCCCAGATCACATGATAATTTGTGTTTTTCTGAATGGATCCTAGAGCCTCGGCGAGATTCTTCGTGATCTTGGTGTGCTTTCCGTCGATCTCAATGTTTATAACTGGGGTAGGATCTCCCCAGACATAAGACAGCGCGTAATAGTCTGGCCGTGGTGAAAATCCTGCGTCCTTCTCTAGAATAGTAGTGTCGTTGTCGAATGAATCGAGATTGGGGACTGGGGAGCCTTCTGAAGAGTAGAAACGCAAAGACGTATGAATCATACGGCATTTCAAAGTGGTTGATCGGAAAATTGCTCTACTAGGATTGGGTGGGTCTTCTAGTATCAAGAGCCTGATTTCTTTCCTGGAGCGATCCAATGGCTGGTACTGGAAGGCTGCCATGGCCTTTTTCGATTTGGACGCACCAAGTTTGTAGTGGGGCAGTGCTTTGTAGCCTAGAAAGGCTGATGGAGACGGTGAAACAAACGCTTGTGTGAATGGAAACAGGAGTTCGGCGCCCCTCTCGGAGACAGTTCTTTATTTGAGAGTCTTGAAGATAGTTGATCCGTCAGTCAAGAAATGTGAATAATGAAATCAAACAGTGGGAAGGGAAAAAGAGTAAAGAAGCTGTGCGATATGACAAGGTGTTCAGTCTCGATAGCCACGGTGTAGCATGCGCCTCAGCCGTGCGAAGGCCAACATCCCCAAAGCATGAAAACCTTATGGCTAGATCAAAAACAGAATATATCTGCACTCAGATTGCGAAATGAAGTTCTGAAGACAATGGCATACATTGTTGTAAGGTATGGGTGAAGGTATTTTAGGACGAAAGACCATCGACTAGTCTTCCATGCCTCAGCATTCAACCACGTGACCTTTCATGAACTACTCGATTCCAAAGTGCAGCAATCTCATGAACTTTTTGATCCCCAGAGCATATCCCAATAATCTCTAGTTGGATCCACATTCAGTGCAAATATAATCCTCCATAAAACCCATCCATGCCCGGGGAGTTTTCACTACCCCTGCACATCTGGGCATCTCAGAACCTCAACCCAACTCTATCTCGTCACCAAAACCTCATCCTTCCCAATATCAACACCACGACCGCGAGTGCACCCGCTCTAGCCGCACCGAATCCCTCTCCGCGAGGCGATCTCAACTCTCCACCATTAGCATTGGGCCCACCGCTCCTCTCGCGCGCCGGCCTCAATCAACCCATCACCCACCACCTCAACACCACACGCAACACCACCCACACGATGGGTTTCACAACCGGCCTCGTACGCCCCCCATCCCCACCCGCCTCCCTCCCCCCCCTCTAACCTCCCCCCAGCTCGCCGGCACAACCCTCACCTCCCTAACCCTCTACCTCACCCTCTCGCTACATACGCGCAACCGCCTCGTCCAAGCCTCCCTCCTGCGTCAACAAACCGCCGTCCTCTCGAATATCCTAGACCCCCAACCGCCCGTCCCGGAACCGACGACTCGGATAGCGCGCGCGGGGCTGCTGGAGACGGCGAAGGATCGGTGGAACGGGGAGTTGGAGCGGGAGGTGCGGTTGGTTTATAACACGGATTGGCGGCGCGTGAGGGAGGGGGTGGAGGATCGGCTTGCTGGTGTGATAGGGAGGTTGCGGGCGAAGGGGGAGGAGGTTAAGGAGGAGGTTAAGAGGGAGGTGTGAGGGGGAGATACCCAGCATCCGGCATCCAGCAGCCAGCACCCGGGGACAGTCGGCGGTGTTTTAATGGACGGGCTCAATGGCTGCAGCGGGAGGGGGGATGAGGGACGATCAGGTGGTGTACAATTATGTATTGTATGAGTTCGGAATCAGAAGACAGCTTTTTGGGTTTAATTGCTACAGTGCGTCGTTGTTGATACGTGTATGCTGCTCTGCTGCTATCTGTGGTGCGCTAACATGTGCATAGAAATCTGGAGCGATGGAAAGCACAGTTATGTGGGCACTTCTATTAGCCACCTCACGAGCTTACTGATTGTTCCAATCAACAAAGTGCAGATTTTCGAAAATGTATTCAAGGAGCTTCAAGCAGCGGTAGACGAGTGTCCACGGAGCTCTGATAAGTCATTGTAACGGAGAAATGACTCGTTGGATACGTTGATATGCGAAGTTGAGTAGTGAGAGTCTGATATGCATAACATTCGACTATCTGTTCTTACAGAATGGTATATGCAATAGCTTCCACGCTATGTCTACAAAATGTGCAATAGAGAAAAAGAGGCGTACTGTACAGTGAGATACACGAAGGGGGTATGTGATATATACTCGACTATTCCAAGAGCATTTCCGCAGGCTGGGTTCTTATCAACCTGTATTCCTAAAAGGCCCCTGTTACGTCTTGACCCAACCAGATACAGCATCATGTATCTCGCCATAATGTCCATCATATTCGGGTCGACGGACATCGTCCACCAGGGCATCCTTCCTATCCCCACTCGACTCTCCACGCCCGGTAGGATGAAACATCGGCGACGCAGAGCTCCAGTCATCTTCCACCACCCCCTCATCCCCATCCTTCTCCACCTCCCCCCTCAGCGCCCTAATCAACTCCGCTCGATTCCTAATCTTTCCCAACGCCGTCATCGTATACCCAGCCTCCAGCTCCGGTGCCTTCGCCCGCAGCTCCACCGGCATCCGCTTCATCTTCCCATACACCTCCGCGACCTTCTCCACATTCTGCGCCGCCGCGTACCCATTCAACAGCGTCCCCCACGTGATCTCATTTGACTCTATGTTGCGCTTGCGCATGAGCTCGACGACCTTCTCCGCGGCGGCCATCTGGCCGGCTTTCACGAAGCCGTGGCTGAAAATGTTCCAGGTGATTGCGTTCGGGGCGGCTTGTCTGAGAGGGCGGTTCTCGGTGGCATGTCTGGCGGAGCCGGGGAGTTCGGAGGCCATGTCGCGGATGATCATAGGCGCGAATTTGATGAGAGTCGGGCGGTCGCAGAAGGCGAGGAGGAAGGCGTTGTGGGTCTGGGTTGTTTCGGCGAGGGGGCCGATGATGGGGTGGCCGGCGCAGACGAGGGCTCGGAATCGAATGTACAGGTCGTAGATGCTGCCGTCGTTGAGCTGCTGCGAGGAATGAAGGTAGGAGGTGATCATGATGAAGAGAGCAGGTAGAGAGGGCGGCATACAGCCCGGCTGAGAGGGGACGCCGCGTGGGAATATGTTCAGGTCGATGAGCGGTTGGAGGTCGAAGAAGTGGCTGTATTTGCTCCGGAGAATGCGGATAGTGTCTTGAGCGCCGTCTCCTTCATAGCAGACGTACATGTAGTGTAGGTATTCGGTTGCGAGCCACTTGTCTTTCCACTCGTATGCACGTTCCGCACAGAAATCCGCAAAGTCTTGATGCTTGGATGGATTCTCGTCATGTTTGAGTCCCCAAAGAAGGATGCCAAGGGTATAGCCATCGGGCTTCACACCAGCTTCACCTGACTCTAGGAGGTCGTAGATGCGCCAGGCGGTCTGGTAGTCTCGGGCTTCAACGGCGTTGTGAATGATGATATTGTAGAGTTGGGTGTCAAGAGACACACCGAGTTCTAAGAGTCGGGCTACTATGCCGGCAGTCGCGTGGTAGGATTTTCCATCCCCGGCACTGCAGCGCAGGACCGCGGAAGCAAGCTGTATGAATCCGTGCTCCGAAGAAGAGTGACCAAGTTCTATGGCTTTTCCGAGAGTCTCTAATCCAACTTGGTGCTCGCCCATGCCTACGAACCTTGCTGTAAACGCTAGAACTGTTCTAGGGTCAAGCTTGACACCGTGGCAGGCTAGATCTTTATAAAGGCTCTGTAGCTCCTCGTCTGGACACGTCTTCATAACAAGTAGGACAAGTCGTTGAGAAATGGTCTCTATGAACGGAGGACGGTTTTGTCGTAGATAAGCCAAGAAAGTCGAAAGAACATTTTCATTGTATTCCTCGATCTTTTTCTGATAACTGCCGGCGTTCGTTTGCCGACTTTTGTTTGCTCGATTTTGTAGGTAGGACGCAATATACTCCAGACTATCGACTGCAATAAAGGACGGAGGATAAGGATGGGTGTAGGAGATCTTGAGAAAGTCAAAAGCCCTATAGACGTCATGTTGTAGTAGCCATAGTAGAATGGCAGGCCACATTTCAAACTGTCGTCGGTGACGAAACCTCTGCCATATCCGTCGTTGAACAGAGGGAGATCTACGCCCTTTGTAGAATAAATGAGCCCAACGGGCACATTGTGGGTCAAGTTCAAGAGTACGGCGGATCCGATCAAAATCTATTTGATAAGAGTTGAGAACTGCGAATCCTTTCGTCCAGGACTCTATAGGGAAAGCTCCGTCTGTAAAAGACACTTTGGTTACGGATCCTGGAGGAAGAGAGCGAAGAAATCGGCGGCGACTTTTCAGCCGAACCACGGCATCGTTGGTTATGTTTTTGAGATCTGGCGAGAGGAACTTGGTTTGGAAATGAGATCGCGGAACATTTGCGTATGCAGCCGCCTTTCGTCGACGGCGGGGTGGACGAGTAGTGGAGTCCTCCGAGCGTTTCATCCAGTTGCCGAAGATCTTTTGAATGTACCTGCCGGTGTAATATTGCTCTTGGTCTTTATTTGACTCTTCCAAACGCCTTTTCGTTGCGGTTTTAGACGGTGTATAGCTTTTCCTACTCGCCGATGGAGCTGCGTGCTTACGGGTCCGAAGCTGGCTCCTGAAGAAAGCGGAGATCTCGGAATAGAGCGGCGCAATATGGGATGAGCTTCGGGCCCTCTTTTGCGAACTGGATAGCCTTCGTGGCCCTCGTAGTCTCCCCCGACCGACATTGGTGTTGAGTTCTCGATCGACTTGTGCTTTTTGCTCTCCGTTCACCATTGCCTTTCCATCTTGACCCGTCACCTCCACTTCCATCCCAGCATTTGCGTCCTCTTGTCCCCTTTTCGTCGATCCAACACCGCCCGTTTTCCATCTCTTCCCACATCCATATCTCCAGGGCGCGTTCGGCACGAACAGTCTAGGGGCAAGGAACTGGAGAACGGGCAAATCTGTGCTGGCAAAACACCTGGCATTTGCGAGGAGACAGCGGGGCATGAGATGCGGGGCGTCGCGACGGTCATCGGTCCATGAATGGCGAGGAGTAGAGATAGGAGCAAGCTTGGGATGGATAGGACGCAGTGGTGTTGCGGTTCGGCCAAAAAGTTTTGGGTTGTGGCTGGAGCTTCCGATGTGGCTGAAGGCATTTCGACTTCACCTCGACCTTTGCGACGAGAACATAGGTAGCATCCACGCGCTGTCTTTACTATAACACGTGGAGATTACCTTTCTCCAGCTCTAGACACTGTACCTGAGTAAGAGACATCTCGAATTATCCTCCGACACCATCAAGTCGACCCTCCCGCGAACAGCGAGCCGTTTTCACCATTTGCGATCCACCTCGAAATCCTTTCTACACGAACTGTTTTTGCAACAACGCGACAGCGCCCGAGGTGCTACAACTCCGTATACCCCACCGCACCAGCAACCGTCTTCGCCTGCCTTCCGACACTACGGCTCTGACCTCAAACGCGTCCCCCCAGCTTTTCTCAAGCTTGCGACACCACACCACCGCAACCATGTCGGCCCAAACCAGGCTCAACAAGCTCAACGCCGCCACCGACGCCCGCAAAGCCCGCCTCGCCGCCCTCAAATCCCTCAAGCGGAAAGCCCCCTCCGACTCGACCTCCGCCGCCCACCCCGAGCCCTCCTCCCCCCCCACCGCCCTCACAAATCTCCAACCCCCCTCCGCCACAACCCCCCCAGAAGACCAACCCTCCACAGCCCCCTACCTCTCCGGCCGCAACTACGACCCCGCCACGCGCGCCCCCAAGCTCGGCTTCGACACGCTCCCCGCGCACCTCGAAACCGCCGCTACCCTCGAAAAACGCGCGCACGACCTGCACATCGCGGTGCGCAGCGAGCAGGCGAAGGAGCGCGCGGACGAGCCGCTGGATCTGTTTAAGCTGCAGCCGAAGCGGCCGAACTGGGACCTGAAGCGGGATTTGAGGGAGAAGTATCAAGGCTTGGAGGCGGAGACGGAGAGGGCGATTGCGCGGTTGGTGAGGGAGAGGGTGGAGGGGGGGAAGAAGGCGGTGGGGGAGGGCGAGAGGGAGGAGGTGGGGATGGAGGGGGTGGCGTTGGTGGAGGCGATGCATCGGCGGGAGAGGGAGGGGGAGGGGAGGGGGGGGGAGGAGGATTTAATTTGAGGGGGAGAGTGGGAGAGGGGGTTTCCAGGGTTTGAGGTTTGAGGTTTGGAGTTTTGGCTGTATTGGGGTAGGTCTGGTGGGAAAGCTTTGGGTTTTCATAGGGCGTTGATGTATCACCACGGCGTGCTGGTGCTGGCGTTAAGTCGCGCGTTGCGTAAAAAGCGAAGGACGACAAATTGTCAACATCATAAACATCACATGCCCATGCAAAGAGTGTGCTGCGCATATAGAGATGAGACTGTGGTTGATTCAAGTATTGGGTATCCGTACTAAGCTACGCCCCTATTCCAATTATCATGCCCAAATGAAATACCGCACCAATGAGAATACCCATAACCAGGCCTCCGATGATGACAGTTGGTTTTATTATTCAGCGTCCCATGGCCTGCGTCAGAGCAAGACGTTTGCTGTAAGGACTCAGACTCCTCTCCTTGCGGACTGGCGGAGGCGCAGCATGTCCGTTGCCCATAGCATGCTGGGGCAGCGCTCGTCGGCCGTCAGCAGGCAGACCACGACGATCCTCGCGCACACCATTGCGATTGCCAGCATACGGGGCATCCCTAGGGCGAAACGGGCTGCGGGATCGAGAGCGGATTCGACGCGGGCCGGGACTATTGAAGTCTCCCAATCCATCAGGGCTGCGCGGTCCTCCTTTCGGCGCCATTGTGCGGCGGGGCGGCGACGAGCGTCTCCTGGTACGCCGGCTCCTGGACTGACTGCGGCTCCTAGACAACGACATGCGTCTTCCAACGGGTGAGAGTCTTCGCCTCCCGAAGCTGCGACTGCGCGACTTCATCCTCGTGTCCGGAGAGGCGCGTTGCGGCCTGCCACGTCTGACTGGGCTCCGGCTCTTCGACGTGTCCATGCGGTTGGACCACGACCTGCTTCGACGCCTGCCTCGCTGCGCCGGGCTGAACGAGCTCATCCTCCGCCTCGTGTTGCGATCCCCTCTGCCCCTGACGCCGTCCTCGTCCGATGAGCTATACGCTTCCGACAGGGACTCAGACTTCCGCCGCCTCTTTCGGGCCTCGGTCGGCTTGCGCGGGGATCCCATGGACGTGTCTCGGTCGACGCGCCTGTCTTTCCGGGGCGGTGGTGAGGGAGAGCGGTTCGTAGAGATTGTCGACACAGACGAGGAGTACGAGGAAACAGAGCGCGAGCGCTTGCGCGGTGAGTGAGAGGCGCCGTCGTCGTCTCGGTCGTGCTTGCGGCCTCGCTCAGCGGCGGCGATCTTGGCGAGTTGTTCGTCGGCTACGCCTTTCCTGTGACAAAGAGATTAGAAACTGGAGAGAGGTGTAGGAGTGGATGGTGTGGTGGTGGGCCTACTTTCGGAGAAGGTCGTTGGGCACATCGCTCATTAGCTTTGGGGCTAGCTTTGGGTTGTGCAGCTGTTGGGTTCGGGAGGGCCGGGAGGTATACGGGCGTTCTTGGGCGGTTGCTTTGCATTCGTAGCTGTAGTGCCGTGCAGAGAGGTCAGTACAGAAGGCGGGCTGGGAGTGAGGGCACGCGTATCTTTTTTCAGGCACTTCTGACACAGCGTGGTAGCTGTCGCCTTGGAGCGACCACCGTTGGGACCGCGAAACATGGTCCGGCGTGGCGGTGCGCTTTGCTAGGTGTTGAAAGGGATCCAAGGCGGTTCGAGGAGAAGTAGGAGGCGGCCTCAGCGAGAGCGGCAGGTGAACTCTCGGCGAGGTGAGGTGCAGTTGGAGATGCCTGGCGGTGATGCGGCGAGCTGAGGCCCAAGGCCGCGTACGAAAAATGCTGCCAAGGCCGCGATCTTTACGAAGTCATGTGCTCCGTGAGCGGAAACGTGAAACAGGTCGAGATTTATTTCATTGGCTCATACAGCGTGAAATCATGCTTTTGATTGTGCATTCGCTGGAAATGTGAAATTCTGATCGCAGCCAGGCCAACATGAAGCGGCAGCCCAATGCTGCCCGTCTGAGGCGGCAGAGATTCTTGGACTGCCACTTTTGCTCAAGCACCCCTGACAGTCTTGATGCCCATTGGCTGGGTGCGTGGTTCAAGGAGCAGGTGGAAATGGTCTGCTACCGTCCGACGTGCTTTCGTTGATGAGCAATTGAACGAAACAGCTTTGTTGACGTATCCACATCCATGGATATCTTGCTGGCACGCAATTGTGCATGCCAAGAGCCAGCAGTTTAGGCAGGCCCGGTGCAAACCGCCCAAAGACGCCAAGTCCTCCCGGCCCGTCTCCGGCTCCAGAATTCCTGTGATGGAATCCCACCACGGCCACCTCTCCGCCTCCCTCCCATCTCGCACCTCCACCGCTGCCTCCATTGCTGCGGACTGTTCAGCGCCCGACCTCGTCCTCTCTTGCACCCAGCGTAGGACACGCAAACTCGCAGTGCAAGCCCGTCCGTTCACCGCGCTGCCCTACGAAGGCGCAGCAGCTCTCTCCGCTGGGCTCTCTGCACCCGCCTGGAGCTCATCCACCCTCCCCCACCTCCTCTTCACCTTCACCTTGCTATGTTGAATACCCATCATGTCCAGTACTCTGGCCTTGGCTACTTTGACTTTCCTTGAGAACCCCGTTTCCTGAGATTTGCTCCCTGTCTTCTACATCCTACTTCCTTATTTGGACGACATCACATATCGCTCCGAGCGCCCCAGCACCGCAGCTCCGACTTTCACTATCATTGGCGTTCCTGGAGTACAACATGGCCTCTACAGCGGCCGTCCCTGTCGAGAACGTATCGGTGAAACCCTCATTTGCAAAGGCGGGTGAAATCAAGCTTCGACCCCAGATCGCCGCTCAATCTCGCTAATCTTCACCAGGTCGCAGCATCTACATACAAACCAATTCCGAATATGAAGGATTCTACTCCCAATGCTCACCGCTCTCCGCCGAGCCCGAAGCTCCATATACAGCCCACCCCGATGACGGGCTCTGGTGCCGACGCCGCACACCACCTGCATAATAACGATTCCGCGCGGGGACCCCAAGAGACATCTTGTAGTACAGACTCCCGTACTGGACAATGGGCCAACATGACCGGCAAACAGGTCACCTCCGAGCCTGGGTCGAAAGACCAGGATGTCGAGAAGCCGCCTCCCTCTATCGCCCTCGTCAAGTCGCTCGAGACGGATGACAACACTACGCAGCTGTCGTCGTCGGACGGTTCCGTAAAGCTTCCCAGCTTGGATGGCAAAAGCGTGGCCTCTGCGACGACCTTTGCCCTGGACGAGAAGGAATCAATTCGTCCCGATGACAGTGCCAGTTTGCGCGCCGTTGAAGAGGAGGATGTCATTTCGCCTCCCGACTCTGTTGCAACAGGCTCGCGAGTTGGCTCGGACAGTGGCGTTGCGCGGGCATTCCGCGACCAGCTTCATGAGATCTCTGCTATTGGCCCAATACCTCCACGAGGAGCTCCGCCTGGCCGATTCCAGACGCCAAACGTCGGTGGCACTCACGTGCTATTCGATCCGGCTGCTCCCACGGATGCCGCTCGACCTGTGTCCCAACCGCTTGTGAATGGCGCTATAAATGCTGCCCAACCACCAGCGATTCCCGACGAAAAACTTATCGAAGCCCTAGAGTCCCCACGAGACCGCTTGTTTGTCTTGAAGCTCGAGCAGGATTTCATCGACTTTGTCAAGGACTCCAAGTACGTCGCATCGGATACTCATACGTTGAAATCCGAGCTGATCGTGACTAGCGAGAGTGAGCTGTCACTACCCAACTGTAACACGTTCTACAGGATGCTCACGCATCGACTTGCGGATTATTATTTGCTTGGTCATGTTGTCGATGACTCGATGACTGCTGTCAAGATATCGAAGACGTCCTATTGCAGGATGTAAGTGTCATACCCTTTCTTAGAATCTTTTTTTAGCGACAGCAACGACAACAGCAACGACGAAGTCGAAATCGAAGGCAATGGCGATCAGACTAGCGGTTGGGATTGGCCAAAGGGTGGGAATTGGGAAGGGATTCAAGATGATTATGGCGATGGCGTGGGCGACGGCGACGGCGACTAGGACCACGACTTTTTACATTCTCTCGCGACCTGGAGCCGTTTGCAACACCCCCAAGCTCATAATTCGGAACCTCCCCTACAGAGGTTCTCATGCTGACAGTTACATCACAGTCCACCGCCGCTTTCGGCCTTGCCAGTTCACTCGAAAATCGCGGCTACACCGCCTTCTGATCTACCCGCTCGGAAGATCATGCGTCGTGGTGGTGAGAAGTCTGGTACTAATACAAATGCTAACTCTGAGAATCCTTCCAAGACTACTTCTGAAGCAGGCGGCGGTAGTAGTGACGGAGGAGACGAGGGCAAAGACAAGTCGGCCTTGACAAGAGAAGAGAGAGAGGCGAGATATAAAGAGGCTAGACAGCGCATTTTCGGTGCTGCGGAAGCGGAGGAGAATGAGTCCACGGCAGCTGCCGCCGGTTTGAATGAAGAGACAGATATTTCAAGATCGAGTTCTGCGTCGGGCAAAAAGAAGGGGAAGAAGCAACGCAATTACGACGACGATGGCTTCGAAGCTCGATCGCGGTTCAATGTTTTCTATCCCCAGCCCTACAGTCCGCCGGCTTATACGGGAGATCCGGCCGCCGCGTATTATGGTCAGTATCCTCCTGTTACGATGCAGACTCCGCAGCAATTTCCCACCATGGGTCCTACCGCTTCGCCTGCAGCATACACTGGAGCGTATCCTACGATGCATCAGGAAAGCCAGGCACAGTATGGGTGGCCCAATCAAGGTTTCCAATCTGGGAACGTCCCCGCGAGTTACCCTAACTACACTGGCGCAGCCCCGACTGGATACGACCTGTCCGCCGAGTTCCAGAGAGGCATGTCATTCCAGACGTCACCAATGCCCTCTCAAGTCACACCCAAGATGTCGGTTCCAACAATGGCATCTTACCAGGAATCGTACCGGCAACAGACTATGCCAATGAACCAACAGTGGCCACAGGCACCCCAACAACACGGATTCCCGATGAATCCGCAATTTGGCCAGAACAACCTTAACGATCGTCCGATGTCGGCCTCCGGGCAGGTGCCCGTTCCAGGGGCATATCCATATGGTCAATTTCCCAATGCTGGGTTTAATGGCGGGAAGAACAGGAGCCAGCATCCTCTCCCAGGCAGTTTCAACCGCCAGCAGTTCAATCCCCAAAGCCAGGCATTTGTTCCGACTCATCGTAATGGCTCGTTTCCGATGCAGCAGCAGATCATGCAGTCTAATATGCAGCAGATGCAGCATCAGAGCACGAACGGTTATGGCAGTTACCCGGTCCCTGTGCCGATGGGAAACCAAATACAAATGGCTAACCAGCTACCGATGATGAACCAGATGCAGCGCCCTAGTCCCCCTTCCACTCAGCCAGTATCTTTCAATGCTCCCCGCGTCCCGCAAAGCTCTAACTCCACTCCCTCCAAACCCAGTGGACAGGGCATATCGCACCCGCTTCCTCAACCCGTTGCTATGTCGGCGTCGTCTCAAACCACGTCGACGCAGTCGAGCAACTCTTCGGTCCCGCTTCAGAGCAGCATCGCGAAGTGGGGTGTGCCATCTCATCTCCCACCGAAGCCACCTCCACCAGCCCAGCCTCCGAAGTTCGCCTTACCAGGCCACGGCTTTGCTGCTGTCCCTCGACCTGTCAACAACATGCCGCAGAGCTTCCCGATGAACGGTAGCGTCTCTGTGCGGGGTGGAAATGGTATCGCTCCAAGCGACGGCGTGAACGGCCGCCCAGCCTAGTAGCGCAGAACGACTTTGACGACTCTCCTCGGTTTCTGGAAGCATGGATACGGTGCATTGCGATGGTGCTGCGATAATCGAGCATGATTTTGAACGACCTGGAAACTCGCGAGGCCACCCCCAGGCGTTGCCGTCTGCTGATGGTGATCCGAGAGAACTGTGGGCAGTTCAACAGATTGTGGATCATGGAGCTGTGTAGGCGCTGGGATTGTTGGGTCTTTTTTTCTTCCTATGGTAGGTCTTCTCTTTGCTTTTTTTATACTAGGTATGCACCACTGTGGTGAGCTCTCTGGGTGGATCGATGGGTGGTCGGCTGGAAGGTTCGAAGGCTATGAGTGGATGGCTGGATGGCTAGACTGCTCGAAGGTCTTCCACCTTTAGAAGGCTCGACGGCTGAATGGTTCGATTGCTGGACTGCTCACGGTCTGGAGAGAGCAGAAGGCAGAGATGGTGGGGTGCCTGGTACGTGGTGGAAAAGCATTTTCTTTTCTTCCTTTGGTTTGTGGGTGGATGGAAGTTTAGTAGGGACAGTAGTACGGTCTAATATGAACCCCTTTTAGAGTATGGTGGGTCCGTGTGGTGATGTGAAAAGTGCACCCTCAAGTTTTTCCAGTTTCAGTGTGCTAGTGAGTTCCCTTGCCGTCACTCTTCAGCACCTCAAAAGGTTTGAGCCTCTATTCTTTGTCCTTGTTTTCCCATTTTTAAGTGAACTTCCATGGTTCTCTGTGGACGAACAACGGCCTAAGTTCTTGAATGTCTTTCGATAATTTTCTGCAATGCCAAATTAGGACTTTCTCCTTGATCTGCCGGATCTTCTTGGTACTCTTCACCCCTCCAGCAACGGGTCTTTCTCCCCAAAATTCCAACATTATCCGTAATTGATATTCCATAGGCTCAAGAATCCATCGCCTTCAATACACCACCGAACCCGGGCCACTTCCGAAGCTCCCATCCCTTTCCTAGCGCAGTTATGAGCATGCCCATAACGTGGTCAGTGGAAAATCGGACGGAGCTAAAATCGGGACAAGGTGATGTGGTAACTGGGCCTGCAGCCTTACGGCAGGGCTGGGGTCTACCTAGGTTTACAAGAGGGGCAACAGGGGCAACAGGGGATAATGCGTGGGGGTGACGAGGCTGGGATCGACCTTCCAAGGGCACCATTCTGAGCAGACGCCGTGGGCCAGCAGACTCACGCAGCCAGGGGTCTGCGTTTCACCTGACTGTATTGGGTATCTTTTCAAGAGGTCTTCAGCCTCGTCGCCATACGCATTAACGACCTCTTTTTGTTTCTGTCAAGGCTTACAGGCCGTAAAATACGCCGAGGCCTGCATGTACATTGTAGCTAATGTAAGACAGCCAGCCGCTAGCGTCAGCTTTGAGCTACCGCGGACCTCGAGTTGATAAGGGGGTGCGGCTAACGTAATGCCCACGCTGCAAGCGCTTCGCCGACAAATATGTCGAGCACGACTTTGTAGTGCTTTTCATTGACCTTGTCTTTTTGCTGCGGCGATCCATAACGCGCTATCGCCGCTGATTGGCCCCCCCCAGCAAAGCACCCTCGTTGCACTCCCCGCCTGCATTGCTCGCACGACTCCCGCTCTCTTGACCACACCTACCAGGGCGTCGCCCGCATACGTCGGAGGCCTTAGGATCCCCGAAGCAACGAAATCGAGATCCTCACAAAAACCGCCTGTACGACAGCGCATATGCACTCTAACGCCCACAACCCCAAAACATATATGTTCGGCTCAAGTCCTACCCTTTCTCTTCTAACATTCCACTAGATCGTTTGCATACTGGATGCTTGATTCTTGATCCGCTTCACACTGTCTACGCGTGCCGCCAAAAAGACGCAATCTTTCGTTAACAATGTCAACGCAAACTCCGCCAATGACCCGGCCCAGTCTCTCCGTTGAAGCGGTCCCTGGAATCATCTTCGGCATTCTCATCCTCGCCACTACGGTCGCTAGCATACGGTATCAGGACTCTATTTGTGCGCTTGTGTTTAGCGTCTACTGAGGATCTCGTTGGCGGAGAGGTGTGACCACTCGCTCACATCTTGAGATTCAGTGCTAAGTTTAACCCGAATCTAGTTGATCTCGAAGCTATGACTATTCTAGAAGTGCCGAACGGAGATGGTACTCCGCCAAGGGATTCTTTAGAGCTACGATCCATACACCTAGACTGGCCATGGCCATGGCCATCAGTGATCTATCTGGACTGGACCCATTTGGAGTTGGACTGGGATGGAGGCACTCGAAAAAAGCACAAGACTGCACTGAGTTCCTATTTAGATGGAGTGGATTTAAGGCTGTAGATGATCCTGGAGCTCTAATGGTTTATATATACGTATATATGTATGGTGCTGGTGATTCCAGTCTCCAATTAGTTTGACTGTTAAGTTACGTGACGTACGCTTCACGTGCTTCTTTAGCAAATGCACCTATCTTATAAGCATATATGGCCTTTCTATGTAGTGAAAATATAACATTACTAATCTTCCTACCTAAGGACGAGATAGAATTAGCTGTATAGCAATACCATTAAGCGTTAACTCTTAACGCTAAACTATTTCAGGAAATTACAAGCTATTTTAGGTGACCCTCAGCCTTATTATAGAGCTCCTGGAGCTCCAGGAGCTCTATAGCGATTTTGCTGGACTAAAGTGGATTTGAGGCTTAATCCACTCCACTCCAGTCCAGATAGATCACTGAGATTCGCCAAACCAAGTCAGCGCGGCGGAGCGAGCTGCGTAGCTTCCGTCCGGATCTGCCTTCAACCGCTACACAACGGACAAAATCAAGGCCTCGCCTTTCAAGATCGACGAATTTGATGCCTGGCCCTTTTCCAGCTCCGCGCCATGTTATTCGTCATTGAAAATTGCAGACCCTAGAACTTCCACTCCGGGACACGTAGAGACGTGTTGTGGCAGTCGTAATTGTCAAGGGTTCGCACGAGAGCTAATACTATTGGTTTCCCTTGGAGGCTATCTCCAAGGGAAACCAATAGTATTGGCTCGCGTGCAGAGTGGCATGCTGCATGCTGCAGCAGCTATCGTCTTCACAGCCTCCCTCGCATCACCCCTCTCGCAGCTGCCTTAACCAGTGTAAAAGAAAAACCATATAAAAATGCACTCGGCGTCTCTCAGAGACTGTGCATACTCCGACCACGTTTCATTCCCGAAAGAAGATCGTCTTACACCTTTGGTCTTTTTAATCACGTGATAGCTGTTGTAGACAAGAAGATTGTTGCCAGGTACGTACTTCATCTTGGCTCATAGCCATTCTGGACGGCTACATTGTCAATATCACCAGAGAAAAGGTCCCCTTGTGTTATACTCTCACGTCATTAGGAGACTTTTCTACTTGCTCCCCTTGATACGAAGTCCAGTCTCATGATACTCCTTCCTTTCTTTTAGGCAATGTTCCTCCTAACATCATACGTCAGACCCAGCCCAAATTATACTTCAACTAGCAACGCACCTAATCTACCCTGACGGCACAAGCATCAAGACCGCTCCGACATCCCTCAATCCTCCACAATGACAGAACAAGACTCCCACTCGCTTCACTCCCACCTCTCCACCGAAGCAACCCTCGGCATCATCTTCGGCATCCTCACGATCGTGGCTACCATCGCCAGTATCCGATGCAAAGATTCCATCTGCTCTCACATCGCGCGCTTTTATTGCCGGTCGCGTCGGCGGAGAGGTATAGTCACCCCTTTCCGAACTCATGAAATCAAACGCTCACGGAGAAGCGATAGCTGGTGCGTGTGACCTAGAAAATGCGGCTACGGTAACGCAACGATCGGAATGTATCGTGCCGTGTCGTGATACGCTGGAGTTGCGGTACTGGCCATCGCCGTATGAGGCTAGCCAGATGGAGATGAGGGAGTGGGATCGAGTGAGGAGGAGCGGGAGTGTGGAAGAGGAGAGGGGGCTGGAGAGAGGGTGAGAGTATGAAAAGGCCTGAGACGATTGGCCATGACTTGTGTGAAGGAGCGCTCGATTGGAGCTTCTTTTGGAATACCTTTTGTATGTACTATATACCCCAGATAAAAAAGTACCTTATTTTTTACTCCGTTTTTTGAATCCAAACAGCTGCCCTCGCCTTCGAAAGTTGTCGCCCATCTGAACATATGCCTAGCCCAGAAGTGGGTCAGGAAGCGGTATGTCGCCGGGTGATGAGGTGGATGAGGTCAGGATTAACATCGGTCAGGGTCTCCTTTGGTACTCAGGTTGAAATTGATGTGAACTCTGATTTCTATGGGTGTCTAGCTCGTTGTTTATATACTAGGGGAAGGAGGGGGGCCAGCCCCGGGGGCATAACGTGGTATCTCTTCCTGACGCGTTACTTGATTCATCCTGTTTCCTGATACAGTACTGATACCGTGCTGCAGCACTGCTGTTGCACTACCTGTTACTTCCTCCTGTATCAGCATGCTATCCTGATACGTTACTGCATATGAGTTGCTGACCCTAGGTTGTAGTGCTGCAACCCGAGTCATCATCTCTTTGATTCAACACTCTTCATCTCTCAATCTATCAGCTCATCATTTTCATCAATTCCCGCAATATCTTGCCTGTCTCATTCGAGGTCAGACATGGAAGAATACGAGAAGGTTTGAAGTCTATATTTGTTTGTTCGTCAGTATTATGGACTGAAACCGCATCCACCCTCCCTCAAATTTAGACTTCGCATGTAATCTCTCGAAACCACCTCTTCGCCTGAAGCGAAGCATAACGAGGCTGAAACGGCACGTGCCTTTGTGGATAAAAGGAAGCCGGATTGATGTTCAGCCTTGTCGTTCCAGCATCTGCGGCATCACCGGCATCACCATCATCGGCATCTTCTCCGAGATTCCATTGCCAATCATGAGCTCAAGGTCACGTGTTTGGACCAGGCCCACATCTGTAGCTTACCCTTGCTGCTCCAGAGAATCTCCAGGCGACGCGCCGTCCCTTCCCGGGTTTCGCGCTGTGACTGCTGGCATCGAAGCTTCCGCCTCAGCTACCGCGCTATCTCCTCGTCGCAGGCCCGCCGAGGGGTACTCCTGTGTTCAACGGCACGCTCTATTAAAAAATCGTCGGGAGGAGGCCGGCAGGAGGCCGGCATGCTCTCCTCAGAATGCGCAAGGTCGGGACCAGAAAGTGAATCCTTCAGGCACCGATCCACTGACCAGCCGCGCTCTCAAGAGAGTGCTGCTAGTCCTGATGCTAGAGCTCGGTCCAATCGCCAGCGTGATGCTCAGATGGTCTATCTATATGTTCTTTCTTATAATTCCCCTGCAAGGCGTCGGCCCTTCACCAGCTACTAGTCTTCCTCAATCCTCCACTCCGCCAATCGCCCATCTAGCCATTATAAAGGCTCTCCTCTCGCCAGAATTGTACTAAACCAGTATAAAACCTGCGCACTTCACGTCGCCCTTACAGTACTCTTTTAGGTTTCATCATCCACATCATTTCTACTGTATTCTGCATCTCAACTCAGTCGAGAGACGGCCCTCCTAATACGATCTACGCAAATCACGAGAGCTGGAAATAAGTTCGCAGAGCCTTATCATCCGCTTTGACCTTGCTCAGTGCTCGCGGTCCTTGCATCTCTCAGACGCTTTCCACTTTAACAAGGGTGTACACAATCGGCCCAGGCTCTGCCCAACAATTACATCTCAACAACTTTCGCCAAAATCGCCAAGAGAAACATCGTAAAATATGGCTCCCGGGCCAATGGTCAGTATCATCTTTGGGATCCTAACGCTCACGGCGACGGTTGCGAGCATTCGATACAAAGACTCCGTAGTACGCATCTGCTGCATGTCTCGTCAACTCAGAGGTATGGGTCCTCTGCCCGTTAAGATCTCTCCGGAAGTGCTGAAATAATTTATGTCCAAATGATGTCGAGGCTGTTCCAAGTGCCATGGCGTCCGTATGGCCTACAAATACCACGACATTCCAGGGCTCTTTCGAGCTGCGTGCGCTCTCCTTTACATCCTTGGACTGGCCATCACCGTACAATATTAGCGAAGCAGAAATAAGAGCATGGAATCATGCCGTTGGTACTGATTCGAACGACGCCGGGTGGCTACAGCATTAATGGAAACGGAAAGGAGTGTTTTGGGACATTCAACGATTTCAAATGGAAGTTGAGCATGAATACGATGATAAACTTGCACATTTGTACGCATGCACATGGCGACGTAGGCTCTCTCATGTCGTGTTCGACTCACTGCTGCAAAGGTGTTCTGCTATTGCTGGGCAAGGCTGAAATTTGGATATGCCGTGGCGGGGTAAAATCCCGTGTGCGGCACAGTGTGGGGGTGGGGTTCGTGAAGGAGTTCTGGAAAACGGGTACTGCTAGAGTATCGTTCAATCATGGAGCCGTTGAAACGCCTGGGTGATTGAGTATGTACGATGTCCACGTCGGGGGGCCCGGGATGCTCAGAGCTCCGCTCCCTTCTCCCCCTAGCTCAAGTTCAAACTACCTGACTACGGCCGGAGGTGCTAGAGCATGTGTGCTTGTCCAATACCCTCTTGGCCGGGTACCAAGCCTGACTAGCTACAGCTGATGCCGGACAGGGTGAGCGAAGAACGATGCATCTGCAGATCTGGTGTGATTGCAGACCTTCAGCCTTGTCAGATGGTTTTATGCATACAGTTTGATGAAATGCCTATCCTACTAACGCTTCTGCTTACCTTTTCAGATTGCTTCAGCTATACTATAATTGACCGAAAGTTTAGAGGTGGTATCCTTGCACCCAAGAAAGTCAATGAGAGAAGTGCGAGAAGATACTTTGTGAGCAGCCCGTAGACCATTTGGAGCTACTTTCCACAGGAAAAAGTTCTTAGCGCGGGTTCGAGATGAGTATAGTACTGCTTTTTTTCGCATCAGGCCTCTTAAACATAACAAATGGCACTCAGATGCTAGACTGTATTCGCCTTAGGCCATGCGCTTACTAAAATGCTTATCCCCTAAGCCGCACAGACTCATGGACGCCACCCAGATTCGCTAGGCGTCCCCAGATTCGCTGAGCGTCCCCAGATTCGCTGAGCGCCCCCATATACGCTGAGCGCCACCAAGCATCGGATGCTGAGCGCCACCAAGCATCGGATGCCACCAAGCATCGGATGCCACCAAGCGTCGGATGCCGCCCCACTCCACCCGCGACATCACCATTATCACACTGACCAAAGGCGACGACCTCTGCCTTAAGGTCTGCAGTTCGAATTCGATTATTTTCTACTCATTCTATCGAACACCGCCAGAAGTCGCAGGCTAAACGCTTAACATCAGCCCTCTATTGCGCTACGAGACAAAGTCACTGGACGTCGAAGCCACTTCGTAATATTATTCCTCGCCGCCGTGTAATGATAAAGCTAACAATTTCTTGCCCACAGGAGCTGCTCTGGATTGAGAGTTAAATCTGCTTCTCATAGCCCAACATACGGCAGCACCCAAATTACTCCTTTTATTTTATGCTAAACGTACCTCACATCTCGCGATGCTCGAACATGCTCAATCCCACCTTCATCTTTCCACTGAAGCGATCATTGGCGTCGTTTTCGGCGTCCTTACCCTCACCGCCACGGTCGCCAGTATCCAATTCAAGGACTCGATGGTTCGTTTTTGCTGCACTCCTCGTCGGTCAAGAGGTACTGTCCCTCAGGTATCCTCCTATCAGCAGGGGCTAAAGCCCTCAAGATTTAAACGACGTCGAGGCAACTGCTGGTACTACTACCTCAGCATCATGGCCTATAAGAACTGTTCCGCTTCTAGACCCGCTCGAGCTGCATACAGTACCGTGGAGTTCTCTGCATCGGTCATCGCCATATGAAGTTTCTGAAGCGCAAATAAGGGAGTGGGATCGTGTATGGAGAGGTGGCAGCACGGAGGAGGTTGCCGAGCGGATTGGCCCGTCTCTGAGACATCACGGGAATGCTGAGGGTCCACGATAAGTAGTGAAAGTGTGGAGAAGATGGAACGAGACGAGGTCTATGATGTATACGAAAGTTACCTTCGTTGGACCATTCTTATTGAGCGTTATCAAGTCTTATCTCTATAATCCTGTTGCCTAGATCTTGAGGTGTGGCTGGACAAGGCTGAGAGCAATGTAAAACGGTACGGGCGCAACACGTGTGCAGGTCAGTGAGGAAATTGGGGTTGTGAGTTGGAATATTAGAACACCGTTATTTTTAATCACGATGAGATTGAGTGCACTCTTAGGTCCGGTTGATGGCTCCAGGTCAGATGTTTATTTGGGGTTTAGAGTTTAGACACGGAAGCCCGGAGCGCCTGATACGGGCGTAATAGAAACCCTGTGTCGACCAATGAGACTTGTCCAACGCTTCTGCCTACAGCCGGGGAAACCGTCCGCGTCAACGCCGTCAGCTTCACTTTTTCTCAGCGTTCTCCCTGATTACTCCGCGGACACGCGAGGACTCAGCCTTGCGTAGTTTCGCTTTAACAATGCCCGCCAGCATAATGGTTCTTTAATACTACATTTTAGACTACTTATTAGAATCAATCTAGGATATGTATGTGATGACTTTGCAGCTATCGCTGGACCCGTCGCCTGTGAAGTGTTCAAAATAACCGACACTGTGAATGTGTCGTAACGAGAAACCGATTGTGAGTAAAAAACGAGCTAGAACAGCAGTATCTCAGATCATTATTTCATAGAAGCGTTTTACCATATGGAGGAATAGCAGAACCGTCGCTAAAACAATCTACTCTTCGCTTGGTGAGATTTGGAAAGAGCTTATCTTTTCATCATCAGGTATGAGCTTGCGAAATGCTTCTTCCTTTTCGAATACGCCCGCACCTTTTCCCTTAATAATCCGCTTCTATTTAGTCTAGCTGCTTCACACTAACATGGCTTAGCGCTAGCAGGGTAGAACACCGGCGTAGAACACCAAACTTACAAGCTCAGACGTTGACATCTCGGGCCACGGGAAGGCCGACTGTCGTTTGTAGCTCAGGAGGCTGTGCCATAGCTCAGGAGACTGGCGAAAGTCACCCAGCACCATCCCTAGGCAGGCTATAGCTTCGGACGGTGCGGGGAGCCCAAAGGCCGCAGTCAGTGCCCGAAGGTGCCGGGATTTTGACAGGGCGCGCGGCTCTAAAGATCATAGGATGGTCCGTGCAGAGGTGTGGCCATGAACCCTAGCGGTGATCTTACGGTGCGGATTGGTCTCAAGTTGCTTTTCAACACGCTTTGGCCATGGACCCTAGCGGTGATCTTACAGTGCGGATCAGTCGGTGGACTTTTCATAAGGCTCTGGCCTGGGACCCTAGCGGTGATCTTTATAGTGCGGATTAGTCTCTTAAGTCAGTGTGCTTTCAAAAAGCTTTGGCCATGGACCCTAGCGGTGATCTTCCAGTGCGGATTCGTCTCTCAAGTCAAAGCTTTTTAAAAAGCGGTGGCTTTCGCCAGCTTGTCTGACCCTCCAGCGAATCCACATCTCCAAATTTTCCTTGAAACGCATTTAACATTGCACAAAAGCACACATTCCGCACCTTACATCCCCTCTTAAAGCAGCACAAAGCCTCCTTATAGTCGTGGGATATTTTAGCCTACGCAAAAAGCGACCTTATCACGCTGAACATTACATCATTACCATTCACTCGCGAGTCCACCTTGAAGCCTCCGTAACCACCATCCGCTCAGCCCTTTGCTTCCTCGCAGGTATCTGAGATCGTAAGCCTTCTCTCCCATCCATCCAGTCAGCTCAGTCGCAAAAGAGCGGTCAAAGTAGAACAGTACTACTTCGACGTAATCGATTTACTCGGCTTGCTAATCTTGCAATGCAGCAATACCATTTGCAGACTGCCCATCACCACGCCTCTTGATCTATTCTATGTGCCATCTCGAATTAGGTACGTAGCTCAGCCTTGATCAGCCACGCTTGTCACCTCAAACCGCCATCACTCGTCTCTCGTGCTGCCTGCGGCAACCAAAATATGCTGGTCAAAATGATCCACCCTTTCTTTCCGCCCGATCACAAGGCTGACGTTCGAATACCACGAAGCGGCTCTGACAAAAGTAAAAGATTCGTCCCGCAATGACTGAGCACACAAGATCCCATTCCCACGTCTCCGCCGAGGTGATTGCGGAGATTGTATTCGGCGTGCTTACTGTCGGCATTGCTCTTGCAAGCATTCGATATCATGACACTAGCCTATTCGTCCTTGTGTTTCGTGTATGCCGGAGGTCTCGTCGGCGTAGAGGTATGTACCTATTCCGCTATAACATCTTTCTCATCTTCTCAGACACTTGTGCTGAACTAAGGATGACAGATCTCCGTGATATCGAAGCACACCTAACCTCGCTCGAAGACTCGTTCGAGCTTCAAACCACATCGACATTCTTAGATTGGCCTATAGTACCATCGCCGTATGCTGTCGGGGACATAGAGCGAATTGAATGGGAGGACGAGCGAAACTTTGAGAGAGCGGATGAGGATAGCTAGGCAGTGATTGCCTCGACTAGAATATGCGAAAAAGGGGCGCCTCCACGTTTCGAGAACGTTGCTGTAAAACTATTCAGCATTGCGGATGATTGAAAGGCGCCGTATTGGCCTATTTCCACATTGCTAGTATCACATAGGCTGTGTGCTCCATATCCGTGTCTGGTCTCGTAGGACTAGTTCCTGGAAGTTGCAGAGGTTCGTAGAGCCAACGCAGAGTATAGGAAGACCTGGGTGGAGTCTGTGCGCAAATATTTCGCAAGTTATTCGGGTCGCGTCGAGAGGCTGAATCTTGCGGTACCACTGGCATTACCCAAAAAATGGGAGCGCGGCTCCACTAACTGGTCCGGAGATCCTAAACTGGCGCTGTCAGCGGAATGCTCGGTCATGCCAGTGAGTGACTTGAGAGTGACGATAAACAACCTGGTGGTAGCAATGAATAGCCTGGTAGTGTCAGAACAGAGATGCGGCCACTGCGCGCCGTGAGGATCAGCCTACCACGTGATGATCGGGGCGCAGCTGAGGCAACGCCCCCCTCTAACACTGCCAGGGAATACAGGGACCTCGATTTCTCTAAACACTAGTATTTTTGTACCAATCACTCGACGAATAGCCTGGTAGTGTCAGAACAGAGATGCGGCGGCAGCGGGCCGTGAGGATCAGCCTACGACGTGATGATCGGGGCGCAGTTGAAGCAAACCCCTCTCTGACACTACCAGGGAATACAAGAACCTCGATTTCTCTCAACGCCAATTCTCTTGTGACAGTCACTACCCTCAATTCTAGAGAGTAATCTACGTTCGTTGCTAGTCTCACAAAGTCTCGGAAGCCATTAGACAGTAATATCATCCATCGCCGACCGCCAACTTGAACTCACAGAAGCCAACGATTTTTTCTTTCGGAACTTTAAGCACTCATTCTCTCGCTAATGCCCGTTCCAACTGGAAAACGTGAAGGTCTACCGCGTCTAAGCGTTGGGCTAATCAGGTTAGCCTTTGGCAAAGTACGTACCTCGCTCAGCCTTGCGAGTCTCCCTCATTTTTCATCCTGGCTTGAAGTAAACACCTTTCTCGAGTGTCAAAGTATCTCTTTTTGGTGCAAAATGCCTGCACATTCCATGCATTTCCCGAATATTCATATCCTTGAGACTGCGTGCTACTGGCAGCGTGCTGCTTGCAGTAATGATATCTTTACTTTCAAAGCTGACACTCCTTTAGATTCATATCGTGTGCACTCGTAAAGGAAGATTTGACTGCATCGTCTAGATATGTCTATGGAAGCTATAGTAGGGATCGTCTTCGGAATCCTCGGCATCGTCGCGGCGATCGCAGGTATCCGGTACAAAGGCTCGATCGGTTTTATTATTGTCTGCATCTGTTGCGGTTGCCGTCGACGTCGAGGTACGTCTATAAACTTCAGTTACACCTTCCCACTCGTGGCGCTTGTCTGCAGAACTTCCGAGTGAACCAGAGCTAAAGAACCAACTGAACTTAGCTTCTACCGACGTTGAAGCCGTCGATATTGTCGGTCATCTTGCTCCCACTCAGCCCCCAGCTGATACCGCAATTGAGCTCTTACCAATAAGGTCTAGTTTCCTCGATTGGCCAGTGGTGCCATCTCCGTACGACGCTAGCCATATTGAACGGATGGAATGGGATCATGAGCGGAGGAGCGAGAGTGCCGAAGATGAGATGGAGGACCGCATAGTCGGAACAGCACCTGGAGCATGGAGGAGTGGATGGTGATACTATAAACTCGAAGAGAAGCCGGAGATGTGGCATCATGCCAATATTGTCCGTTACTGTGCCTTCGCTATCGAAGTCCGAGCACGGTGTTTTCAAGGCCCGGGAGATAAGTGACCGGAGTTAGGCTTATTTCTATCATGTAAAAATACACTCGACTTGCTTCAATCATTGTCGCTCTACCTCAATGTGAGGGTGCTTGACCCTGCCTGCTGCGTCATCTCCCTGCAGAGATAGGCCTTGTGCTACTTGCCTAATTTGGACGTCTTCCCCTCTCAGCCTTGATAGCCGCGTCACAGATCCGGTTGCGAATCTCCAGTGGCACACAACGTTCAGGTCAGGGGCTAGGGACTCGGGGTCAATGTAGAGAAGAAACGTGGTGTTTCATGATTCTCAGCCTTGTGAGTGGGGTAAACGGGAAGTCCTATCCCGAAGCAGCTAGGAGACCCATGCAAGACTGAAGATCCCCGGCCCGTGCCGCACCAATCCACACTCGCTAACGCCCGGGCGGGTAGTTTGAGCGAAGTGGGGCTGTATCGTGGGCCACGCGGAAGGGGTTGCTTCTAGAAGCCGTTTTCATACCCCTTCCCATGGAGTCGGGGGGATTAGCCGAAAGATGGGGGTCGCTTCGGTGCCGGCTGGTTATGAGAATGGCAAATCAAATCCACCATCCGGGCGACGCGATTGGCGGGAAGGAGCGTCGCCAATCGCTCGGGGAAGAATCAGCCTAATTCCTCTTCGTTAGGGAGTAAGGCCGATATCGTGGGGTTTGAGGATCTGAGAATCACCGCCACTCAAGTTTCATCCCTTTGGAGGCCAGCATGGTCTCTGCCTGACGCGGGTGTGTATAAAGACGACTTTGTACATACATACATACCTCGCTTTTTAATCTTGGGTTTAGCTCTTTGTGTTCATCGTCTTGATGCAGTCTCTCCTCTATTTTACTAGTACCATCTTCTTTTGGAATTTTCTCTTTCAAACCACTTATCCAGTGCTCCGATCTATGAAACGTCGCCGTGAATTGCAAGGATTTGCGACGTTGAAGTCTTGAAGGATTTGCGACGTTGAAGTCTTGAAGGATTTGCGACGTTGAAGTCTTGAAGGATTTGCGACGTTGAATCTTCCCAGGACCTGCGACGTTGAAAATCTGAAGGATTTACGACATTGCGGCCTCTATTGCGACTTTGTAGCCTCCCAAGCTTTGGACAGTTCTTCTACAAGAAACTAGCCTGTCTTTTGCCACCATGGCCACACACACTTTCCACCTCTCCACCGAAGCTACTCTGGGGCTCATTTTTGGCATCCTGACCACCATTGCCACACTCGCAAGCATCCGATATAGGGATTCTCTTTGTGTCCTAGCATTTCGCATTTGCTTCACTTCTTGGCGGCGCCGAGGTGCGTACACATTTTCATCATATCTATCGCGCTAAAGTCCGCAGAAATCCCCGACATGGAGAGAGCACACAATACCGATAGGCGGGTTAGATTCACGCTGGAGCTGCAACGAAGCCATTCCACGTTCCTGAATTGGCCAAGCGTACCGTCTCCGAACAGTGTTGGTGATGCGGAACGAATGGCCTGGGCGGATGAAGGAGATAGTGGAACCGTGGAAGAGGGCATCAATGCTATATCCACTACGCAAGTAGTACCAAGAATAGATATTGGCTGAGGGTGCCCGGGAAAAGTACTAACGGGGTGATGAAGTGTGTTTCGTTGAACCATTCAACCGATGTGTTCTTCATGAAGTTTAGGGGAGATTTGGGTACTGGAGCGGCTGGAACTCTATTATGGCACTGGAACGAGGAGTATTAAGTGTTCACTGTATGTTTAGGAACTCCGGTAAGTACTGTGTCTTTTGATGTGTAAGAGTCTTGAAAGAATGGGCTGAGTCTTGTGAAGCCCCTAGAGGAATGCAATGGAATTCTCCATGAACGATTGTTAATTCCGCCTTGTCTCTTCGTTGGTCAGGATGGTACTGGATTCTTGGTCCTCTTAATTTTCTTGACTCTAGTTTCTGAACATGCTGTTTTAACACCCCAATGTGCACCCTACCTAACCCCTTCTGCGCACGTGACTTGGCGCTCCTCAGGTCTGCTCACCCTTGCTTACCCTGTTACGACACTACGCCAGGCTGCCCGCAGGCCAGCCCAAAAGAACAGAACGACTGCGCTTTGATTGGAAGCGCAGGCGTGGCCGGAGCCTCGGGCCATGCAGGCCCCGAAGCGCACGTGATCAGGCGTCACCTGATCTATAGCACGTGATTGTGATCGTTGCTCGTGCTAGGGGGACGTAACATACCCTTACTTACCCTTACTCACCCTTCCTTACCGGCTGCGGCATAGTCTTAAATATATCTTACTAAAAACTATTAAGTTTTAGTAAGGGGTCTTAAATCTATTCCTAGGTTACAAATTAGGGCTCTATACTATTTTATAAGCCTTATAAGCTTAAGCTACTTTTTAAAAAGTGTATTTCACCCTTATTCTTATTAATATAAAGTGTGCTATTTTACTAAAATAGCCAACCTTCTCTTACTTTATTATCTGGGGAAAGGGAGCGCCTGCATATGAGGATATCCGCATTTAGAAACTTGACCGTAAGCTGGCCTGTGTCCTGGCCGAAAAAATACATAGAGAGGCGAACGGATCGGGCACGCTAAAGCGACGACCAAAATTGAGAGCTGTTTTGAAGCTTCAAACATAGAGCTAGGTGATGCTCCGGATAGTGTGCTGGAGAGAGGAGGCTAGCAACAGGACGGAGAGCGCAAAGGCGAAGAACTCCTTGGCGCTTTAGTTTCCATTGCCATAACCTATCTAACGCTGTCGGGGCGATGGCCACAGAGTTGAAGTGTTCTAGAGTCCCGCGACGCAGATGACTTCGCAGACGAGCGTAAGAGTGAGCGCGGCGAACAGGTCGCCCGTAGTAGAGACCCAAAAAAGAAGCCAGGGAAGCAGAGAGACTCTGGGAGAAGGTTAACATGAAACACATAAGCCTTCAGTGGTTGGGTTTTGTTCTGGAATAGACGGTGACTCTAAAGGGGGTTTCGGCACACTGGCTTCCAGCCGTGCTGCGTGCCCGCCCGCCCACGAGCTGTGGTGGAGGGATTAATCCTCTGAATTTCACGAATCTAGGTCGAGAGGCTGGGTCGAGGATCAGCCTGGTACTATTGAACTACGAGGCAAATCAAGAACCACGCGTAGAGAGCCAGGAGATGCAAGGAGGCGCATAGAGGATATAGGTGGCAGGAAGGGCGCCGACAGAGAGGCAGGTGCAGGATGGGGGCTACCAAGGTGGCTAGAATCTGCCACGCTTCTATCTCGTGGAGAGGGCCCCTGCATGCCGAAGTGCGAGTGTGAGTGGAGTAGAGAGGGTAGGTAAATGAGGAAACCGGGGACGCTGGGGCACTTGTACAAACCGGTGTTGAGGACTCAAGCTGTTGGCGTTGAAGAGTGGCGCGAGAGAGGGACAGCGTGAGAGAGGTCTAGAGGAGCATGAGGCCGACAGGGCACAACGTGACGATTGACGTTGTCTCTGAGGTACTGCAAAGCAGTGTATATTCTCCAATCGGGTTTAGGACATAGGCAACTCATAAAATACCACAATTGGTGCAAGGACAGGACTATGTATCCCTGAGTGCACGCGTAGCTGCTTTATATACATAAACAACAACAAGAAAACAACTGAACGTGGTGCGGTCATCCTAATTAAAACACGGCCATGTTCCTCACCGCCCCGCCCGTCTTGCTAGCACTGGCAATGCTGACAGCAGTGCTGGTGCTGGTGGCAGGGACAGTGCCGGTGCCGGTGGTGGATGCGGGCGCCTGGTTCTCCTGGGCCTGGAAGACATTGACAAGTCCCTTTCCACCACAGAATGTCTTCTTGTCGCCGGTGCAGGGGGTATTACAATCAGTCTGATTGCTCGCCCACTCGCCGCCAACGTAAGTGCCGCACCAGCACTGGTTGCCCGCCTGCACGCCCGCAAAGCCGTACGCGCGTCGATAGCAACTTTCCTTGCAGTTCGGGACAGTCAGAGATACGTTTCCACCAGCCGGGCTCACGTTCTGCTCAAGAATTGGCAGCTTGCTATCCTCCACATAACAGCCCATGGCAATCCAAGCTGTAGGAGAGGGACCCAGAGTGGATGTGCTGCTGGTGGGGGTAGCAGTTGTCGAGGATGAAGTTGTCGTGTTTGGCCTGTTGTCCAGTCTCTCCTGGGTGACGATGCAGTATGATGTATGTATCCACCACGGTTTGCAGTCGAGACCAACGGAAGGGTTCCATTTGTGGAACTCCTCGGGAGTGATGCCATAGTATGCACGCACTCCTTCGCATGATTGACTGTCGTCGTCAATGTTCTCCCACTCGACGCAATCTGCCGCGGAGGCTGGATCCCATTGATATTCCGGTAAGCGGGTGGAAGCGACGTGGCGGGCGATGGCCACAAGAGACAGTACGATGGAGGTCTTCATGGCCGGTGCGCGTGCAAGCCAAATGGCTGAAGAATCGAGGAAGGGGGCGGTATCGGTGATTGACGATGGGATGGACAATGGGGATGGGAGGATACTACCGGGTATAGCTATATCAAAGTCTAGAAGGAAGGAAAAAAGGAGAGTCTTAGCGCGTAGCCAAACCCATGCCTTGCTCTCTTCTCTGCTCCCGCTGTGGTCCAGAATCCGAGGCATCTGGATACCACAGCGGGTCCCATGCGTCTCCGCAATTGGGACGCGGCGCCGGTCATGTCCACGCTACACTGGAATGTGGCGGCCCGGGCAAAGATCAGACCCGAGCCATGGGACCAACGGCGCACCCCCCTGTGCACGGGCTCCCGTGAGGCTGTTGGCCCCTCACGGCGTGGCGTGTGGTCGATCCGGAAGGTGCCAAGATGGGACGGCCCGCATAGGTGTCCATTACAGCCGCCAAGCCTGCGCCCCCCGAAAACGGGCCGTCTCACCAACATCAGGCCCTGCATCCGCCTTGGGTCACATGCAGATATCGGTCGTGATCCTTCGAATTTCCCATATATCTGGTCCCGCCACGTCTGAACCCATTCCTCATGTCTTGGCCTCATTCCGCAACACGGCTCGGGAACCTCTAGTGAAAATTCGACTCCGGAACGCTTAGAATCGGGCCATCGCTGGGTAAGTCTTTTCGTCCACCTTCTCACTGCAGCAAACGAGTCGCACACGCTGACCACGCCGGTTGGCTCCCAAAATCAGATCTCGGCAGTGATTCAGCAGATGGCCACTTTCCACCCATTTCCTCGTTTGCCAGTCGAGCTCCGTGCTCGGATATGGGAAATGACTGTCGAGCCTCGCACCGTCGAGATCCGCCTCGCTCACGCGGCCCAGCCATCGATCTGCCATCTGTTCTCATCTACGCCAGTACCAGCGACACTACAGGCCTGCCACGAAGCCCGGACCCATGGATTGTACCAACAGGCCTTCTCCGAGATTTATTACCAGGTGCCGTCGGACGGCGCCGAGTGGCGCTATGTCTGGTTGAACTTGGACATCGATATGATATCCATCGGGCAAACTTCCTTCTTTGTCTTCAAATCGGTTGCACCGACCATTAAGCGGCTGAAATTTGAGCGCGAAAACTCAGACGAAGGCTTCTACCACTGGGAAAGTAGCGAAATTCGTGACTTTGTCAATGTCAAGGAAATCCATGTAGTCTGTGCAGACGGCATGGGCGCGTGGCATAAGGCTACGTACGAGCACTACTTCCCTTGCGGCCCGGAAAACGTGTTCTATATCGACCCGGGTGGTCAGATGATGAGAAGCATCGAGTTGGATGACATGTGTGACCGTGAGCTAGAGGAGTCATACAGACAAGACGGATACGACTACCATAGCGGTTTGCCTCTTGACGACGGCGATACGGCTCTGTAGCCTAGCAGCTACATCCGCATCTGGAAACGTCTCGTCTCGTGTCCAACACCTCGTCTTGTGTTGTAGCTCGTTGTTGTTCGTGTAGGAGGGTTCTACGTGGCCGTTTGTTTTGTTGTAGATGCCAAAACAACGTCACCACATACATCTTAATTAGGAACCAAATAGCAACCCCGACACCTCGTTTCGTAACCAAAGAATGTGAGCATTTGGACGGTTTAAATATCCATTGTTTCTTCTGAAATTAAACTCTGTACACTGGATTGTCAGTGCCTGGATTCCTTTGGCTTGTGATTATAAAGTCGGATTACAGCCTTTTGAAAAATCTTTCTGCTTGCTGGACCACCCCAGACAATGGTAGCCTTGGCCTTGCCCCCACCCATTTCAGTGCTTCCGACAACTGGTGTTTCGATCTGCTACCCGCTTGTATGTCCTGAGGACCTGGAAATGTTCCCTAGCACTTCTGTGGTCTCTATCAGGTTGAGTTCCGCGATACCAACTATCGAGAAAATCCCGAATGCGTGTCTGGGCATCGGCTATGCCGCTGGTCCTGGCTTGACTGGCCGTCTCCTTCCAATCCACCGTCTCCCACACGGCGCCAGTCGCCGGATTGTTGCCCAAGTTCTGCGTGTGTATCGTCATCGTGCCGCCCAGCGAGGCCCTGGCCGCATTTAAGAGGTAAGGGCCATGGTCTCCGGCGCGCGCAACACTAATCTTCTCTCTGGTACTGTCGAAATCCTCCCACAGTTGCTTGTTGGCGACGGTACTCTTTTTCATCCACACGTCGTTGACTTTTTTGGTGAGTTTTATGAGGTAATCGTTGTATTCGTACGTATTCTTCATGGCAGAGTAGGGCGGAAAGTTGGGAACCCTGCCGCGGCCCCGTGTGGTAAAGATTCGATAACAATTTTCGGCGGTTCGCTGAGTATCAAGCCTTCTAGTGGCGGGGTCCAAGACTTGCCAACCCCTTGGCGTAGGCGCATTGCCCATAAAATGCGTGAGTTCGTCGAAATTGCATCGGGTGCCAGCTCTGGAGCGACATGGGTTCCAGTCACCATCGCACTGTTTGGTGCCGTCATTCCACCGACTGCATCTGAAGCCGAGTGTTTGATCCATCTCAGGGTTGAGTGCATCGATTTCGTAGGCCTGGAACAGCCAGACGCGCTCAAGGCACCCCTGATATCCTCCAGCCCAAACGGCTGCGGAAAGGTAAGAAAGAGCGAGGAAGAGAGAGACCCTCATATTGACTGCAGCTAAAGGAGGCAGTACAGAAGAGCTGACGGTGACGACAAAAGAGGTGTCCAAGTTCGAGAGACGGAGCAACGGATGGATGATATTAATTGACGAGTTCCTTAGTCTAGGAATATTGATCAGTTCTGCAGCTCACGTCTGCCCGCGCCACGGACTATCCGACAATGCGGGCCCAATCGAATGGTGCGTGGCACGAGTACGGTGGGCTCAGATCAGCCCGTGTCCTATTAGAACCTCGAACCTTTGGCGGACTTGGCCGCTTCATTCCTTTCCCCTTGGCATCTGACTGTTAAACTGTGCCGCATATGCAATGTTCGGCGGGATCCACTATCCCTTGAGTTAGCACTGAGTTAGCAGGTAGTATTTGGTTGGGGATGTCTTGGCACCGGCCAATGTTGCTTAATGAAGCATATATGTACAACGACACTTAATCTATGCGTCGATAGAGGCCGAGGCCGTTCTTGTCAGCTTTGTGTCGGACACGTTACTAGGCTACTCGAAGAGTTGTTTTAGGCTCGAAAATTCGTGATCCGGGATCACCAGCTTGAGATCTGCATTCCAAAGTCACTCATATCCCCCTAGTATTAAGCCAGGCTCACCTGTGCTCATCCTCTTCCTTCTTCGTCTCCTCTTCCTCTCTTGCATCTTCTTTCTCTAGTGCAAGGGACTCCTACTTTTTCTTTTCTGCTTGCGCAGTATCTCGCCATAATGAAAACTTCATTACGCCATTTCCTTCCCTATGCCTTGCTTGCTAGAGGTGCTTCAGCATCCCCTTCCGATGTCGAGGTCTCACGCGGAGTCGAAGATAATGCAGGTGATCTTGACGAGTGGCTGGCAGCAGCCACGCGAGTGTCACTGGAGGCGCTCAAACTATGCCCTATCTCATGCGGCATGACGGGGAACAGCACATCCAGGGATGGGTGGTTCTTGTTCCCTGACGCTACAAAGTTGGCGGCGTGTAACGAGACCATGCTGCTCGACATGGTCGTCCAGACCGCGGCCAAGGACGACAAAACCGCCCAGACGATCATCAGGGCATGCACAGCTGACTATGACTCGGGAGTGAAGGTCGCATTTGTACCTGACGACAGCAAGGCATCTCTCTGTACAACCGCCAATCGAGTCCTGGAGGAGGCTTCTATATATATGCACCATCCCAAAGTCGGCAACGATGATGAGTTTTCTGTCAATCATCTCCTGTCTGCGGGGCGTCAGATCAGCAGCCATCTCGCATTACAAAAGCCTTCCTGCACAAACAACGCGATAGAGTTTGCTTATTCTAAATCATCAGCCATTGGTCTCTTTGCCGGAGCCGAGATTCATCAGCACGGAGTCACCTTGGAAGTTCTCAAGAAGCTGCTGGAATACGCACAGGACAAGGCCATCTCAAAGACCTTTGTCATCCAGCTATGTGGAACCGATGGCCGCGGCGCAGATTACAACATCGGAATGGTTGCCACCAGCGAAAAGAACCTTCCCTTCATCCACGAGACTGTCAAGACTTGGGCCGATGGAGGGTGCGTTTCTCAAGGCGATGCAGCCGAAGACTGGATGAAAGTCACTCTACGCGTCCCCATCACTGTGGAGGCCATCCCAAATAACGGCACTGAATTCAACAACACGACACCCGCTCACCTTGGGGCAAGATCACGCCTTAACATCCGGGCGGATTGCAAGACAACCACAGTTCAGTCGGGCGATGGCTGTTGGGCCGTGGCTAAAAGGTGCGGGATAAGTCAAGACAACTTGAAGAAGTATAACCGCGCCAATGTTTGCGAAACTCTTGTCAAGGACGAAAAGGTCTGCTGTAGCAGCGGCACCTTACCCAACACTTTACCCCCCGGAAATTCAGATGGGACATGCAAAACAAGGTCCGTTATAGGCGGCGATACCTTCGCCTCGCTCGCCTCCAAGTGCGGCATCAACGTGCCGGATTTCACAAAGGCCAACCCCAAAGTCGATCCTGCGAAACTTGCTGTGGGCCAACAAGTTTGCTGCACAAGCGGCAAGATGCCGGATCTAAAGCCCAAGCCCGATGCCAAGGGCAACTGCGCTACATATACGATCAAAAAGGATGACAGCTGCTCCGTGATTGCGGCTGCCCGTGGCCTACAGGTGACAGACCTCGAGACCTTCAACAAGAAGACCTGGGGCTGGAACGGTTGTAAGCTTATCTATCCTGCTTTCAAGATGTGTGTGAGCACAGGAAACCCGCCCCTGCCTGCCAACGTTCCGGTAAGTTGCTTCTTTCTCCCGTCATGTATCGTTTCGAATGGCTTGACTGATGATTGGTTTCTACAGAACGCTGTGTGTGGACCAACGGTAAGAACGTTTCTCCAGCATGGGCATGAGATTATCCAAGCTAACATGCTTGCGTTAGATGAACGGGACCATACAGCCCCCGGTAGGCACAGATTTGGCCACCCTCAACCCATGTCCGCTAAATGTTTGCTGTAACATATGGGGTCAGTGTGGCACGACTGACGACTTTTGCGTTATCTCAAAGTCGGAGACTGGGGCGCCTGGAACGTCAGCCCCAGGGGAAAATGGATGTAAGTGTTCCGTCCAATGCTTAAGTATTCTGGACTATAGTTTTTGCCAAGATCATGCGTCCCATTATCCCGTCATTTTGATCGTGTCTCATCGTTTGGGGGGCATATGGCTGATTGCGAGGATCAGGTATCAGCCACTGTGGCAGAGATATCATCAAAGGGCCAGCTCCGGCGCAAAAGATCAAGGTCGCGTACTATGAGTCTTGGAATCTTGGCCGCAAGTGCTTGAACATGTGGGTCGACGAGATCGACACAAGCTACACACACATCCACTTCGCCTTTGCAAACATCACAAGAGGCGACTTCAACGTCGACATCAGCGACGAAAAGGCCAAGGAGCAGTTTGAGATCTTCAAGGGTATGACGGGCGTCAAGAAAATTATTTCGTTCGGTGGCTGGGACTTCAGCACTGCGCCCGGGACCTTTTCGGTACTTCGCGAGGCCGTCTTGCCCGCCAACCGCGACAAGTTCAAGAGTAATCTCATTGCTTTCATGAATAAGCACAATCTCGATGGAATTGACGTCGACTGGGAGTATCCTGGAGTGAGTGGTCCACTTCATTCCGTTGTACAAATCTTGGCAGGACTAACATGAGAATTTCTAGGCTCCTGATATTCCTTCCATCCCCAGCGACGACCCCCAGAATGGTATGAACTATTACAAACTTCTTTCCAGTCTGAAAGCGTCCGTGGGCTCTTCCAAATCAGTTTCCTTTGCGGCGCCAGCTTCCTTTTGGTACCTCAAGTCGTTCCCTATCAAGCAAATGGCCCAGGATATTGATTACATTATCTACATGACATACGACTTGCACGGGCAGTGGGACTACGGTAACAAATGGTCTTCCCCTGGCTGCATGTCTGGTAACTGTTTGAGGTCTCATGTCAACGAGACAGAGACCAAGGATGCCCTTTCGATGATTACCAAAGCTGGCGCTCCATCCAACAAGGTTGTCGTCGGTGTTGCCAGTTACGGCCGATCGTTCAAGATGGCACAGGCTGGTTGCGACTCGGAGGGATGCAAGTTCACGGGGTCACCTCGTGTGTCCAATGCTGCCAAAGGACGTTGTACGGATACCGGGGGATATATCTCCAATGCAGAGATTGGCGAAATTATCAAGGCTGGCAAAATTAACAGGCAATGGAAGAAGGAAGGCTCTAACATCATGGTGTACAACGACACCGAGTGGGTAGCATACATGGATGATGACACGAAGAAGACTCGGTCTGCGTTCTATGACTCATACAATTTCGCTGGCACCACAGACTGGGCTGCCGACTTGCAGGCATTTACTGAGTAAGTTGCATAACTGTCATGCCACACTTGGATCTGTTCATTATACTGACATCTTGCAGTGGAAGCGATGATTCTGACGATGCAGAAGCGTACGTTGACGAACATTACTGGCCTGCCTGCACAGGCTCATATACCACACTCCAACAGCTCGAGGATCGGAAAGGCTCGATACCTGCTCCCTGCGTCGAGCAGTATCTTGTCGATGTTCAGGTTGCTGTTTTGGAAGCAGCCTTGAAAAAGTATGAGGATCTGATTGATAGGGGCTACGACAAGAAGTTCCAGATCTACGAGGGATTCGTCAAAGCCCAGATCCCCGACCAAATCAACAACTTCATGGCCAGCGACAAGGTAGACAAATATTTCAAGTGCAAGGAGACTAAGCGCGTTGTGTGCTGCTCTGATGGGTGCAGATTTGACAGCTGTGCCCATGACTGTGTCAAAGGCAACGACTGCAAGGGTGGCAAGGGCACAATCGACATGGACAAGTGCCCGAAAATGGAGTTTGAATTCCGCACGTTAGATCCAACAGATATCCCCAACGCCACGTTCATCCTCGCAGATCCCAAAGGCTTCTACGCAGACATTGGAGAGACATGGGGAATAGACGAGTCGTGGTTCATGTTTGACAGGAGGCACATGAGGACGAACAACGGTTGCCAGTTCGCTGGCAAGGACGTCCAGGCCTGCATAGCCGAGAATGACAACTGGTTCTTCAACTATCCTCTCGTCAACTACGACAAGGTCAAAATTTACAATCCTAAGAAGGTCATCGGCGACTCCTTCCCCAAGGCGAACGAGATGCTCGACCGATTCAAGATCGTGGATCAGTTTGGTGACTGGGACGAGCTCATGCAATTATCCGACTTAGTCGATGCCACGTCCCTGCCCGCATTCTCAACCCAGGAGGCCGTTGACAGCATGGAGAAGATCGTGGAAAAGGCTGATGAGATCAAGAAGAAGGAACGTGAGGAGTTCATTCTCAACTTCATCACGGGGCTGCTCTTCTTCATCCCTATGGTGGGTGAAGCCGCCGGCGCTGCTGGTTTGACGGCTGTTCGTAGTCTACTTCGCCTTCTCGGTGCGGCTGGTGATGCCGGCATGACGCTCTACGATGTGGTCCAAAATCCCCAGAATGCTTTTATCACGGTCTTCAGCTACTTGGCTGGCGCCGGTGTCGGGCGTGCGGGTTTCAGGAACGCTGCCAACTCGAGGCGAGGCATGAGCTCTAAGGAATATGACAGCCTTGGAAATGTCAAAGGGAACCTAGACAAGGTTCAAAATCTCCGAGGGCTTATTTGCTCCATTTAAGATGGGCAAGGGATGGACGGAGACCAAAGGTTGCGAGCAATTACCTAGACAAATACTACCTAGACAAATATTTACCAAACCTCCTACCTGAAAATGTATATAATATGGATAAAAATTTCTCCATGTTCCAGGTGTACTCAACCTGAGCGCCAGGTTAGTGAAGGAGAGAACTGAATGTCACGTGATATCGCGCGGAAATGGCCTCGAATGTCCAGGATGCTTCTTGCAGAAGGCTAACAAGGGTTACACACGGATGCAAGGTCTCTATTATCGGCAGATGTAAAGTCCTGCAGACAAAGCTAAAACCTGCGGTCAACGTTGTGATCACGTGGTTGGACTGTGCCTGGATAGGGATTGCGCATCACGAGGAGTTGGCATGCTTCAGTGAAGGGTAGGCGCCAAACCGGGTTGACGGCGATCAAGAGGAGGCTAAATAGCCACCTCGCCCCACTCGCCTTCCTGAAGGCAAAAATATATGTAGCTTTTGTTACGGGAGGGCTCTGAATGATGTCAGATCCGTTTCCCAGACCCGTCAGCTCCGCAGTACAATACCTCTGCAGCTATGGAACCATTCAGGAGCGCTGCCGGAGGCTGGGTCGTCATGCACGGTTCACACCTGCCCCACACCAGGTGACAAGAAAGTTCCACGTTCAAGGATCGCACGGACCTCACTAGGCCAGGTCCCTATCAGGCAAGGACCCTTTCTTCAAGCTTTAATATTGCTCCACCACACTTTAGCTTTACCCTGGGCAGCAACAGATCTCTTATTTCCATTTGGGGCCTTCATCACTGTTGCTAGATTGATTCTCCGAGCCTAATTGGACTATCTGCTTTAGTTCGTATGCTTTCATTACCTGGACGCTAAGCAAAAGCTAGAGGGGAAGCGGATTAAGACAAGGTGTGTAGCTAAAAGCTGTTGTATTAATAAAGGTAATGAAGCTAGTTATTAAGCGGAAGAAGGAAAGATATAACGTAATCCACAAGTTAGTGGCCCGCACAAGCTAGTGGCCCAC